TGTATGAAATTTGACAGTTTATCCCCAGAAATTCTTGGGGGATGAGTGAAATTTTTGAAACAACCAGTGATAAAATTTCATAAATGTCCATAACACAGATGGTAACAGCTGAGTGTCCCCAAGGATTTGTGATGTAAGGGAGGGGAGACCTTCAATAAAGCCATAAGAAAAAAGAAAAAAAAAAATATATATGAAATACACACAAAACATAAAAAGAAAAGCTAAGAATAATCACATAATGATAACACATAAAAAAAAAACTTTAGTCACAGAACAATACTGAAACTAGTTTGAAAACATTCATGCATATTTCTTCTTATTTTTATATATATGAAGAACTTGAGAAATAACATTTTCTTACGTAAAGCTACCTAACCTACTTTGAAAAGATTTTATAGATACTGTTGATACTAAATACATCTACTTTAAATATCTGAAGACCAGCTTGATCTTCTATTTGTCTTTCCAGCCCTAGAAGATGTCCCTATTCTAAAGCTATGATCTGAGTAACATATAAGTAAACAATGTCTTTCTAAAATTTCTTATCAATGGTTAAGAAAAGTGGGTCAGTTGGATGGATAGGAGTAAATTCTTACATTACTGTATAAATTCTAATAAAATCTTGTATGGGCAAATAAGTATTAATTTAATTAAGCCATAATTTATGTAGCTGAATGCTTATGCCCTTTCTAAACAGAACAGTTTTTGATATTTTTTAATTTAAAAACTACTTAGTTGGAGTAAAATGCAGCATCTATAATGCATATATTTACAGCTGTATCAAATGTATATGAGGCCTTGAAAATGTAAACTTGCCAAATCTATAAAAGAAATCCATAAAAGCTACAAAGCATGCAGTTCCTTAAACATCAAATCAGTAAACTTGAAAAAAAAAAACTTTTTGCAGACAATTACCATTTTCTCTAAAATCAAAATTATGGTAATCTGATGTATCTTGGTTTTGTAGCATATTTACAGAATTTAAAACATGTTCAAGCCTAATTATGGTGTATTACTTTCTGACAGCAAAGGATCATTTTCATTACCTTGCAGATACCTTTACCTTATTCTATATGAATACAAATTAATGGTAGAGTATAGTAAACTCAGAATTTAAAGCAATATTATAAAATCCTCAGAAACAGCAGGTAAACTAGTAATTATAATCCATTCAATAACATAAAGGTCTCAAACTTCTGAACCCAGTCTTATAAACAGTTCCTGTAGTATTAGCATTTTACTGTTCCAAAGATCATCAACTGCTGATTTAGGACCACATTACATCTGACCTGCATGGGCACTTCATTGAAAGTTGTGCTGCACTGGGTCTGGTTTGTGAAATCCATCTATCCAGAGGTGCATGTGAATGAGGAGGCTCTAGCTAGTATCTAATGTTTGTATGGTTGAATATGGATAATGTATCCTGTTTAAAACATGGGAACACTAACTCTGATTAATATGACTAGTTGCTGAACATTATGCATTTACTACAGATAAAGTTGAATCCACAACTAAAAAGTATTAGTCCCTTTGTTCCAAATTTAGTTAATCTAGTTTAATTAGTCCAGGTTTAAAACATCCCATTACGTAACAGTAAAACATCTAGAGCACTGAGATTTAACATTAAAGTCTCTTGGGTATGTACCATGGAGATCTGAACTGCTTGGTGCTGAATTCTTTGTCATTATCCAAGAGTATTGAACAGTATATAACATGATATGAATACCATCAATGTTCAAGTGTATAATGTATATATGACTGAGCAGCAATGATAAATATAAAGCTAAACAATTAAGTCTGTGAAGGTGTTGATCCAACTAGCATTAAATAATATAGTCGAGCTGTTGCCACAGCTATGCAGAAGGAGAAGCATGTCAAACTGGTAGGGTCCAATGCTTTTGATTGTCCATCTGATGTTCCCAATGTGCATACAGGAGGTGCAATGTCTTGTTTCCCTCAGTGTATAAATATGCAAATAAAAGAGATGAAGAAAGGTGTCAGTTTTCACAATATATCAAATGCTGTTATAACATATAAAATTATTTGTTATGTAAGTATCTATCTGTAAAGCTAGCATAGTAACGATTTAACCCATATCACACAGTATTCTAGAATTATTAACATTTAGATAAAATGTTTATACTTATATGTTCACAAGTTATTTGTTCTTAATTCATTTATCGCCGTGATATTGCCTTTATGTGCTGAGGCGGCGTAAAGCAACCACAAATCAATCAATCAATCTAAATACTCCATTTACCAATTGTGTTTACCAAAAAAAAAAAAAAAAAAACACACACAATTTCGATTGACTTTAATTATGGAGATGCCATATAACTGTAACAACATAATTGTTTCTCTTTGTACATAATGCAAGGAAATATATGGTAAATAGATCATGAAATTAATTTAGCAGTAAGTGGAGTATATGTTATAAAATATAGATATTATACTAAAGAAATAAATCAAAATTATCACATGAAGATGAAGAAATGAATACAATATCTGACATATATATGCTATTGTCAATATAACCATGCAAGTTAGCTTATGTGAATACCAGTGCATAAATATTCAGTATCTAATTCACAAATAATACAAGATGGTCTTGAGTTATAGCTTCTATAGGTACTGAAGTTGTGCAATTATGATGCAAGAGTTTTTTAAAGTGTTGTTTTCACTTGATACTGTTGTCTTTATATTTTACTTGATTGTACTTTATTGAGAAAGTGTAAACTATATGCTGTATGTACTATCAACTACAAAAACGTTTTGTTGCTGTGTAGATTTATTTGTATGTAAATGTTTGAGTTTTTAGTCAGATTTGTATACATGTTGGTGATGTATGTTTACACAGTTTTGGTGCTGGATCCTAATTATTGTCACATTAACCTATTATCTCTGTTTGGGTTGCTCACCCAATTGTACATGTAGTAAAAAGATACTTGCCTAGAACATTTGTAGGTAAATCCAGTTCATAAACATGGATGAAATTATCTCTGCATGGTCACAACAAACATACGGATCTGATGCTGTTAAAATCGGCTATATCAAATATAATTCACTCTCTAATAAAGTTGCAGTTTATATTGGTCGTCCAAAATTCCGATAACATTAAAAATGTAAAATTATGCACAACACGAATATCGCCAGCATTAAATACTCAGCTTTGTAGGGATAATTCATAATCCAAAAGTGAAAAAGTTTAGAAGTAATATATACAAAATGTGTTACTGCTTCATCACTATCCTAATAAAATTGCTTTAACACTAATTTTGACATTTGATAAGATGTCCTAATTCCTTTTTTGTCTTTCAGCTTGTAATATTCCAGTTAAATGGATTATTATAGTCCAATTGTTCTCATAAGGAGAAATCCTTAATATTCCTCCTACACACACCTTTCAATTTGCCAGACATTTTGATATTAGTTATTCCAAAATAAATGTGTATTTAGTCTGAATCAAAATTAAATAGTTCAAAAATCTGTATAACCTGCTTTGGTAAAGTATTAATCCAAATCACTGAAACATTAAGAAGTTTTTAGTTAAGCCACTTTTTGAGCAAAAATTATTCTTTTAACTGTTTAATCTGCATTGAAAAAACTGGACACTAAAGGCAGCATGTACTGGTTTTCAATATACAACTACTTAATGGGATATTCCTAAATGGGAGGAGCTAAACTATACCAAAGTTTATGTGCAAACAAACAAAGGATAAAGGAAAGCCAGATGCCACAAGTGGTCACTAATTAACAAAACATGTATATTTGTAATGGAACTGATGTAATTAAACCACCCTGCTAAGAAACACCTGATAAACTCACATGTAGCTGATTAAGATATGATGATAAATCTGCTTCTTCTCAATAGTAAAGAAAACAAAAAATCCTGGGAAAATCCTAAAATAATGACTAATGAGTGTTATGGAAATCAAACTATGTATAAACATAACTTATATAACATATAAGTAACTATGAAAATGTTTTCTCTCCATAAATGTGTAGTTTATGGAGTATCAGTTGGCAGTACCAGTCTGTACTTGTTGTCACAATTGGAAAAGGACACAATCAAAACAAAATTTTAAATTATATTAAAAGTAGATGATAACTGCAATATAAAACAAAGTTTAAATGGAATAGAGACTGATTGAAGGTGTTGTAAACATTATTGTTCATGGGTACATTTAATTAACTTTTTCTGCTTTGCTGATGATGTAAACAACTTTTGGCTTTAGTTTTTCTCCTTTAACTTTTAGACAGCTTCTTTAAGAGGAATACCTATCATATGATTTTTGTTGAGCCTTCCACTTTTGTTGAAAAAGCGAGACATAGCGATCCTACATTCCTCCGTCGTTGTCGTCTGCGGTGTCCACAAATATTCGCTCTGTGGATAAAGTTTTTGAAATTTTAATAACTTTCTTAAACTATCCTGGATTTCTACCAAACTTGGACAGAAGCTTGTTTATGATCATAAGATTATATTCAAAAGTAAATTTTGTAAAAAAAAAATTCCATTTTTTCCGTATTTTACTTATAAATGGACTTAGTTTTTCTGCCAGGAAACATTACATTCACTCTGTGGTTAATTACATTCACTCTGTGGTTAAAGTTTTTAAAATTTTAACAACTTTCTTAAACTATCCTGGATTTGTACCACACTTACAGAAGCTTGTTTATGATCAAAAGCTAGTATCTAGAAGGAAATTTTGATAAAATTTTGTTTCATTTTTTCCGTATTTTACTTATAAATGGACTTAGTTTTTCTTCCAGTCAACATTACATACATTCTGCAGTTTAAGTTTTTAAAACATTTATTAGATTCATAAATTATCCTGGATTTTTACCAAACTTGGACAGAAGCTACTTACAATCAAAAGATAGTATAGAGAGGAATATTTGTATTAATATTTTTCCTCATTTTTGTTGAGCCTGCGATTAACAGCAAAAGTAGGCGAGACACTGGGTTCCACGGAACCCTTACGAATTTTATTTCATTACAGAGTATACAATATATACTTAGATTGTCTACATAAGACAATTGAAGAAAACACAGACAGGAAGTGTGCCAGGACATCACTCAATGGATGGATGCCTGCTATATTACCAAGCTATCTACCAAATATACCAGAATCACAAATCAGATCTTGTAGTGGTAAGAATTTATATTGAATAGTCAGTCAAGTTCTTTTCATCTCTCTTTTAAATCTTTTGAAGGAAAAAAAAACAGTGATGGCAATTATAAGTTTAAAAATATCACAAAGTGTAACTTTATTTCCTCCAAGAGAAAAAAAATTAAAAGTGGACATAAAGGGAACCACTAAGTATAAGCCTGATATTTTTGGTATGCAGTTGTTTTAGCATTGGCTAATCTCATTTCAAGACATTATTTTGCCCTTTACCATCAATCAATTGACTTTTAATGTTTTACCTAGTAATATGTTAAAATTGTCATTTTCATTCTCAATTTTTACTATAAGAATTATATACATGCAAGACATATCTTGGTGTCAACAGTTTTATATACTTACACCGTACAGTCACCTATAGCTGTTAATTTAAGTGAGATAAACTTGATTTACTCTTTGATAAAATAATTTAAAGAAACAGGTGTGCAGATTCAATGTTTTAAAAGAAGTTGACAGGTATTTTACTGCAAAAAATTATCTACTGTACCAGGCTTATTTTTTTTTAAATGCCAGACAATTGCAATCATCAGTTCAAAAGATAGATAAATGATTCCATATTACTTACTTCTCTCTAGTGAATGATGATGATATGGATTCCTGTCATAATACAGAACTAATAGAAACCATGGCGATGAACAGTGCATGTTTTACTGGATATGAGCAATATTTACAGTATCCAAATTGTCAGTAAGTATGAAAAAATTATGAACTTTACAAACTATACAGTTAAACATACAAAACATGAAATAGAGAACAATTTTGAATGAGTTTTATACAGAAATAACATAGTTTGTATTTATTATACCTCAGCTATCATTTTCTATACAAAAATAAGTACACAATATTTTCACTATTTTTCAAATTGCAGGTGTTGAACTATTTGACAGGTCAATAGTTTCCAACTATTTGACAGGTCAATAGTTTCCAACTATTTGCCCTTAATGAAACTATTTGACGGCAAGCATCATTACATTTTGCGGAATTTCAACTGCAGCTTAACAGGTTTTTTTAAAAACAATTCATTCGGGACTATTATCAATGATAATTAACCTCGATTCCCGAGTTGTTTGAACACACACCAAGTGGCCTCAGATTACAGGATAATGACTCAGTCAGGGCAATTTGCGTCACTTTCCAATTGAGATCTGGAATAATTAATTAAGGACAAGGATGCCAAAAACACAAAATCCGTCGTCTGAACAAATAGTTATAACAGATCAAAGAATTTTTTGAAATTGCTGTTCTGTTGTTGAGCTTAAGTTTTAAACCTACAATTGCCTGATTGTTTTTGTAATGCATATTTACAATGGGATAATATTCATCGCTATGTGTCTGTTGTCTGTTACAAATGTGAAAGTGAATTTTGGTCAGCTGTGGCCCTTGGCATAACTTTGTGTCTGTTGTCTCTTTCAGTATAATAAAATACTTACTGACTGGATATTCGTGGAATAGTAAGTTTATAGTCTCCTCAGATACAACAATAATCCTTGGCTACGCCTCAGGACAATAGTTACAGTCATCAAAGTAAAACCACTAACAGTGAAGAAAAATGCACAGAACAGACACAGGAAAATGACTTAAATGAAATATCTCAGTGACTTCACCCAATTTTGAAAATTTGTTCACCACTACCACTATTTAAAATATTTTTTTTACAGAATCTGGCTCATGTTTATCAACTGTACAGCTATGAGTTTTCCATCATGTACTATCAGAGATGTTGCAGAGACCTTAGTCACATCAAATTTTACCAGCTATATACCACAGGGTTTTGATATACTCACATGCGTGCCAGGTAAAATGTCCTGAAAAAAAAACACTTTTATGTAAAAAAAGCATCTTTGAATATTTGAAATTGCTAGATCTCCCTGTAAATTACTTTCATGCTATGGTTAATTTGACTTGTCTAGCATTACATTACATCTCTTAATTATTTTTTATACAGAAGTAAACAATTAGATAAATGTAAACTGCTGGTGAAAAGTTATTATCATTCAGACTCTGCATTTACCAGGTTTTCATGCATGTTGCTCCACCTGTAACTTAAGAATCAAATTATTTTCAAATTTCAATATCTTTTTAAATTATAAAAAAATGGAGGTCAAGGAAAATGGCACTTTTTGACAGTCACTTGTAATTGTTGATGGGAAGATGCACATTAGCCCACCAATCTTAACTCTACTAAAAGACCAGCAGTTTCAGCTTGTCAGGTTGCTAATGTGCTAAATACTATTGCAAATCCTTCAAACTCAAGTCAAGTTGGAAACAAATTCGGTTAATTGCAAAATTAGGGCTGCACTTTTAAAAGTGATCTAGATACAGTATAATAAAAAATACTAAACTTCAAAGTCATTTCCTGATTACCTGTTCCATTGAAAAGATAAGCTAATTGAAACATTTAATTATACAAGCTTAAAAGAGATTAATTTTTGAGATCACATATGCCAACTGTTATTTTATTAATTTGTATTTGGAATGAATGAACTAAAATGGGAGAAAATTCATTTTTGAGAGGCTCGTCAGTTAGTAGGCGTTGTAGTTAGTACTTTGAATAGCCTTTAACAGGTCAGTGAATTGAATATAAGTTAATTTTATTGACAGCTGAAACTTCAAATTTATTTGAAATCACCATCAAATACAATATTACCTGGAAGCCAGAGTATGCTGATTTAGAAAGTACAGTAGCCATGGAATTAGAGACCAGACTTGTACAACAGGTATGTAATATACAACTTAGAATTCTCAGGTTAGGAGACTAGACTTGTAAAACAGGTATGTACAACTCAGTATTCTCAGAGTAGGAGACCAGACTTGTACAACAGGTATGTAACATACAACTCAGAATTCTCAGAGGAGACCAGACTTGTACAACAGGTATGTAATATACAACTCAGAATTCTCAGAGTAGGAGACCAGACTTGTACAACTGGTATGTTACATACAACTCAGAATTCTCAGAGTAGGAGACCAGACTTGTACAACAGGTATGTAACATACAACTCAGAATTCTCAGGTTAGGAGACCAGACTTGTACAGCAGGTATGTTACATACAACTCAGAATTCTCAGAGTAGGAGACTAGACTTATACTACAGGGTCAAACAACTCAGAATTCACATAGTAGGAGACCAAACTTGTACAACAGGTATATACAACTCAGAATTCTCTGAGTAGGAGACCAGACTTTTACAACAGGTATGTAACATACAACTCTGAATTCTCAAAGTAGGAGACCAGACTTATACAACAGGTATGTAACATACTACTTAGAATTCTCAGGTTAGGAGACCAGACTTGTACAACAGGTGTGTTACATACAACTCAGTATTCTCAGGTTAGGAGACCAGACTTGTACAAAAGGTGTGTTACATACAACTCTGAATTCTCAGGTTAGGAGACCAGACTTGTACAACTGGTATGTTACATACAACTCAGAATTCCAGAGTAGGAGATTAAACTTGTACAGCAGGTATGTACCATACAACTCAGAATTCTTAATTTTTATTGACAATGGAGAGCTATTGCAAAGACCAAATTTATCTCAGCGTAATGTGTGTAACCTTAATGTTTGTCAAAGCTTTTAATTTTTTAAGCTAAAATATTTTAGACTAGTAGTTATTTTTTTAAATTGGATATAACACAGATATATGACTTTCAACCTGTCATGCTTTGCATAGACAGAAGCAAATTTGTTCTGGTATAGAACCAGTCTATGATTGACAAAGAAAAGCAATTTGTGTTAAAAGTATGTAATAAAAGAATCTAATCGGTAATTGGCAAATGGACTATTGGTGGACTAATTTTATTGTTTTTTATTCAGATCATCACATATACTGGAAATGACAGTGTTTACGTTGAATCATTAAAAGTTATAGAACTAAGGTTTGTTTTATCCATTGAATTCGTTATTAAAAATTGTTATTTTATATTTTGTATGTATAGCAAAATAATTTCTTGAAGCCTTCTTATTGGCTAGTAAAATAATACAGCATTTGATTCTAGTCGAATTTCACAAAATGTGAGACAAAGGCATGCTAACAAGATGGTGACAGTTGTGGCAGATGGGCAGAAGGGCTGGATAATCCATATCTGACATATGGACAACAGGCATATACCAGACAGAAACTTCTTACTCTGATAAATATTGTAAATTCAAAAATTATTGCAAGGTTTTTATTAATGTCAATAATATTAATGCAGCTGCGAGTGTATCGCAATAGTAAGAACTCCGATTCTTATATCGGAAACATATATCTGAATGCAGATTTTGTTGAAATTGCAATAATTAATCTTTCATTTTTTTGTCCATTCTTTAAAATCACAATGATAAATGCAGGCACTAATTTCTGATTTTACTGTATTTTCATTGAATTGCATGCAAATTAAAAAACATGAATGTACATTTGAATATGGAATTTTTTTTGTAGTAAATGTCATGTGTTCTTATATGTAATTGGTTTAAAATTAGTCCATGAATATATAAATAGATAGAAAATACTCTTTGGTTAGTTTGTTGTCTCTTTGACACATTCCCCATTGCCATTCTCAATTTTATTGTACATTTTATCAAAATACCTGCCAATCACAATTGTCATTTCTTAAAAACCTGTGGATTTTTCTGCAATTTTATTGAGACTGAGAAATGTTCCATTAAGATAATTCTTACCATTATTTTCAGCATGAAGATTTATATGCATTTTTATGCCAGATAAAATTGGTGTTTACTGGTATTTATTCATTTATATATTCTATTTATTTACAGAGAAGGCAGTGTAATAGCAGTATTTTCGCTTAAATATTATAATCTTCAACTGAGGACATCAGAAGTCAAATCAGGCACAGTACAAATGATTCTTCAAGTCAAGAGTGATCCTAAGACAGAGTTTGATTTGATAAAGGTTGCAGATCCAGATAGTGTTATTGTTGTATCCAAAGAAGGTAAAGTTAACATTTTATTAGTTAGAGGTGACCCAAGGTCACAGCTTGATATGATAAAGGTTGCAGATCCAGATAGTGTTATTGTTGTATCCAAAGCAGGTAAATTTAACATTTCATTAGTTAGAGGTGACCCAAGGTCACAGCTTGATTTGATAAAGGTTGCAGATCCAGATAGTGTTATTGTTGTATCCAAAGAAGGTAAAGTTAACATTTTATTAGTTAGAGGTGACCCAAGGTCACAGCTTGATTTGATAAAGGTTGCCGATAAATATAGAGTTATTGTTAAATCCAAAACAGGTATATTTACCGATGTATTTGACGGGTAACTAAAGGGCATACTATAGGCCTGTTTCTTGATTACTATAAGCAATAGGTCGACTATATTTAGTGCATATATTGATTTTGAAGTGTTTATTTCTGTCTTGCAGGATTCTGACTTTGACCTCATTTTCATGGTTTAATGTCAAAGTTAAGTTTTCATGTTTAGGTCTTTATCTCAGATACTATATGGAGTAGGTCAACTGTATTTGGTGTATGGAATGATGTATTGTGTACATCCTTGTTATGTGAGATTCCTCTGACTATGACACCATTTTCATGGTTCATTGATCAATGTTAAGTTTTTGTGGTGCCAGTTTCTATATGCAGTAAATTAACTATGTTTGGTGTATGGAATGAATATAAGATGTACATGTCCATCTGGCCGGGGTCATTTGACTTTTAATTCATTTACATGGATAATGTTAAGTTTACATGTATGTGGTACTTGTAGTTAATTTTTATCTGAAAGATTTTCAACATAAAATCAATCATTATCAGTAATGCAGGCAAGACATTTTAGTGTGCACTCTTGTTATACAGATAGTTATGACAAATTTCCTGATCCATGACAATGAATTTATCCACAATATAACAGGTTTTATGTGTATAGGTAGTTGTAGATGTACTTAGGACACTCAAATATACAATTTGTTATCAGATTTCTTGGAGTTAAAAAAAAATTAAAAAGATCTTCAATAGGAAAATTAGAAATCTTAAAGATAATTTTTTTTAATATTTTTTGTAAAATGAAAAAAATACAAATGGTATAAAAGTAATAAGTTTTTTCCAGGATAATAACAGTTTTTTTTAGCTGCATTATTTCTTGTTTTATCAGTACTGTATATAATATATATATATATTAAAATGGTGGTATTTTATAGATGAAAACCAGACGACTGATGTGTGTGCAGTTTATTCCGATAAAATAGTCTTCCCTGATGCATGTGGTATGGGTTGGTTTAGTTTTTTCAACAAAACAGATATAGATCAAGACTTCTTATGCAGGTAAATAGTTAATGAAACATTGATCTGCCTGCAATTAAATGAATGCTCAGAATGCATTAGATTCTGAAATTCACTAGTAGCCAGACTATTAAAGATGTACAGTGAAATTCAACCATCTGAAAATTCAGTTTTAAATGACTACACATGTATTGATAGTCGTATGAGTACTAAAGTTATCATGAAATGTTACACTTTTAAAACACTCTGATATTATTTAGACAAAAATCTGGTACTTATAATCAATTTTCGTAAATGATCCCTGGCTAATGTTTTAGTTATATTATTGGGAAACTCATTTTAAGTTTCATGTTGTAGAGTTTTAATGATAATGTTGTAAACATTTGAATATTTGACAATGATGTAAAGACAGCAAATAAACTGTCACTAGATGGCAGTGACCTACATTAAGGGCAGACCAAGACAAGTTTGAAAATACAATGAGTAATAAGGAGACATGAATTGAGAGATGTATGGAGAATAAGATGGTTTATGAATTGTTTTCATACAAATGACTAGCACCTATTATGGATTATGTTAGCACTACTTTCGACCACTGTAAAAATATGTCTAGCATTATGATGGATTGCCCCCTACAGAACTATTTAGCCTGTGTATGAATGAATATTTTGAAGCATAGAAAAGGTTTTTTTGCTATGAGGCCCAACAATGGAATATGACTTAACATAAGTACATTATTTTTCAGTATCTATGAAATGTACTTAGGTTGTATACAGGCTGCACAAATAGAGAAAACTGGCAAGGAATGTAAAAGAACATCATTAGCTTCCTGGATACCATACACTATAACAGCATTCTTACCTAATATAAAGGATTCACAACTCAGAGCTTGTAGAAGTAAGATATTGTTTGTCCTTTAGATTGTTTAGTCTATTAGGGTGATGGAAGGAAAATCTCTTTATTGGGTAAGGGATGTCCATCTAGAATTAAAAGAAACTTTTAATTACTTGAAAATTTGGGACCAATATCAATAGTGTCTTTGATCATTAGTTCTGACTGACTTGAAATGGCCTAAACTGTCCTTTGAATTTACTTTCTAAACTTCCTAGCTAAACAGGGTATCAGTTATTATAACAAATAGAATATTTTGTATTAATAATAATAATAATAATAATTCTTTATTTAAAGTATTTAATCTAACTTTTGTTTACCTGACCCCAACTGAAATGAAATCTCCCCTTTGCATATATATACAATAGTATTTTACATCCTAAAAAGCTTAACACAAATTAGCTTTGACATAGATGTCAACTACCATTTACTGACAAAATATTGTTGAAACTATTTACAAAAAGGAAAATAACTTTGTCAAAATGTTTTCATGTTAAATAATTTTGAGTTTTCTTTTGCTTTGTTACCTTCAAATAAGTTAACAAGAGTTGAGCAATATGATGGACATTTTTTCTTTTCAGTATCCAATGATAAAGATATATGTAATGACCCAAAGAATTTAGAAGTAGCAGCTGTAAACACTACATGTTCTATTGCCATTTTTTATTTCCATTTCATACCAATGATTCCTTGCAGGTAAGTTGATTGTCTAAGAATACTAAGGATTAATTATTTTTCAAGGGATATCAATTTTCACGAGTATACATGACCCACAAATTGAACTGATCAATGAGGTATAAATTTTCTATTGACTTGTATGCAGACTTTGGCAAAACTATGTAATCAAATATCCATGGAAGTACCATTTTTCTTTGGTCCACGAAAAATAAATGAATCTACAGTAAAATGATTTGTGATAAGATCCCAGTTACTCTCTGTATGGATGTAGTCTCATAAAAATGTTAAAATGATATGTTTAAACTTTTGACTTAACAGGCATTTTAATTGTAAGATATATATTATCTTTTTACAGTTTTTGCCTATACAACTTGATAGTTTTTGTCGAGCCTGCGACTTTTGTCGCAGAAAGCTCGACATAGGGATAGTGATCCGGCGGCTACGGCGGCGGTGGCTTTAGCTAACTTCTTAAAAGCTTTATATTTTAGAGGGTGGAAGACCTGGATGCTTCATACTTTGTATATGGATGCCTCATGTTACGAAGTTTCCCTCAGTCACATGTCCAATGTCCTTGACCTCATTTTCATGGTTCAGTGACTACTTGAAAAAAAAGTTAAGATTTTTTGTAATGTTAAATTCTCTCTTATTATAAGTAATAGGATAACTATATTTGGTATGTGCGTACCTTGCAAGGTCCTCATGCCCGTCAAACAGTTTTCACTTGACCTCGACCTCATTTCATGGATCATTGAACAAGATTAAGTTTTGGTGGTCAAGTCCATATCTCAGATACTATAAGCAATAGGTCTAGTATATTCGGTGTATGGAAGGACTGTAAGGTGTACATGTCCAACTGGCAGGTGTCATCTGACCTTGACCTCATTTTCATGGTTCAGTGGTTATAGTTAAGTTTTTGTGTTTTGGTCTGTTTTTCTTATACTGTATGCAATAGGTCTACTATATTTGGTGTATGGAAGGATTGTAAGGTGTACATGTCTAGCTGGCAGGTGTCATCTGACCTTGACCTCATTTTCATGGTTCAGTGGTTATAGTTGAGTTTTTGTGTTTTGGTCTGTTTTTCTTATGCTGTATGCAATAGGTCTACTATATTTGGTGTATGGAATGATTGTAAGGCGTACATGTCTAGCTGGCAGGTGTCATCTGACCTTGACCTCATTTTCATGGTTCAGTGGTCAAAGTTAAGTTTTTGAGATTTGATCTTTTTTTCTAATACTATATGCAATAGTTCAACTACATTTGGTGTATGGAAATATTTTATAATCTATATGTCAGTCACGCAGGTTTTTTTTTACCTTGACCTCATTTTCAAGGTTCATTGCTCAGTTTTAAGTTTTTGTGTTTTGGTCTGTTTTTCTTAAACTATAAGCAATAGGTCAACCATATTTGTTGTATGGAAGAATTGTTAGCTGTACATGCCTGCCTTGCATGGTTCATCTGACCTTGACCTCATTTTCATGGTTCATTGGTCAATGTTTAGTTTACTTGGTTAATGTTAAGTTTATGTGACAGTTGTAATAAAGCTTTATATTTAGGACTATCAACATAATATCAATGATTAGTAAAGAAGGCGAGACATTTCAGCGTGTGCACTCTTGTTTTATGTTTAAATTGATGATTTACCTTATGTTTAAATCAATACAGGAGCTATTGTAAGCTATTGATATGCATATTGATTAAGTTACTGTTGCAATGTAGCTGTTCTGTGCTGATGCAAACCTAAGCAATAATTAATCATGAAAATACATACTCTTTTACCTTGTATTATCATTGTCCATTCTTAGGTAATTTTGTTTTTATTCATTAATTATGATAAAAAAGGTATAAATAGGTCTGTTAGTAGAAAATTTATTAGACTGACAACAGAATTTTAACTATTTGTGTGAATTTATTTAATTCTTCACTCAAATTACAGACTATTTTGAATTTTTTTTTTTTTTTTTTTTTTTTTTTTGCTTTAAGGGGGATTATCTTGACGTCTTTAAACACTTTATTTTTCTGACAAGTAATAGATTATTTTGACTGTTTTAGTATATTATTATCTTAGTGTGCTAAGACACTTTTTTCAGACAATTTACAGACTATTTTGACTGTTTAGTGTGTATGGTTACCTCTGCTACAGAACAGTATCATTTATTCAGACAAGTCATAATGTATTTTGACTGTTTTCTACATATTAACCTCAATGTGATGGGACACTTTTTATTTTTCAGTCAAGTTACAAATTATTTTTGACTGTTTGGGTGGATTGTTACATCTTATTTTTCAGTCAAGTTACAAATTATTTTGACTGTTTGGGTGGATTGTTACATCTTATTTTTCAGTCAAGTTACAAATTATTTTGACTGTTTGAGTGGATTGTTACATCTTATTTTTCAGTCAAGTTACAAATTATTTTGACTGTTTGGGTGGATTGTTACATCTTATTTTTCAGTCAAGTTACAAATTATTTTGACTGTTTGGGTGGATTGTTGCATCTTATTTTTCAGCCAAGTTACAAATTATTTTGACTGTTTGGGTGGATTGTTACATCTTATTTTTCAGTCAAGTTACAAATTATTTTGACTGTTTGGGTGGATTGTTACCTCAATGTGATAGAACTGACATGGTAAAGAAGATTGTAGAATTACCTATGTTTAAAGCTGTTGTACCTGGTAATTTTGAAGCTCTTCAGTGCTATGGAGGTAAACATTCAAAATAATAATCTTAATAAGTTTTTTATGAATAAATGTCAATTATAAGTCTGAATGTTTAATTATACCTTTTGCAACAAAGTTGTGTAGGGTATAATGTTTTTGACTCGTCTGTCCATCAGTCAGTCCATACGTCTGTCTGATTGTTTAGGGTCCCGGTAAAGTGAGAAACGGAACAGAAACGAAACAGAGCGAAACGAAACGAAACAGAGCGAAACGAAACGAAACATGGCGAAACGAAACGAAACATGTAATTTGAGAAACGAAACACAACGAAACGGAACAAATTCTGTATTTTAAGGAACGGATTTTTTTTTTTTTCATTTTCGTCTATGAATGTTAGTGATGTCCTTTTCATATATTTTGTAAATTAAATAAATGCATGTAATGTTTTTGATGTTCCAAAAGGTTACTTCTCTCCAAAATTAATTACAACCCATCAAAGAATATTGAAGCGTGAGATCCGATGTTTTTTTGGCTTTATCTCCGCCGACAATAATAGATCAAAGACATTCACTCGACTCATTTGGTAAGCCTCATTTAGTTACTACTACTAGTAAGGGTCGAGTCGTTTGTAATGACTGTCCTGTATACAACAACGTGAAAATCTGTTCACATGCCGTGGCTGGAGCCGACTTTTTTGGGCGTTTTAGCTAAGTATATTGCATGGCGAAGCAAGGAAATAGTGGCCAATGCATTATCTGATATAATTTTTGAAGGGACTAGAGGTGGAAAGAAGAAGATTTCTAAGCCAAGACGCGGCGGAAGAGCCCCAGTACCAGCAACATCAGTCAGAGAGGAACCTTCTGTTCAACGAACTCCCTTGGTTGTAGATACCAAATCATTAGCGGCAGTTGTTGATGATTTGGAAAAATTTGAGGAAGTTGAAAAAACAAAGTTTGAAATACTTTATCTTTTTCAAACAAAAGCAAGCATTTGCTATGGCTGTTCACGAAAGTTTGAACGAGACGAAGATAAAAACAGAATGATCATAAGGGTGTATTGTCAGCGCGAATACAAAGTATCAGGTGAAATGAAGAAAAAATGGCAGTTCGCATATTTTCACCTCAAGAAACCATGCGTAACAAACAAGTTTCCAGACTTCACGCTTACAGATATTGCCATCGCTAATGAATGCAAAGATATCATACCGGACACTTTATTAGTTAAACTGACATCACATGGGGTAAAGCTTTAAACTGTTTCCCGTTTTTATGTGACTATTAATTTGAACAAAAGAGTTGTTTGTGTGATTTTTTTTTATTTTGTTGCAATATTTTGTTTGGTTCCATGATAATTAATTTGATGTAAATTCATTTTAAACTTCATGTAGTAAAAAGATGTGTAAATGTACATTGTTTTCCTTGTTTGACGAATCAAAAATGTAAACATTATCGCTGAAGACGATTGTGAGTGTAAGAGGAAAAGCCTTGGCACACAACAGTTTGGCCTGACGAAGGGAGTCCAAGGTTTTTGAAAGTACACAAGATTGTTACAATATATAGTTATTTCATCAATTTAGTAGTATCATTTTATACCCATTCAACTTCCTTATTTTATTGAACATTACTATCATCTCAAAAATATAACGGAATAAGAGTAATGTATGAACTGCCGATAGATGTTAATATATTCTTCTGATTGGACAAAAACACTGCAACAGTAAACGGTCAAGTTTGAATATTGCCTTCTCTAAAACTAAAATAAACAGACCAAAATATACCCACTCAATCTTTATTTTTTTTAATGTTAGGTGAAAGTCAATGAGACAGCAACACATCAACACAAACCATCGAAAGGCATCTAGAGTTTATAGTCAACAATAGACAAGCGTTTATTCATTATGTCAAGCTCTCAGACAAACCCATCCTGAGTCGAATAGTAACATGACATACTATAAACCGTTTCCTACTTTAATGACAAAACAGCAGCATACAACATTAAGAAGATAAATGATACATATTGATATTCAGCATTAAGAATATAAACATTTATGTCATTCATCCTTTTCTTATTGTTAATGGCTGTTTAAATCAAACATGGAATACTATTCATCCATCAGTTATTATAACTCCATCTGTTTTCTGTTCAGATTCAGTGCGTCCTTTGGTATTTTTTTAGGCTACTACAATTGCAAAGCCGGATCTTGGTCTTCTTCGTTACCAACACCGAATATTCCATTCAACTTAGAAAAAATAACCCACCATTTACATGGGTATCATCGTGCATTAGTTGCAATTAATACACTTTTTTGTTTAATGCGAGACTTAGGTGCGTCAGCTATGCTAGAGTCTGTTCTAAAATTAAGGCTTCTTGTCACGTGCAACAATGAGGAAACATTGTAATTAGAATGGCCGTTACTGTGGATCGTCTGAATATACGCCTGAAACAAAATTGGCCATTCTTTCCTTAGTGATTAGGATTTTGATGCCACTACGGTAGTGGGGCATAATATTTTCTGATATGTGCTGCCGTCCGTCAGTCCGTCCGTCCAATACTAGGTTTATGTTGTTTGCTATCATAGATTCAATTACAATGGAGTTGTGTCCACGTCAACTTGAAACTATACACATGTTCATTATAAAATGGTCTTTTTGAAATATTTGCCAAATTAGGAATTCAATGAGCATGAAAATTTGATATTTTAAGCAAGTCATACTGTCCTACGGATACATATACTTGTTGTTTTTTTTTCGTTTATACTTTTTTTTAAGTTGAAGAGATTTTTTTATTATGGCAGTCCATGCCATGACATTCTCCTTCTTTTATTTTGTTGCAAAGCAGATAAGACATGCATAAGATATTAACAGATGTGATCGAATGAAAAGTTATACGTACTAATAGTTCATAATATTATTAACGATAACAATGTGTGGGACTATAAAGAATAGACAAATATAAAGTGTAAGTATTGCGTTCTTTTCGTAGTTCAGCAATTAGTGGAATTAAGCCCATTATGTAATGTGTCTTCGAGATTAAATCAGATCTTCTGTAAAAAACAAATCAAGAGACAGACCCAGGCTTTAAGAAAAGGGGCGTAATTGTCCATATTGACGATCTTTAAGCAAACAGCTAGATGTTTTCGATCAAAAGGGCCTTCTAAACCCGCATTGATCTTAGGAAGATTTTCTATGGGTCGTTCCTTAAAATACAGAATTTGTTCCGTTTCGTTGTGTTTCGTTTCTCAAATTACATGTCTCGTTTCGTTTCGCCGTGTTTCGTTTCGTTTCGCCATGTTTCGTTTCGTTTCGCTCTGTTTCGTTTCGTTTCGCTCTGTTTCGTTTCTGTTCCGTTTCTCACTTTACAGGGACCCGATTGTTTATCAGTTGTCAGTCAGTTCTGTTCTTGTCATCGCAACTGCTCTGAAACCACATAACAGAATTTCATGAAACTCTAGGTCAAAGGAGATACTATGTAGATGTGCAAATGGACAGAAAATTATGATTAAATTTTTTTTTTAACTTAAACTTTTGGCCTTAATAAACTACTGCAACAGTTTGTCATCACAAATCCTCTGAAACCACACAACAGAATTTCATGAAACTTTGTAGATAAATAGAACATACTATGTTGATGTGCATATCGACAGGAAATTATGATTCAATTTTTATGCCCCTGCCGTAGCTAATGGGGGCATTAAGTGGTACCCTTGACCGTCCTTTCATCCATCCCATTTTTGTTTCCGCACTCTAACTTAAGTTTTCCTCATCCAAATTTTATTACACTCATACACAATGCTAAGAACCAAGACTTGCAGACAGAGTTGGAATTTGGGCAGTAAGTCACGTTCCGTTCTAGAGTTATGCCCCTTTATAGTTTGGAAAATTGCAAATTTTTTCGTTTCCACACACTATTGAATTTAGAATTTTGGCCTTAATATACTACTGCAACAGTTTGTCATTACATCTCTGCTTCTGTGACATTAATTTTGTTTTTTATCATTGACAAATTGATGTTTGAATACTATCTGTATATGCTTGGTATCATATCCTTTAAGTATTAGAACATTATCTAGTATTTAAAAGGAGTCTTGGTGAACAAGTGGTCTAAGTAGTTTACAGTATCACTAGCCTGTCATCACTGAGGTTGTGAGTTCAAAACCCTGCACTTGTCGGGTGCTTTCGAGTCAAATTCTGATTAACTAGGATTGCCAATTTTCACACCCAAGGCCCAGAGATCTCTCGGGCACTCTGGCTTCCCTCCACCAATAAAATCTGGCTGCCACAATATAGCCAAAGTGCTTCAGCATTATATACAGTCAATCACCAGTCGTAGAATTTTAAAATTACCAGATATAATTTAATATTTGCCAACACTTTTCAGTTATATGACTAATAAACATAGTACAAAATATGAAGTATGAATAACAAACAGTTGTCTTCTTATTAAAGTTATTCATTGTCTATTCTTATTGGAAAGTTTTGAAATATTCATCCCATAGAAATCCCTATCTCTCCTTTCAGTTGTTGACTGTGCTAGTATTGGTTACATTAGACATACAGTAAGTAGTTACTGCAGCAGTACCATGAATCACCTGAAAGTTGTGGACCAGAGCAGAAGATGCAGGTAAGTGAATATGAAGTAATGATATATTAAATCATTTTGAATATTACAAAAGTATCATGTCTCTGAGTAACTGAATTTAGAGGGGTTTTGTATTCAGTAAAAACATGAAATTTAATTTTTGATGAAAATTTTTTTTCTGTAACTGTGCCTGTAGTTTGATGCCAAATGGGAGTAGATTAATTTGTGACCAAATTTACACTTTATTTCAAAACTGAAAATGTGATTTTTATTTCTGCAAAACTTATCATGTCACAATTTTTGCAATAATAGAAACACAGCAAACATTTCTAAATTACAATATGTGTTATAAATATTTTACAGTGTTCTAATGGATATAATATCCTGTACAGTCTACAACTCCAGGGTCTGTTCACCAGAACATATTATAACTGCCATTGAGAAAGAGCCCTGGAATGCTCTTGGGCTTAACCCTATAGGGGGATTTAATCTGTCTTCATGTTACGGTATGTTCATATTCAATTCAATAGTTATTATACCCCACGCAACGAGTTGCAGAGGGTATAATGTTTTTGACCCGTCCGTCTGTCCGTCCGTCAGTCCGTCAGTCCTGTTTCTTGTCATCGCAACTCCTCTCAAACCACACAACAGAATTTCATGAAACCTTTTTAGATAATAAGGACATACTATGTAGTTGTGCATATCGACAGGAAATTACTATTCATTATTTTTTCTGGAAGTTACGCCCCTTTGAACTTATTTACTTTAATTTACTACTGCAACAGTTTGTCATCTCAACTCCTCTGAAACCACACTACAAAATTTCATGAAACTTTGTAGATAATAAGGACATACTACGTAGATGTGCATATCGACAGGAAATTACGATTCAATTTTTTTTCCAGGAGTTATGCCCCTTTGAACTTATTTACCCAATATACTAATGCAACCTTTTGTCATCGCAACTCCTCTCAAACCACACAACAGAATTTCATGAAACCTTTTCAGATAATAAGGACATACTTTGTAGATGTGGATATCGACAGGAAATTAGGATTCAATTTTTTTTCTAGGAGTTACGCCCCTTTGAACTTATTTGTTTCAATATACCTCTGCAACAGTTTGTCATCGCAACTCCTCTGAAACCACACAACAGAATTTCATGAAACTTTGTAAATAATAAGGACATACTAGGTAGATGTGTACATCGACAGGAAATTATGATTCAATTTTTTTCTAGGAGTTACGCCCCTTTGAACTTATTTACTTTAATGTACTACTGCAACAGTTTGTCATCTCAACTCCTCTGAAACCACACAACAAAATTTCATGAAACTTTGTAGATAATAAGGACATACTACGTAGATGTGCATATCGACAGGAAATTACGATTCAATTTTTTTCCAGGAGTTACGCCCCTTTGAACTTATTTGCCCAATATACTACTGCAACCTTTTGTCATCGCAACTCCTCTCAAACCACACAACAGAATTTCATGAAACCTTTTCAGATAATAAGGACATACTACGTAGATGTGGATATCAACAGGAAATTAGGATTCAATTTTTTTTACTAGGAGTTACGCCCCTTTGAACTTATTTGCTTCAATATACCTCTGCAACAGTTTGTCATCGAAACTTCTCTGAAACCACACAACAGAATTTCATGAAACTTTGTAGATAATAAGGACATACTATGTAGATGTGCATATCGACAGGAAATTATGATTCAAACTTTGTTGTTCACTGAACACGGAAACGTTATTCTGTGAGCCAGGAATGGTGTCCTATGGACACATATTCTTGTTTTTTTCTGTATTTGTCCAGATAGAACAACACTGAACAGGACTTGCAGAAATTTTCATATGAAAAAGAAAATCTTCCAGATAAGGCCTTTTTTTTGTAAATTGTCCTTAACACAGGAACACAATCAATTCATAAATTTGACATGAGGCGTTCTAACTGTAAAAACTAGCCCTGATTAAATACCTCCACATTAAAACAGCTTCTAGTAACAGAAAATTGACCATAAAGTAGTACACTACACTGTAACAACCATATTGAGAAAACAGAGGTTGGATTTATATGATTTGCATTTATTGTTCTAAATAAGAAATGCACCACAAATTTATTGTAATCTTGGGCCTCTATTGATATGTAGAGATACTACTGATTTATTTTACATACAATGTTGAAAAATAATAATTCTGTTTGAAATATGATTTATTTTCAGATCCTAAGAATATAGATTTACAAACCATCTTCCCTGTAAATTCTACTGTTACTCCATGTCTTAATCCAGATGTTTTACGAAGTGTTCTCAATTACAACTGTTACTATATGGGACTGAGACAACAGATGCAGGGAACCAGTGTATTTGATAGCTGCCGGTACAGTATATTTTTTGTCCTGATATTTTACAATGTAGCCTCATTCTGATTATCATTAAAGCGGTCGATTAAAGACCCCAAATGTCATAATATTATGAAACTGATTGAAGGGTTTTAAATATTTGTTACGAAAGTTGGACTTCTTGTTGCTGGAAAAAAAAACCTTTTGTTCATGCTTTTTTTATTGATTTAAATAGATTTGTCAATCGGCTAATTGTTCCTTACATATTTAGAAATATAGTTTCAGCTATATAAAGCAAGATTTCTTGATGAACCATCTTTAGAACTAGTCTTACAAGACTACAATTTTAAACAATCAAATTAAATGTTTACTATTTAATTTCTACAGATTTTACTGGTTTAGCTCATCGTGTGTTTATCATACTACAATGAGCAAACCTGAATACTTTGGGAATTGCACTTACAAAGAGGTGGAAGATGTCTTAGAGATGTATGAAGACCAGATTTTCACAATATCACCAAATAATGTCAATGCTTCTGTTTGTTTTGGTAAGTTGAACCTTGTTTTTGATCTAATTATGTTAAATACACCACACATATGTAGCCTCTATATCATATGCACATGAATATATAAATAGCCTTCATGTGCACACTACAGTACACTTATATGTCCAGTTCAAATCCTGAAAGGCCTTTTAAATCAGAATTTGATGAAATCTTTTCTAAATCTTCACAATATAATACATAATTGCACCGCCTGTTTTAGTTTTTGGTCTTAATTATTTACGGGGTTTCCCTAACCAAAGCATTGACTCTGAAAGGGATTGGGTATCAATTTGTAAGCTTTGCTCACATTACCTCTAGTTTGAACTGTTTTAAAAACTAATTGTTATTTTTTGGGATAAAAATCAAAATTTCAGTTTCAAAATACTTTTTTTAAATAAAGCTTACACCTGATAATTTGTAGAAGCATATTTTACGACTTATGTGTTTGTGTTAATCTTCAAGTACACTAAAATGAGCTGCACCTTGAAATACATTTGAAATGATATTTGTTTTTAATATTTTCAGGTTACAACAGAAAGGAAAAAGAATGTTCCACTGCACTCTACAGTCCAGAATATTTCCCACGTGCTATCATGTGTTTTGAATCTGCAGTAACAGCTTACTTAACTCCTTCTTTTTCATTTCATGATGACTGTCTGTAAGTTTTTTATGCCTTGTCTTGAATAGTCTGGGCCTTATATCTTGTTTTTCTGTCCATCCTGTATCAGATGAAAGTTTTGGTTTAGGGCAGTTTTCCATGAAGATGTGGTTGCATCTACTTGAAACTTAGTACTTGGGTCTGGATGCGGGGCTTTTCATTTCTGTATTCTTTAATTTAGTTGTCCATTTTTCTCCATTCTTTATAGTTGAGCACATCATTGTTTTTTATTCTGTGTCTATTCCTTATTTTTTAACCCTTTATTCTGTTTTTTTGTTTTTGCCCATTTTTCTCAATTCTGTAAACCCCATTCAGACCCTCTCACATGTTCATTATGACGTGATCTGTATAAAATATATATGCCAAAATAGTTCATCCAATTTCACAGTTAATTTAGTAATTTGGAAATGTGGTAGTGTGTGGGTGTCATGATGTTCTATGAACAAATATTCTTGTTTTGATATTTTTTGGGAAATACCTAGCTAGAATTATGTTACATTTCTATTTATTGCAAACCAAATGAAACTTTTCCACAGATTCATCTCCTATTGGTCTATCTATTTAAACTTTTGTCAGTTCTATTGTCCCATTGAATAAATACAATAGCCATTGTTCTCTGTGTAGTTAGTTCATTGGGACCTTTAAATTTCTTCTAAGAGAAATCCATCACTCATTGATTAATATACCTGAGTAAAAAAATTATCTTCTAAATAGATGAAAATACATGTTTCAACTCACAAAACTGCATGTGATTTTGTATTTATTAAAATATTTTCAATCTGTTCAATATAAACACTGATTTAATCATAAAAAGTTGATTTCTGACAAAATTTTTAGCATTGTTTCTTCGTATTCTATCATATTCTTCGACAAGTTCTAAAATCAGTGCTGAATTTTTTTTGAAAGAGTTTAATATGCCCCTTTGAAATATAACTATATAAAAAATTGCAAATAAGTGCTCTCATGTGTACAATTCTTGTCTACTTAAGTCATTAGTAATTTTTTTGAATAGATAATACAGAGTTGGGTACATAATGCTAAATCTCTATATTTTGTACAGAATACACAAAGAAAATTTTGAATGCATGGACAGATTTTATAAACAAAAAGGATTGAAGAATTGTCACATGACTCAGTTTGAGAATGACGTAATGTTTATAACCAAGAGTATGTATTCCACAACATCAGAGGCTATAGGATATGACCTGAACCAGAATGATATGATTGACAGATGCATGGGTATGTTAATAATTATAAACATTTTAAGTTTCCTTGGAATCTAGGCTACAATTTGGTTGATCTTGGCTTTCTATAATGTTACCAATGCTTTTTACAATTGAGAGGAGGATGTATTAAATGAAATGCAGTACCTTTAGGGTATTTTTAAAAGTACTTTAATTTTATACATACCACATCTTGTTTACTTATTTCCAAGGTGCTGTTTTCATTTATTCCTTTACTCTTTGTATCCTTTCTATGTTAAGAAAGATCAAATCGATTCATGTGCAAAGTTCATAGCAACACATTAAATGTGTCATATAATATAAAAATCTGGCTTAATCGATTAGAAAAATAAAGAAATGTGGTATGATTGCTATCTAACTCCATCTATTTTTTATAACGTTTCAAAGATGTAAAATGGTGTTTTTTTTATAAAACTAGATTCTGTGAATTATTGCTGGTGCCTTACTTTAAAAAAAATAATTTTTATAAAAAAAAATATATTTCTTTGTTAGATAAGTTATTACCATTAGATGAAATCAGACAATTTAGTCATTTCGAGGAAAATTCCCACATTTCTTCATAATAATTTACTTCAGTAAAAAAAAATGGACTGACGATTGCAGTTATTTTGCAATTCAAGATGGTGAAAGTCTCTCTTACTTCCTCAGCAGAATTCGATTTTGATAGTTCTAATGAGTTAAGTTAATATTTCTGTATTATAGTAAATGTATCAATGGAACCAGGTTTTGGTGAAAATTTGTGTGATGATGGAGTGGGATTAATTATGTCAAACACAACATGTCTAACTCATCTGATGGCGGAACGAAATGACATGTGCAGGTATGTGAACGATTAATTATGTCAAACACAACATGTCTAACTCATCTGATGGAGGAGTCACATGACATGAGCAGGTATGTGAACGATTAATTATGTCAAACACAACATGTCTAACCCATCTGATGGCAGAACTAAATGACATGTGCAGGTATGCCTTAAAAGATCCAAGTTTGACATATTTAGAATGAAATTATATTCACATATATCATATATTAATAACTCCTGATAATTAGTTGGTATTCAATGTTTTATAAGAAATTCTATTATAAACAATAATACTTTTTATAATACTTGGAATATACAATATAACAAATAAGAAGATGTGGTATGATTGACAATTAGACAACTCTGCACCAGAGATCTAAGGTGGTACAAGTTTGGAACTATAGGTCACAGTACAGGCTTCATGGTAAAAATAAGTAGATGTGGTATGATTGCCAATGAGACAACTCTGCACCAGAGATCTAATATGGTACAAGTTTGGAACTATAGGTCACAGTACAGGCTTCATGGTAAAAATAAGTAGATGTGGTATGATTGCCAATGAGACAACTCTGCACCAGAGATCTAATATGGTACAAGTTTGGAACTATAGGTCACAGTACAGGCTTCATGGTAAAAATAAGTAGATGTGGTATGATTGCCAATGGGACAACTCTGCACCAGAGATCTAATGTGATACAAGTTTGGAACTATAGGTCACAGTACAGGCTTCATGGTAAAAATAAGTAGATGTGGTATGATTGCCAATGAGACAACTCTGCACCAGAGATCTAAGGTGGTACAAGTTTGGAACTATAGGTCACAGTACAGGCTTCATTGTAAAAATAAGTAGATGTGGTATGATTGCCAATAAGACAATTATTGATTGATTGTTGGTGTTTTAACACCACTTTTAAGAGCCACATTTGGGCTATTTCCTGGCGGTCAGTTTTTATAGGAAGCCGGAGTGCCTGGAGAAAACCACTGATCTTCGATAGGAAAACTGACAATCCTAGTCAATTAAGATTGGAGTCGAGTGCAACTGCACCAGCAGGGTTCGAACTCACAACCTCAGTGTTGACTTGCAAGTGATTACAGTAGTGGAACTACTTAGACCACTTGGCCACCGGGGCCACCCTTCAAAAACCCATACCATATAGTCTGCTATAAAAGGCCTCCACATGAAAAATATTATGTGAAACAATTCAAATGAGAAAACTAACGTCCTTATTTATAACAGAACAATTTACAAAAACAAATGTGACAGACATGAACCAACGCATTATTTGAGGTCTTTTATGTAAACACCATTGTTGCTGGATGTATTACCTTCTAAGCTATCTATATTGAAAAAATACTGTAAATTCAGACATTTTACGAAATTTTTACAAGACAGGATAGATTTAGAAAAAATAAAACTATCATTTAAATTTTTTATAGCATTATTTTTATGCAGTATTTCCTTAAATCCCAATAACTATCCTCACATTTGTGTCCATTGTTCAGCAATACCAATAGTAAATGTAAACAAATATTCTGATTTTACAGTTTACTTAATTAGCATTGTTCACAATGAAACATTGTTTTATTAGATTGGAAGGGGAGTATTATATTCCCTGTATAAAGAACAGAACAGACAAATATGAAATGAATTGTACCAAAGGTGAAATAAGTAACAGTTTACGGAAAGAGAGACAGTTCATTAAAGAAATGACGAAAGGTGTACTGGACTTTACTGCAACTTGTAAGTCTGTTTTTCCATTACTCTACATTTTTATGATTTCTGTGTTTGGTAAGTTCAGTTCTGAATAAAAATATTAAAATTTACTTCAGCTATAATTGGTTCCAACACATTTCCATTGCATTTTTCACCAACTACAAGTCATAGCTTCTTTATATATGGCATCAAGTGTCATCTGGTTATGCCATACGATAAGACATGTATTCAACTCCAATATTTTTTTCCCATTTGCAGAAAACATACATCTTTAAAATGCTTTGCATTGAAAATTCTGTCACATATAGTCAACAGCATTGAGTGGGGGTATAATTAGGGAGCAATGATAGCTCACAGGATATCTTATTTATTTGGGAAAGGAACTTGGTCCTGAGCAGATATACCTTGCAATGTTTTGCCCAAAGAAATAGTCTAATGTAACACCTGAATAAGGTTTTTTTTTTTTTGTAATGTGTTTATTGGCAAAAATACATGTATCAATATGATATGTTATGATTACAATAATTAGTCAGTAGTTACGTCAGTAAAATCAGGGCAAATACCTAAACAAGTTTGGTCTCTCTACTATCTATTAGTAATACTGATTTACTCTTATGAAATCCAAAAAAAATAAATGATTTTTTGTTTATACAGGTGGAGGTGACGTATGTTTAAGTTATACAAATTACATGTATGTTGAGGAGGAAGAAGATTGTACAATAGCCTTTGGTAATGATGAACAAAAAGATCCTTTTGAACTGTTATGTAAAAAATACAATGTTTATTTAAGTTGTGTGACAACAAATATCAAGGAAAAGCATCAGTGTGAAAAGTTTTCTCTACATTCTTGGTTACCTGGATACATAGATAGACGTTACAATATATCTGGTGCAGACAGGTGTAATGGTAAGTTTTATTATTAGACATGCTCCTAAAGTCATTTGTACAGAAACTTATACTGACACCCATACCCTAATATAGAAATAGAGGGAGCATATCAAAATGTCTAATACTGTAAATTCAGAAATTATTGCGAGGTTTTTATTAATGCGAATAATGCGATTGCATGAGTATCGCAATAATAAGACCTCGCATTATGATATCTAATACATATATTTCTATTCACTTTTTCCTGAAATCGCAATAATTAATCTAGCATTTTTTCCAATTTTTCAAAAATCGCAATAATAAACGCACGCAATAATTTCTGAATTTACAGTATTCTGAATGAATATTGATTGGATAACGATTTAAGCTTGTTTAAAAACAATTTCTGAAACTTATTGCTTAATAAACACTAACATCATTATAGTTATATCATAAGATTTACCTAGCTTCATAATGACACATTCTTTGCATTTCCATTTTCATTAAAAAATAGATAAATGTTTAATGAAACTGTCCCATCAAATATCATGCAAGCTTGTGATTTCATAAGATTTGTAATATTATGTTGCCAAACTCAGACATTTTCTGGTTTGTTGCAAAGTTTTACTATTTTTATAATGATGTCTGTATAGTTTAGGAGTTTATTTTAAGAAAGGGATTTGTATAAGACTTGTCATTATTTTCCATTGTGCATTGTATAGCTATTCGTGTGTATGACATCATTACTTTTTTTATACATTTTGTTTGTACTAATGTTAATGTTGTGTAACTTTTTATTATTCCAGTGACCAATGAGAACTATTGTAATGAAATACACACCCTAGAACTGATGGTGAACAATACAAAATGTGGATATTATCTAAATGTTATGGCATCATATCCTAGTTGTCTGTAAGTATGATTGTTACAAAATCAGATAGAAATCAACCTTATGCAAGTGAACGTATACATGTACATGTATAAGAATTTGATGATTTTGGAACATTCAAATACGAAATAAAAGATGAATTTTGGTCTGTTTTGTAGGTTGCTTATATCAACTCACTTTCAAATAGTTACAGTCTTTGCATAGAGATTTTTTCAAGCCCAAATAAGTTAACATATATATTAATATTCATTTGCATAAGGTCGATTTTACTCCGACGCAGCTTATATATTGACATAATATGGTATCAGTAGTTGATGATGAAAAGATGTATATATAATAACAACATTTCATAAAAGCCTTTAAGTGTTAGGGCTTCAAACTTCTTACATTGAGTGCAAAACTGAATAAACTTAAAAAATGACCTCCTTCTGGGATCTTTTCATTTTTTATTTAGATATGAACAACATTTTAACCAAATAAATATTTTGCTCAAGATGTATTTTACACAGATGGTAATATGTGTGGGATATCTTAAATATCTCAATTTCAACATGTTTATGACATCAGTAACATCAAAGGTGACCTTTCTGCACTGAAGTGTCCAGATTATATTAACCTGTTCATTTGTCAATAAAATTAACAGTAATTTTTCTACTATTGCAATTTCAGGGGTCAAATAATATCTCTTATCATACCTCCTTCTTTTAACTGCCACGATTTGGTAAAATATGATATCACACTTGATGCAGTGGTAGAAAAATAAAGGCAACAGTAGTATAGTCAAAAATCGATTACGCGAAAACAAATCCAGGTTACAAACTAAAACCGAGGGAAACACATTAACTATAAGAGGAAAACAAAGGAACAACAGAAACTATATTTTAATGTTTTTTTTTACAGAAATGCAAAGATGTTTTTGGATTGTATGACAGGACTTTTCCCTAGTTGTGATGAGTATAGGTTAGCACAGATCATGGTTAACTCAGTTATAAAAAACAGAATTCCACAGACATTTAATCCAATGGCATGTTTTGGAGGTAATTTTCAATAAATGTACAAGTCAATGAAACATTCTACAATAATATAACATGAAACAACACTTTTGATCGGACAACTTTTGTCATGAGTTTCACTGTTGACAGTCAGTTTCATCTGGGACTAATACATTGATTTTGTCCCATGTGTCATTAGGAACAATGTTTTGTTTTGAGTATATTTCCAGTTTTGCTTTAGCATAGTATGTGAAGTATTACTACAGTCACATTGGTCTTTATGTGTGATCCCTAATTGACTGTTGCAGTTCTAGAACAGTATGTGAAGTATTACTACAGTCACATTGGTCTTTATGTGTGATCCCTAATTGACTGTTACAGTTCTAGAACAGTATGTGAAGTATTACTACAGTCACATTGGTCTTTATGTGTGATCCCTAATTGACTGTTGCAGTTCTAGAACAGTATGTGAAGTATTACTACAGTCACATTGACCTTTATGTGGGATCCCTAATTGACTGTTACAGTTCTAGAACAGTATGTGAAGTATTACTACAGTCACATTGGTCTTTATGTGTGATCCCTAATTGACTGTTGCAGTTCTAGAACAGTATGTGAAGTATTACTACAGTCACATTGACCTTTATGTGTGATCCCTAATTGACTGTTACAGTTCTAGAACAGTATGTGAAGTATTACTACAGTCACATTGGTCTTTATGTGTGATCCCTAATTGACTGTTGCAGTTCTAGAACAGTATGTGAAGTATTACTACAGTCACATTGGTCTTTATGTGTGATCCCTAATTGACTGTTGCAGTTCTAGAACAGTATGTGAAGTATTACTACAGTCACATTGGTCTTTATGTGTGATCCCTAATTGACTGTTGCAGTTCTAGAACAGTATGTGAAGTATTACTACAGTCACATTGGTCTTTATGTGTGATCCCTAATTGACTGTTGCAGTTCTAGAACAGTATGTGAAGTATTACTACAGTCACATTGGTCTTTATGTGTGATCCCTAATTAACTGTTGCAGTTCTTCTCATTACAATATTATTATATCTTAAATGAATGAATGAATAAAGCTCAAGGTTCCATGAACCCATTGTTGGTCCTTTAACAGTGAATTATACTTATATACATATATTTTAGGGGTTGGTTAAGAGTCTAATATACATATATTTTAGGGGTTTGTTAAGAGTCTAATATACATACATTTTAGGGGTTGGTTAAGAGTCTAATATACATATATTTTAGAGGTTGGTTAAGAGTCTAATACAAGGCTTCCAAAACGGTCATATATTCCGGACATTTGTATAATGTCCGGTAAAAATCCGGCTGGGCAAAGCATGAAACGGTCATCTACTTTTTAGTTTTCAAGGCTTTCTTAAGAGACGGTCATTTTAACATAATTCGCGATCTTTTTGACCCAACCTTTTGCCTTTAACAGCCACACATCATAAAAGTGACATGATCATTAAGTTCTATCAAAACAACCCCTACTTTAATACCTTCTTATTTTAATCAAGGCTAATTAGTTGTCGAACAGCTGACATTTACCGGTTCAGGTGACAGGTAAACAACAATTTTGAACCGGACATTGATCGGTCTATTCAAAGTTATTTTCTTACATTTCAGCGGTTTGCAACTTTTTAATTTAGTCAAAAAGATTTAAATTATCAGAAATACGTTTACAAATATGATTTGATGAAAAAATAAAAAGGTGAAAATGAAAAATCGTCATAACCACGTTGTTTACATGTCTCTGTTTGAACTAGTACACGTGTGGGCAGGTGTGAAATTTAATTATGCATCCTAATTTTTTCAAAAAATGCTTAAATTGTCATTGATACCTTTATCTCACGTTTATTTCGAATATTTTCTTGAAGAAATAATGTAGAAAGAGCTACGTACACTCATTCATGCTTTGCAAACGTACACGGAATTTACGTATCCGTCTCTGGTCCATGTTTTACCATTGTCAAGATAACATCCGGATTAGATTTAAAAACGAAAGTAAAGTTTTTGACAACGTAATTTTGCACAAATAAAGAGTCTAAGGCAGATATAAGTACGCTGATGTTGCACACTTCGAATGATGCACTGCCAATTTAACAGTTTACATCAGAACTTCGAATTTGAATCAAAGAAAGTTTAATATCGTTTTTTTTTAATGTCAATCATAAAAAATTTGGGATGGCCAACTCGGCAACTGAATACCATAATTACCTTTTGTTTATTTAGTCTTAAGGGATTAAAATCAGGATAATATATAAAATGTCCGGCTGGCTAAAAATAATTTTGGAAGCCCTGGTCTAATATACATATATTTTAAAGCCTTTTTCATCAAACTTTATGAATACATTTGTAGTAAGAGTAATTAAAAAACTTTCGTGTTTGTGTTTTAGGTACAAAAAATGAAAACACTTTATAAATTTCATGCGTCCGACTGGATTTACCTTCATCAGGAACACTGGATGCCGAATGTTTGATAGCCAAGGATGTATAAGAACCAAAACAGCTGAAGAGCTATACGACCAAAAAGAGACCTAAAAATATAGCCAAATCAATTTAAGGTCAACTTTGCCTGAGGGAATTGAAACCTTAGTTGCTTATCAATTTCAAAATTTATAAACAGACAATTTTTGAAAGGTATGTTAAAAATCGTGTCAGTATCGTAGTACTGACTACTGAGCTGATGATGACCTTGGGGACTGATATTCATCCAGCTGTATCAACCCAGTAGTGCTGTTCAAAATGAAAACACTATAACTTTCATGAATCTGAAATGCTTTTCTGAATTAGTCAATTTTTGCCGGAAAGGGTCTTTTGATTTTTTATTTCTTTGAATGTTACAAGTCATTAAGTTTTAATTTTTATCTCAATAGTGAGTGGTCCATCTAAGTTTGTTGCTGAAGTGAAGATAAATGCAACGTGGGATGAAGACCTAAGTTCTGCAGAGAGCAGTGATTACAGACAATTAAAAGCAACATTTGAACAACAGGTAATTACACTTATTACCTGTTATTATAAAACTTACACGTGTAAGCTGTAATGCAATCAGTGTTTGTGTAAGTATGAGTTATTCTGTGGAAACAATATGCCCAACAAGTTATAATATTTATAATGTTATTTTTATCCAACTTTTAAGTTTGTAAACATAACACTATTTTTGATAGATTAGTAATTTGTGAATATATCTAAAAATAACAGTAATCTGAATGATTAATTTGCTATTGCAAGTCTACAATTAAACATTAAGTGATTTTAAAAATGCGTAGATTATAAAACTGTTCATAGCATTTGTACTATATTTTTAGGCATGGCTGCTGTTCTCCAACCAAGTTTTATTCTTAAAAGACAACATAGAATCCATAGATGTTCTTAGTTTCAAGTAAGTAATTGATAAAAAAAATTTAGTTATTAAGATTTTTTAAGGAAAAAGGGAAATTAAATCAGCATTTGATATTTTCAGAAAATGTATGTATTTAAAAGATTTCAGTATAAAACTAACTTTCTGAAGGTTTCCATGTTTTATCCGTAAAACCTGACACACAAACTTATAGATCGAGTACAAAACTCTGTGAAGATTTCCATATTTTATCTGTAAACACTGACACACAAACTTATAGATCAAGTACAAAACTCTGTGAAGGTTTCCATATTTTATCCGTAAAACCTGACACACAAACTTATAGATCGAGTACAAAACTCTGTGAAGGTTTCCATATTTTATCCGTAAAACCTGACACACAAACTTATAGATCGAGTACAAAACTCTGTGAAGGTTTCTATATTTTATCCGTAAAACCTGACACACAAACTTAAAGATCTAGTACAAAACTCACTTTGTTGGGAAGGTTTCAATATTTTTCTGTTAAATATGACATTTAATACACAATTTTATTGATTGACCAGAGGGCGTCCATGCCTGATAAGTAGTTCATCAACTGTATCACTAGCCTGTCAAGACTCAGGTTGTGAGTTCTAACCCTCCACATGGCAGATGTGTTCTACTCTATTCTTAATTGACTAGCATTGCCATTTTCCTGCTGAAAGATCAGTGGTTCTCTCAGGGCACTCTGGCATCCTCTTCCATTAAAAACTGGCCGCCACAATATAGCCAATAGTGCTTAAAGTGGCGTTAAACTCCAATAATCAATCAATTAATCAATATTGATTGATTACCAAACTTTTTAGATTTTTAGGTATGAATTGTAACATCACAAATAAAGGTTGCCTACATCCTCGTGCTTTGAACTTTGGTGGATAGAGACATTGTCAATCATACCGCATCTCCTTATTTTTTATAGAGTTCTTACTGGGATATCAAACAATCACTGTAATTGATCTGTTTTGAAAATAACCACCAATGTTATATAGACATATGAGTTTGAATGCCAACATTTCTAATGTGATAAATTAACATTTGTTTTCAGACCAGGTAGTGTTATAGTTGAATTTGCCATCATCATTAAATCAAATTCAGACTTTTATAAAACTCTGCAACTTGAGGACATCAGACAAGAACTTGTGAGAGCAATAAAAGAATTGAAGATGAATCCTCCAACAGCACCAAACTATTTTACATTTGTTGATGTGGACAGCATAAATATTACAGGCAGTGATGATGATCACCAAGGTAATAATGAGGTCTGAAAATTCTCCATAATAGTCAGGTTTAAATATAGTAAGGTCTGAAAATTCTCCATAATAGTCAGTTTTAAATATAGTAAAATTCCCAATTATCTAATTCTGAAAGTCATGCTTATTTCAAGTATTTACATGTGAATACAATATAAAATAGAGATATTGGATGGAAAATATTTAATAGTAAGAATGAATAGATGGTGAAGTCCACATCATAATAAATTTAACCTCAGACTTAATCTGTCAGTTTATATATACTTATGATGCAATCACAACTGAAACATGAAAAAAAAAGTTATGATAGTAATCATTATACTTATCATCAATCACTAACAATTATTCTGTGATAGATTTTTTTAATTTAAATCTGATATTTACTGTTACAAGAATTACAAGTAAATAAAATGTATCAACCAAGTATATCTTCTCAAGCAGAAACAAATATTCCTGATAAGGCCACTTTTTTTCATTAGTTGGATTACAGGATTTTTCTGAGACTAATAAAGTTTGGACAAAAGAGAGAGAGTATGTACTAAGAAGGAGGACAGTTCTCCTTATCCTAAAAGAACATCTTCTTAGCACGAAAAGATAGTGTAAAAAGTTACAAACTATAATATATATATTATATTCAATAATAGCCATTTGTAAATATCGTAATACCATCTTCCCTAGACACCTCATGAACACTGACATGCAGAAATTTGTGCCCGAAATTGGTTAGTACTTTCACATGGTGTGTCCAAAGGGACAATGCTGGCATCGTCAATCAATTTGTCTTTCTTGGAAGCTTTCACGGTGTCAATAACAAAAACGCTTTCACTAAGACATTCAAGAATAATGTCTATTACAGTCTGTAATGGTTTTGTGCGGACAAACTGCCCTAAAACATCCCCTTTCGATGGGTTTCTGATCAACATTTGAAAAAAAAATTGACCCGCCGTCAACCTCCATTTTCAACTGGTTCCTTTTCACTGCATTAGATCATGATGAAACGTTGACTGAACAGGGAACCGCACGGGATTTTCGAATCCACTCCGAGGGTATTCTGACTGGAGGAAGAAAGGCAGATCTTTTTTATTATGTTTTTATTTTTATTTGTACTTCTTCAAACAGAAAAGGGTCGGCGGTATTAAAAAAAAATCTTCAAAAACGTATTTATTTTTATTTCAAAATCGGGAAAAACAGGGTCGGCGGATCCGTAAACCAACAAATAAAAAAAAGTGGCCTAAACATGAAAAAACAATGTTAAACATACATAAACATGCCTCAATAGCACTCTAATTATGAAAAAAATATACATAAACATGCCTCGATAGCACTCAAACTATGAAAAAATATACATAAACATGCCTCGATAGCACTCTAATAATGAAAAATATACTTAAATGTTCCTCAATAGCACTATGATTATAAAAAAACGTACATAAACATGCCTCCATAGCTTTCTAATTATGAAAAATATACATAATCATGCCTAGATAACACTCTAATTATGAAAAAATAAACATAAACATGCCTCGATAGCACTCTAATAATGAAAAATATACTTTAACGTTCCTCAATAGCATTCTGATTATGAAAAATATACATGAATATGCCTCAATAGCACTCTAATTATGAAAAAATATATACAATGTATAAACATGCCTCGATAGCACTCTAATTATGAAAAAATAATATATATAATCCACTTTTTCATTTTCTTTTCATAAGATGTAACAACACCATCTACTACAACACTTGGTAAGTATCATTAAATTATTGGTAGAAAACAAGAAATTCATTAAATATCTGTAACGGTATTTCCTTCTTTTTTGTCGAGCCTGCGACTTTTGTCACAAAAGCCAGACATAGCGATCCTACATTCCGTTGTCAGTGGCATCCACAAATATTCACTCTGTGGTTAAAGGTTTTGAAATTTTAATAACTTTCTTAAACTATCCTGGATTTCTACCAAACTTGGACAGAAGCTTGTTTATGATCATAAGATAGTATCCAGAAGTTAATTTAAAAAAGAAAAACCTGTTTATCCATATTTTTCTTATAAATGGACTTAGTTTTTCTGCCAGTTAACATTACATTCACTCTGTGGTTAAAGTTTTAAAAATTTAAATAACTTTCTTAAACTATCCTGGATTTGTACCAAACTTGGACAGAAGCTTGTTTATGATCAAAAGCTAGTATCTAGAAGGAAATTTTGTAAAAATTTATTTCCTGTTTTTCCGTATATTACTTATAAATGGACTTAGTTTTTCTTCCAGTTAACATTACATACAGTCTGCAGTTAAAGTTTTTAAAACATTAATTAGATTCATAAACCATCCTGGATTTTTACCAAACTTGGACAGAAGCTTCGTACAATCAAAAGATAATATCTAGAGGAAAAAAAAACATGAAGTTGTGGTTAACAAAGACTGAATCCATACTATACACTTTTACCAAGATTGAATCCATACTATATACCTTTACCAAGATTGAATCCATACTATATACCTTTACCAAGATTGAGTCCATACTATATACCTTTACCAAGATTGACTCCCATACTATATACCTTTATCAAGATTGAGTCCATACTATATACCTTTACCAAGATTGAATCCATACTATACACTTTTACCAAGATTGAATCAATACTATAGACCTTTACCAAGATTGAGTCCATACTATATACCTTTACCAAGATTGAATCCATACTATATACCTTTATCAAGATTGAGTCCATACTATATACCTTTACCAAGATTGAGTCCATACTATATACCTTTTTCAAGATTGAATCCATACTATATACCTTTACCAAGATTGAATCTGTACTATATACCTTTATCAAGATTGAATCCATACTATATACCTTTACCAAGATTGAATCCATACTATATACCTTTACCAAGATTGAATCTGTACTACTAGTATATACCTTTACCAAGATTGAATCCATACTATATACCTTTACCAAGATTGAGTCCATACTATATACCTTTACCAAGATTGAGTCCATACTATATACCTTTACCAAGATTGAGTCCATACTATATACCTTTACCAAGATTGAATCCATACTATATACCTTTATCAAGATTGAGTCCATACTATATACCTTTACCAAGATTGAATCCATACTTTATACCTTTACCAAGATTGAATCTGTATATATACCTTTACCAAGATTGAATCCATACTGTATTTATATATTTCAGCACCTGATTGCGATAGTATGATGTACATATCAAGTATTATAAATAATCAATGCGATTCAGCAAAGTCGCAACTAATATTGGTCCACAAAGATAGAAAGTGCAGGTAATAGAATATAGAAATATCTGTGATTGTCAGTTGTTGAATTACTGATCTCAAACTAGATAAGCTGTTTAACTATTTTGCATACATCAGATCCTGGTTTTACGTTTGTGAATGTAATTCAGATTTTCCTGTTTTTCAATTTTTCTAAAAGCACAAAGTATAAAACACACTATGACCAGTCTTTGGTGTCCTATGCAGTTAAGATTTAGAATTTGATTTAAGGAAAACATTTTATTTAGACATTATATTGAAAAGGAACCGATTGTGTCCCCTTTTACTGAAATGAAGGACACAATTAAAACTTTCAAGTTATCAATGAAAAGACATGTGGAATATGTCCAAAGAGTATCAACATGTCAACATTCAGTTTTCAATAGTAGAGAATTGTCAATACAAATGAAATGTGAATTATTTAAACAAAAAATAGTAAAGCTCCGATACAAATCGCCAAATCCTTTAACAAAAAATGATTAAATACTAAGGTATAACATAAGACAACCAAATATGTGGCAGGATTAACATACTGTGGATTCATTTTTATTCGTGGTATACCAATTTTTCGTTGGTTTCGTGGGTCACAGCGAACCACGAATTCAAGAATTCAACGAAGAATAATCCAGAGAAATGTTTATGGATTCGGATGTTTATTTCTGGTTATGTTATGCAGTTCTAGTATAGTGTTGACTAGCGATAAACATTGTAACATAACATATGTTTTTATTGAAAGAAGATACAAGTATTTTGATTAAATCAATAATAAATATATCTAATATCAGTGATAATTTACTTTTTTTTAAATTGATTAAAACTGTTCATGGAAAATAACTGCAAGTTGTTAATTCTTCTTTGTTTGTTTTATTATTCATCAAACCAAGGAGTTTATATGATCTCCAAAATCAAAAAGAAATCCACAAATTACGTATCTGAATTTTTTATTTTTTTTTTTAATCAGCGATCCACGAATTTACGTATACCACGAAATGTCTTTTTTTTCTCTATCCACGAAAATTGATACCCACAAAAATAAATCAATCAACAGTAGTTGTCTCAACCCTTCACCTTTTTTAATCTTGATCAGTAGACTTTACAAATGGTTTATAAAAAAAACATTCAATAAACATCAATCAGTACAGGAAAAGTAATGATTAATAATACTGTATGAAAGAATTCTCTCGATTCCTGAAAGAAAGCTCAAAGTACTTTACCTGTTAAAAGATAGTTTGAATGAGTGTTTGTATACTGAACAATTCCATTTTTTTTATCTTCAATCTTTTACTGTTTTTATTTTCAGTGTTCTTTTAGACATGATTGGGTGTTTACTGTTCCACACACGTATCTGCAACAAGGAACAAATCGTTTCAACAATGTCGAGGGACTTTTGGTATATGATAGGACAAAATATATCATCAGAGTTTGATCCATTCTCATGTTTTGGTATGTATATTTTATCCTTTATTGTGGTGCTTCTTTTTAAGTTCAATTTTATTATTGTAATATTTGTCTCCTTTTAAAGTTCTTTAATTCACCAATGCTTGATATAAAAAGGCATTTAATGTTAAACAATGCATCAATTTTGAGTTGTTTTTATACGACCGCAAAAATTAAAAATTTTTTGGTCGTATATTGGTATGACGTTGGCGTCGTCGTCGTCGTCGTCGTCGTCCGGCGTCGTCCGGCGTCGTCCGAAGACACATTGGTTTTCGCACTCTAACTTTAGTTTAAGTGAATGGATCTCCATGAAATTTCACCATAAGGTTCAATACCACAAAAGGAAGGTTGGGATTGATTTTGGGGGTTATGGTACCAACAGTTAAGGAATTAGGGGCCAAAAAGGGGCCAAAAATAAGCATTTTTGTAACTTTCAGACAATAACTTGTGTGTAAGTGTATGGATCTCTCTGACATTGTACCACAAGGTTCCATATCACAAAGGGAAGGCTGTAATTGATTTTGGGGGTAATTGCCTCAAAATTTTAGGAATTAGGGGCCAAAAAAGGGGCAAAAAACAAGCATTTTTCTAGTTTCATGACAATAACTTGTGTGTAAGTGTTTGGATATTTCTGAAATTGTACTACAAGGTTCCATATCACAAAGGGAAAGCTGGAATTGAGTTTGGGGGTAATTGCCCGAAACGTTTAGGAATTGGGGGCCAAAAAGGGGCCAAAAATAAGCATTTTTCTAGTTTCCAGACAATAACTTGTGTTCAAGTGTATGGATCTCTCTGAAATTGTACTGCAAGGTACCATACCACAAAGGGAAGGCTGGGATTGAGTTTGGGGGTGATGAATCATAAGGGGGTTCAAAAAATTGGGGGGGGGGGATTTTTTTTTTTTTTTTTTTTTTCTTTTTTTCCTTTTTTTTTTCTTTTAAAATTTTCCATTTTAAGTTGGTTATTTCTGATTTATATTTAAAAGCAAATAATAATGATATGGTAGGAGATACACACCAAACAGGATGTGTAAATTATTATATAATAAGTATTGTGCAATAGCAAGAAATTTTCAATTGCACAGTATTGCACAATAGCAAGAAATCTTCAATTGCACAGTATTGCGCAATAGCAAGAAATCTTCAATTTAACAGTATTGCGCAATAGCAAGAAATATCCAATAGCACAATATTGCGCAATAGCAAGAAATTGTCAATTGTACAGTATTGCGCAATAGCAAGAAATATTCAATTGCACAGTATTGTGCAAAAGAAGATACTTCGTATAAATTGCTTATTTCTTGATCAATTTCAATGGGGTTTTATTCTTGAATTCTTGGGGTTCTTTAATATGCTGAATCTAACCGTGTATTAAGTTTTTGGATTTTGGGCCCCGTTTTTAAATTGGTCCACATTGAGGTCCAAAGGGTCCAAAATTAAACTTTGTTTGATTTCATCAAAAATTGAATTATTGGGGTTCTTTGATATGCCGAATCTAACCGTGTATTTAGATTTTTAATTTTGGGTCCCGTTTTTTAAATTTGTCTACATTAAGGTCCAAAGGGTCCAAAATTAAACTTAGTTTGATTTTAACAAAAATTGAATTCTTAGGGTTCTTTGATATGCTGAATCTAAACATGTGTTTAGATTTTTGATTATGGGCCCAGTTTTCAAGTTGGTCCAAGTTGGGGTCCAAAATTAAACTTTGTTTGATTTCAACAAAAATTGAATATATGGGGTTCTTTGATATGCTGAATCTAAACATGTATTTAGATTTTAGATTTTTGGCCCAGTTTTCAAGTTGGTCCAAATTGGGGTCCAAAATTAAACTTTGTTTGATTTCAACAAAAAATTGAATATATGGGGTTCTTTGATATGCTGAATCTTACCATGTATTTAGATTTTTTATTTGTGGGCCCGCTATCAAATTGGTTCATATTGAGGTCAAAAGGGTCCAAAATTAAACTTTGTTTGATTTCATCAAAAATTGAATTATTGGGGTTCTTTGATATGCCAAATCTAACCGTGTATTTAGATTTTTAATTTTGGGTCCTGTTTTTTTTAAATTGGTCTACATTAAGGTCCAAAGGGTCCAAAATTAAACTTAGTTTGATTTTAACAAAAATTGAATTTTTGGGGTTCTTTGATATGCTGAATCTAAACATGTGTTTAGATTTTTGATTATGGGACCAGTTTTCAAGTTTGTCCAAGTTGGGGTCCAAAATTAAACTTTGTTTGATTTCAACATAAATTGAATATATGGGGTTCTTTGATATGCTGAATCTAAACATGTATTTAGATTTTAGATTTTAGGCCCAGTTTTCAAGATGGTCCAAATTGGGGTCCAAAATTAAACTTTGTTTGATTTCAACAAAAATTGAATATATGGGGTTCTTTGATATGCTGAATCTTACCATGTATTTAGATTTTTTATTTGTGGGCCTGCTATCAAATTGGTTCATATTGAGGTCAAAAGGGTCCAAAATTAAACTTTGTTTGATTTCATCAAAAATTGAATTATTGGGGTTCTTTGATATGCCAAATCTAACTGTGTTTTTAGATTTTTAATTTAGGGTCCCGTTTTTCAAATTTGTCTACATTAAGGTCCAAAGGGTCCAAAATTAAACTTAGTTTGATTTTAACAAAAATTGAATTCTTCGGGTACTTTGATATGCTGAATCTAAACATGTGTTTAGATTTTTGATTATGGGACCAGTTTTCAAGTTTGTCCAAGTTGGGGTCCAAAATTAAACTTTGTTTGATTTCAACAAAAATTGAATATATGGGGTTCTTTGATATGCTGAATCTAACCATGTATTTTGATTTTGGACATTGGACCATAATAGGTAAATTAAAAAAATTGAAGTTCTTAGACCACATTCTTTCTGTGTCAGAAACCTATGCTGTGTCAAATATTTAATCACAATCCAAATTCAGAGCTGTATCAAGCTTGAATGTTGTGTCCATACTTGCCCCAACTGTTCAGGGTTCGACCTCTGCGGTCGTATCAAGCTGCGCCCAGCGAAGCATTTTATTTATGATTGAGTTTCACTGGTTGACCCGGGGTCAATCGGTGTGAACAACTTCATCGAACGACAGGTTCTTATTGTGGCGTAGTAACAGAAGCATTGTGACATGGGAAATTTACTGGAAAGTACATGAATTGGAAAAATATGTCTACTAACATTTTATATACAGTATTTATTGATATTATCTGTTTTATTGATATTATCTGTTAAGAACAGAAAATAATGGAAGAATTACAAAATAACAAAAGTGAAACAGTTTCAATTGTATGCATTCAACCATCTTCAACCATTTAACAATTTATTTTTAATGTATTACATCTGAAAACAGAATATTAACAGTAAAAGCTGTTTTTGTCTATTTTGACATGTTATAGTATATTGTGGATTCATTTATTTTCGTGTGCACCAATTTTGGTGGATATTTGATTTTGAGGTTTTTCCAGATTGTACATACATTTCTATAGAAAATTTGTAATTCATTGAACATTTAAATTCATGCTTTCCCTGTCCCCATGAAATCCTTGAAAAGTGGTATCAAACAAATCATAATGAATCCTCAGTAGGTAAAAGTTTTAATTTGAAGATTTTTGTTATAGGTCCAGGAAATGAAGTTGTATTGCCAACTATTGTTCCACTGAATGTGACCTTGATGCCTTGTGTTCATCCTGATATAGTACACTACATTCTAAACTATGACTGTTATTACTATGGGTTACAGGAACAAATGCAGGGAGAATCTAAACTTGAAAGTTGCAGGTAGGGTTAAATAATGGACAAAAAGATTTTCCAAAATCAAATTCTAAAAAACCCTATGTAAACCAAACCTTGTTGGGACTAAAGATTTAATTAAGAGATGCATTTGGTTGGCAAAGCAAAATAAGTAGAAACTTTAGGGGATAGATGCAAAAAAAAACATCTATAGCTATACTTGTCAGCAGTTTGTTTTCAATATCCTCTCTTGAGCAATTAAAGGCTTAATAGCCAAGATTCTGGCTCCTTGTTTCCTCTTGCTAGATTATATGGCATTTTCAGATCAAAGATCCTGTTTCCTCTATTTCATGGGGCCTCGGTGGCCGAGTGGTCTGAGTAGTTACTACTGTAATCACTAGCCAGTCAACACTGAGGTTGTGAGTTCGAACCCCGCTCGTGCGGGTGCACTCGACTCCAATCTTAATTGACTAGGATGGTCAGTTTTCCTATCGAAGGTCGGTGGTTTTCTCCGGGCACTCCGGCTTCCTCCACCAATAAAAACTGGTCGCCACGAAATAGCCCAAAAGCGGTGCTCAAAAGTGGCGTTAAAACACCAAAAATCAAAAATCAATCAATCCTCTATTTCATTATTTTAATGGCTTATTTGGCATTGTTTGAAATAATGAGATTTCAATTTCAAATAATTAATATTTTGTATGTATGCACTACATATAATTTTATTTTATTGCAATTTATTTTGTTTTTGTTGACATCACGTTTCATGCATCACTATTTCAGATGCCTATGTTTTACAAATTTATTGCCAAATGGGCATGCAAAATTATTATATAGTCGCCATGGTAACCAGTAAGGCTGAGCAACAGATATAAAATAGTTTTAAAATAGTTTTTCTTTTAAGTTAACTGGAAACTTGTCTACAAAAAGAATTTGATCAGATTATTATACCCCCGCTTTAAAAAAGTGGGGGTATACTGTTTTACCTCTGTCTGTCCTTCCGTCAGTCCGTCCGTCCCATGAATATTTTCGTCGCATTTTTCTCAGGAACTACTTGACAAGGATTTCTGAAATTTGGTTTCAGGGTTTATATAAGTAAGTTACACTGTGTGATACGTTTTCAGGTTCATCACTCAACAACTTCCTGTTTACCTAACACTTGTATTATTTTACACATGATAGCCAAGTTGAAAATTTTCATCACATTTTTCTCAGGAACTACTTGACAGGGATTTCTGAAATTTGGTTTCAGGGTTTATATAAGTCAGCTATACCGTATGAAGTGTTTTCAGGTTCATCACTCAACAACTTTCTGTTTACCGAAATATTTCGGCGGGGGTATCATCAGTGAGCAGTAGCTCACAGTTTTACTTGTTTGCATCAGGATCAGTTGATTATTCTTACATGGAGACCAAATTAAAATCTTTATGTATCACTCATTGCATTATTCTTACATGGTGCCTACTTAAAAGTTAACAATATTCACTAATTATTTCAATACATTTCTGGACATATCTTTTTTTTTAATTTTAATTTAGTTTTATTTTTTAGATTTTATTGGTACTCTTCTGCTTGTCTCTTTGGAACATTACAGACAAACAAAGATCTACAAGGACAATGTTCTTTGGAAGAAGTAAATGGTGTTTTAACTAAATATGAAGACGAATTGTTTAAAGTTTCTCCAGATAATGTCACTATGTCAGAATGTCTTGGTGAGTGTTATTTATTAGATTCCCCAGATGATGTCACTATGTCAGAATGTCTTGGTGAGTGTTATATATAGATTTTATTCGTCATCATTATAGCATTAGTTATGATTCTATCTGTACATCTACTGAATAATGCAAGGACAATGAAATATCAGGATTTGTTTTTTAAAGCAATTGCTTTTATGCCATCGCGTATGGCCATCTTTGTGACGCAAATCAGAGACTCTGCCCAGATTAAGCCATAGTATTTTGTTAAACAGGCTCCTGGTCTGTCATTCTTAAACACCTATGTATGTTTTCTAATGTAATACATAGCTTGAAACTTTTGAATAATGTTAGTGGATTTAAGAGGTTTCAGCATATGTTCTTGTAGATGTATTTTTGTATTTAGGGGGACAACCGTTTGACTATCAAAAAACATAGAAGTCCGAGTGAAAAAAAGTGCATTTTTATACCTGCGATTCCGTTCTCCTTTTGTACGATGTTTCAACAAAATATCGAATCATTTCAGTTGTTGATTAGTATTGAAAATTTTACTGAATTATTTCTTATTAAATACGGTTTTATATGTTTAATTGGTGTTTCTCTTAGAAAGAGGCCAGGTGCTCTATTTCATTCATAAAATTATCGTTCATTCATAAATTTATCGTAAAATCAAAATCACTACACAGGTTATACGTAGTGTCAAATGATTACCTGTAATCTAAAAATAGACAAACTTAACTGACCTATTTTGTTGATTTGTTTGCGCAAATAATTTAGCGGAACGAAACCGTTGTTAAAAACACATAACAATAAGTTCGTTTTCCTTTTTTGTCATAACTCCGTAAGATTTATCGATCACCTTACTAATGAAATGGACCGGTCAAAACGTGATAGATGCCAAGTCCAGATGAAGAGATATTTACAATTTGGAATTTTCTAGTTTCATAGATTGAAAAAAAGTATGTCCTTTTGAATATCATAATAAAAACTGGGTATGCATGACAAATGATGAAACCATTATCCTCGTCTTTCCAGTGGACGAGTCTACTACGTGTGTTGACACTCGACAGTCCACCATGTTTGCAATTTTATTTCACATGTTTTCGAAATATTGAAGATCATTTTTCGCAATGTTTCCTGAAAATTGATAAATATCAAAGCAACGAAGAGCTGTTTGTTCTTGTTCGTATAATGACGATTTAATGTCATGTTTGTCTGTGATTTTATTTCTTTCCCGTTTTTCAACATTTGCGTCTGGAAAGTTGAAATGTTTCAATTGAATGGTTAAATTTAAATTAATTATGATAATTGTTAAAATTAAATCAATAAAGGAAATTATTGCCCAGTTACAAACACTACCAGGGGATAATTTCTTTTTGAGTTATATGTTTCAGCACATGTAAATTTGACCCAACGTTAGCCTGGTAAACGTGTTGTCTCCTTGTGAAATATAAAACATATCAAAAATGACTATCTGCTAAAGTCTTTTATTGATATAAAGTTAAAACCTTCTTACTTCTCACTAGACAACACTCTTGTCGGGTTTAATTCTTATATATATATATGTGGATGAAATAGTCCCCAAAACATTAACATGGCAGCAATTGCTTTTACAGCCTTTAAGGCTTTGATTAATATCTCTTGTTAATCATGCAACACCTCAATACTTTTTGTGCACATTAACATCATAGTATAGGTCTCATAACAAGTAAGAATTTGGTGACACTTGATATCAACTTAAGTTAACTTACAATTTTTTTCAGGTTTGTACGAGTCAGCAGATAAGTGTACCAAAGCAATGTATGGTGATGATTTCTTCACAATAGCTCAGACCTGTTACGGGACTGCTGCGTCAAACAAAGTTGCTGCTCAATATTATATAATTGATCTATCTGATTACCCATGTCTGTAAGTATACTTACAACAAAAACATTTCCATATAACCTTGGTTATTACATCCCAGGTCAAACAGTTGTTAACTAATTGTCTTTCCCCTTATAAGTTCTGTTTGAACTTTATACATTTTTTGATGAAAATCAGTATTTGCCATGGTTAAATGAAAATTTGTATTTTGACTAAAACATTTCTGTACCTTGAAATGGAGTTGTCCCAATTTCAACTTAACATTCAACTTGTGGCATCAGGTATGATTTGCTATAATTAATTTTTGTATTTTTGAGTAAATTTAACCTAATTATGTTACACTGACTATTCCATAATAAAATATTTCTTATTTTGTACTAGCCTGATATTTCACCTTGATAAGGTCAGTGTGTCCCTTATCCAATTTACATATTATATATTTAAAATAAATGTTAAAACTCTGATGCTGCATTTTCTAATGTTGTCTCTTAACTAAAAAAACAGAATGGATATATAACTGAAAAGCATTTACACAAAATAATGTCTCCAAACCTCAGGTTGACCTCATATGAGTTATAGTTCCTGTTTTATTCAGTGTTTACCAAGAGATGTCAGAATGTTTATACAGATCAATAAATGAATATGATCTGTGCACGGATCTAACTGAGATGGAAGATCACATAATATGGCTAACTAATGGTTTAAATGACATTATGACCATAGCAATGGGAAAACCCCTTGATGAGAGAAAGACTGTAGAGACGTGTTTAGGTAAGTTATATGATAATTGTATTTTATTTCTAGGATTTGACTGTAAGTATTAACATGCTGCTTTTTAGGGTTACAAGAGCTCATTATATTTTCAAGTTCTGATTTTGTAGTTTTTCTTAATACTGCAATTTGTTACATCTAAGCTAACTGTTGTTTTTGTTGTTTTCATACCAACACATGGACTTTTCATATCTTAGGAATAGGTTAACTTGAGTCTTAAAAGTTCATACTTTTTTCTCAAGTCTTAATTTGCTGACAAGCCAAATATGAAAGTGTTGAACTTTTATCCTGGTCTTTATAATAATCAAGCAGTAAGGTGTCTTAGGATATATATATATACTCTGATCATTGTCTATATTGTAGGTAATGTAACAAAGACACCAGACTTTGGTCAGGATTTGTGTGATGATGGTGCTGGGTTGATTATGTCAGAAACCATGTGCATTTTATCTATTGTTAATCCGGTCTGCAAGTAAGTCTCATCAAATAGTTTTGATACCACCCTAGTTTAATTGATTTTTACAGGTATAAACAAATATGAGGGAAATATTTGATAAAATCTCTTCTGTTAGACTAACAATTTCATATACAACTATAGTTGTCTATGATTTACTCCTGCAGATACTGAACATACTTTTTGTAGTGGAAGTCAAATAAGACATAATTTGTGTTTGTTTCCTCCATCTTTTCACAGTCATGTCCTGTGTTACACTTATTTCTTTTTGTTGCATTTGAGGGTATTTCTGTCAAATGAACATATCTATAATCTAGTTTAAGTTTTAAGTTGTTTACAAATTTTGCCTATTTTTTTCAGTTCGTTGGAGTCTGCATACATTCCTTGTTTGACAAACGGCTTGTCAAGGAAAAAGATATTTTGTTCAGCTGAAAGAATTTGGCGTAGTCTAAGTACAGTGAGTGAGTTGTTTGGAAAGTTAACCCAGGGTAGAGTGGACATTTCTAGCTGTAAGTTTATTGCACTATGAAGTAATACAAATATATTACCCTAATAGGTAGTAGTTTTTGTTGAGCCTACGACTTTTGACCACGAAAGCTCAACATAGGGATAGTGATCCGGCGGCGGCGTTAAACTATTTTTAAAAGCTTAATATTTCAGAAGGTAGAAGACCTGGATGCTTCATACTTTGTATATAGATGCCTCATGATATGAAGTTTCCCTCTGTCATATGTCCATTGTCCTTGACCTCATTTTTATGGTTCAGTGACTACCTGAAAAAAGTTAAGATTTTTTGTAATGTTAATTTCTCTCTTATTATGAGTAATGGGATAACTATATTTGGTATATGCATACCTCGCAAGGTCCTTATGTCTGTCAGTCAGTTTTCACTTGAACTCGACCTCTTTTCATGGATCAGTGAACAAGATTAAGTTTTCGTGGTCAAGTCCATATCTCAGATACTATAAGCAATAGGTCTACTATATTTGGTGTATGTAATGATTGTAAAATGTACATGTCCAACTGGCAGGTGTCATCTGACCTTGACCTCATTTTCATGGTTCATTGCTCAATATTAAGTTTTTGTGTTTTGGTCTGTTTTTCTAATACTGTATGCAGTAGGTCAACTGTATTTGGTGTATGGAAATGTTTTACGATGTACATGTCGGTCTGACCGGTTATATTAGACCTTGACCTCATTTTCATGGTTCATTGCTTGTGTTAAGTTTTTGTGTTTTGGTCTGTTTTTCTTATACTGTATGCAGTAGGTCAATTATATTTGGTGTATGGAAATATTTTATGATGTACATGTCAGTCTGGCAGGTTTTATTTGACCTTGACCTCATTTTCATGGTTCATTGCTTGTGTTAAGTTTTTGTGTTTTGGTCTGTTTTTCTAATACTGTATGCAGTAGGTCAACTATATTTGGTGTATGGAAATATTTTACGATGTACATGTCAGTCTGGCAGGTTTTATTTGACCTTGACCTCATTTTCACGGATCATTGCTCAATGTTAAGTTTTTGTGTTTTGGTCTGTTTTTCTAATACTGTATGCAGTAGGTCAACTATATTTGGTGTATGGAAATATTTTACGATGTACATGTCAGTCTGGCAGGTTTTATTTGACCTTGACCTCATTTTCACGGTTCATTGCTCAATGTTAAGTTTTTGTGTTTTGGTCTGTTTTTCTAATACTGTATGCAGTAGGTCAACTATATTTGGTGTATGGAAATATTTTACGATGTACATGTCAGTCTGGCAGGTTTTATTGTCTCGCCTTGACGGAGTCAAAAAGCAAGACATAGGTATGCTGTTTCCGGCGGCGGCAGCGGCGTCAACAATGTATTAGTTTGTGATTAGGTCTAGTTCATGGTGAACCACTAGTGGTAGGTCAATGATATTTGGTATGCAGTTGTCTTAGCATTGGCACATCTCATTACCATGGAGATTATTTGGCCCTGCCCCCTCAGTCAAGGTCTATAGACTTTGAAACTTTGCTTAGTTTACATGTATTAGTTTGTGATTAGGTCAGTTTATGGGGAACCACTAGTGGTAGGTCAATGATTTTTAGGTCAACTATATTTGGTGTATGGAAATATTTTATGATGTACATGTCAGTCTGGCAGGCTTTATTTGACCTTAACCTCATTTTCATGGTTCATTGCTTGTGTTAAGTTTTTGTGTTTTGGTCTGTTTTTCTAATACTGTATGCAGTAGGTCAACTATATTTGGTGTATGGAAATATTTTACGATGTACATGTCAGTCTGGCAGGTTTTATTGTCTCGCCTTGACGGAGTCAAAAAGCAAGACATAGTTATGCTGTTTCCGGCGGCGGCAGCGGCGTCAACAATGTATTAGTTTGTGATTAGGTCTAGTTCATGGTGAACCACTAGTGGTAGGTCAATGATATTTGGTATGCAGTTGTCTTAGCATTGGCATATCTCATTACCAATGAGATTATTTGGCCACGCCCCCCTCATTCATGGTCTATTGACTTTGAAACTTCGTTATTGGTATGCATTTGTATAAGCATTAGCACATCTCATTTCCATGGAGAATATTTGGTCCCTACCTCTCAGTCATGGTCTATTGACTTTGAAACTTTTGCTTAGTTTACATGTATTAGTTTGTGATTAGGTCAGTTTAAGATGAACCACTAATGTTAAGTCAATGATATTTGGTATGCAAGTTTCATTTCCATGGAGATTATATAACCCCACCCCCTAATTATGGTTCATTGACTTTGAAACTTTTACATTGTTTACAAGTTAATGTTTGTGTTTAGGTTTGTTTAAAGGGAACGACTTATGAAAAGTCAATGGTATTTGGTTTGCAGTTGTATTAGCATTGGCACATCTCATTTCCATGGAGATTGTTTAGCCCTGTACCTTCAGTCATGGTTCATTGACTTTGAATATTTGCATGACTTACATGTGAAAGTATTGCTATTTTAATTTTAACATTTGCATTATCAAAATAACAGATAGGCGAGACATATCTCTGTGTTAACAGTTTATTTGACCTTGACCTCATTTTCATGGTCCATTGCTTGTGTTAAGTGTTTGTGTTTTGGTCTGTTTTTCTTAAACTTTAAGTAATAGGTCAACTATATTTGGTGTATGGAATGATTGTAAGGTGTATATATCTGTCTGCAGGTATCATCTGACCTTCACCTCATTTTCATGGTTCATTGGTCAATGTTCAATTTTCCAGGTTAGCTTTGTTTCTTAGATACAATAAGCAATAGGTCAATTATATTTGATGCATGGAATGATTTTAAGGTGTACATGTCTGTCTGTCTGGCAGGGTTCATCTGACCTTGACTTCATTTTCATGGTTCATTGGTCAATATAGAATTTCAATGGTTTGGTCTGTTTCTTTTATACTATAAGCAATAGGTCATCTATATTCTGTGTATGGAATGATTGTATTAAAGGTTTACATGTATTTCCGCCTTGGTTTATCTGACCTTGACCTAATTTTCTTAGATCATAAATGTTAATGTGATACTTGAAGTAAAACTTTATATGTAGGACTATCAACATAAAGTCAATGGTCAGTATAGTAGGTGAGACATTTCAGCGTGTGCACTCTTGTCTGATTTATGAAAAGAAAAGACACGTGGGACAATGAAGTATCCCACCTATTTGTTATAGTCAGATTATTGTCTTTTTAGTACACAGTATTTGCCTTACAGTAAATGTTGTTCTAAAGTGTACAGCATACAAACACTTATATTGCTGATTAAATGGTGAAAGGCCTATTGTAATCAGATTGTCTGTTCATGGGTGCCACCATGTGTCCAACTGTCACAAATTATTTCTGTTCTAAGTACAGTGAATGAATTGTTTTAGAAGCTGATCCATGGTAGAATGGTTATTTCTAATACATGCACAGTGTATCAAACCCAATGCCTAACCCTTATAGAAATAAGAAATATGTCAAATTATATAGGGTGATCTGATGTATTTAAGTAAAATAAAATATTCTTTTTGTATGGAGTGTATATGATTTCAAACTTAATTAAGACAATAGGTTGCCACTTGGGATAAATGTAAATTAGTGAATAAAGTCTTAGTTCATAATTTTTTTTGAATTTCATTAATGATTGCTAGAATCCACTTCTTAGCATACATCTGGTAGATGAAAGTAAAATGAAAAAAAATAATTTGGTTTTAATTTTGTACTAGAAAGAAGTACTGTTATATGTGATTTCCCAGAAAGCTTCATGAGATAAGTATTTAAGTATTTGCATGTAGTATACCTGTTAGTTTATCATGATTATTATAATATGTATATAGGCAGTAGAGATACAGGTAACAAACAAGGGACCTGTCCAGCTATTGGTAACCATACTGTGGGTACCTGTGTGGAGGAATGCTCAGGAGATTATAATTGTACAGGGAACCAGAAATGTTGCTCTAATGGATGTGGTCATGTCTGTATGGATCCTGATTCTAATAGTAAGTTCAAAAAATAAATTACAGTGAATGAATGAAGCAAAGAGCTGACGTTTTACCTTATTCCTGTATTTTATCAGATGTATTAATGCAGTAGAGGGATTATGTTTTGGGGTCTGCTGGTCCCTCCATCCTTTTTGTCAGTTTGTCCATTAGTCAGTCCAGTATCAGGTTAAATATTTTGGTTTAGGTAGTTTACTATGAAGGTGTGGTCATATCAACTTGAATTTTAAGTAAACATGTTTATTATGATAACTTTTTTACCCTGATTACACAGTTTACTAAACATAGAAATAGAAATAGAAATAGTGAGACATTAATGTATTCTCAGGTTAAAGTTTAAGTTATTAGGGCATATGATACAGTTTTGATCCCAAGGTGAATTTTTGGCGAAAGTTTGTATACAAGCTATTTTTCACCTAGTCAATTCAAATATTTGATAAAGAATATACCTTCATGTGCTACTTTTAGAGATAAATGAGGTCAAAATTTTAGACATTTACTGGAATTTCGGTTTCTTGGACATTTTTATCCTTTGGAAACACACACTTAACTTTTTTATTTCATAAGATAAACGCAAGCAGATTTTTGTAAAAGCATCTGGAATATCTTCTCTACATAGTGTGCTTTAAATTTGTGTAACAATTCCTTTGACATCATTCATTTTTATTAAATTTTCATGATTTTAGTCAAAGAACAGCATTTTTTTCTGTATATTTATCAAATCAACAAAAAATAATCATCAGTGATTTCTTCATAAAAATTGGCACAAATAATCTTCATACATAATCAAGCCAAATTTCATTTTTATACGACCGCAAAAAAATTTTGTGGTCGTATATTGGTATGACGTTGGCGTCGTCGTCGTCATCGTCCTCCGAAGACACAATGGTTTTCGCACTCTAACTTTAGTTAAAGTGAATGGATCTCTATGTAATTTTACCATAAGGTTCAATACCACAAAAGGAAGGTTGGGATTGTTTATGGGGGTTATGGTACCAACAGTTAAGGAATTAGGGGTCAAAAAGGGGCCAAAAATAAGCATTTTCTAGTTTCCAGACAATAACTGTGGAATGGTGTATGGATCTCTCTGAAATTATACTACAAGTTTCCATACCACAAAGGGATGGTTAGGATTTGCTTTGGGGGTAATGCCTCAAACCGTTTAGGAATTAGGGGCAAAAAAGGGGGAAAAACAAGGTTGTCCTGGTTAATGGACAAATACTTTAGTACAAAACATAATTTAAAGCAGTGTAAGGAAGATAAATCAAATACATCATTGAAATTACCTCCCTTACACTGCTTTTAAATTATGTATATAGTAATGGTTAATGAACAATTAAGATAATTTAAAACAGTGTAAGGGAGGTAATCCAAATACAACGTTTTGGTTACTTCCCTTACACTGCTTTTAAATTATTGTTAAAGAAATGCATATTTATAAAGGAAGACCAGTAAAAAAATCCATATGAAAGATTTGACACTATATTTTAAATTCTATTATAAAATAGATTAAGATAGCACTATGGTAAATTTAAATGGGTAATTATGGTTGCAAACTCCATTGGAAATTTGAATTGAGATTATGACCATATCTTGAGGGAAAGAATTTTTTGGGGGGAAAAAAGGGGGGGGGGGGGGGTAAAAAGAAATTGTGGGGGGTCAATTTTTTCTCATTTCAGATTTCAGAAATTAAAAAGAATTATTCTTCAAATATTATTTTTTTTCTTCAAATTTCAAATATTGAAAAATTTCAAGAAGTAATCTTTAATTGCACAGTATGGCGCATTAGATTTGTAAAATCTTTGACCACATTTATTTATTTGTTATGCCAAATCTAACCGTGTTTTTAGATTTTTAATTTTGGGTCCCGTTTTTTAAATTTGTCTACATTAAGGTCCAAAGGGTCCAAAATTAAACTTTGTTTGATTTTAACAAAAATTGAATATATTGGGTTCTTTGATATGCTGAATCTTAACATGTATTTAGATTTTTGATTTTTGGCCCAGTTTTCAAGTTGGTCCAAATTGGGGTCCAAAATTAAACTTTGTTTGATTTCAACAAAAATTGAATATATGGGGTTCTTTGATATGCTGAATCTAACCATGTATTTAGATTTTTTATTTGTGGGCCCCTCTATCAAATTGGTTCATATTGAGGTCAAAAGGGTCCAAAATTAAACTTTGTTTGATTTCATCAAAAATTGAATTATTGGGGTTCTTTGATATGCCAAATCTAACCGTGTTTTTAGATTTTTTAATTTTGGGTCCCGTTTTTTAAATTGGTCTACATTAAGGTCCAAAGGGTCCAAAATTAAACTTAGTTTGATTTTAACAAAAATTGAATTCTTGGGGTTCTTTGATATGCTGAATGTAACCATGTGTATAGATTTTTGATTATGGGCCCAGTTTTCAAGTTTGTCCAAGTTGGGGTCCAAAGTTAAACTTTTTTTGATTTCAACAAAAATTGAATATATGGGGTTCTTTGATATGCTGAATCTAACCATGTATTTAGATTTTTTATTTGTGGGCCCCTCTATCAAATTAGTTCATATTGAGGTCAAAAGGGTCCAAAATTTAACTTTGTTTGATTTCATCAAAAATTGAATTATTGGGGTTCTTTGATATTCCAAATCTAACCGTGTATTTAGATTTTTAATTTTGGGTCCCGTTTTTTAAATTGGTCTACATTAAGGTCCAAAGGGTCCACAATTAAACTTAGTTTGATTTTAACAAAAATTGAATTCTTGGGGTTCTTTGATATGCTGAATCTAAACATGTATTTAGATTTTTGATTATGGGCCCAGTTTTCAAGTTTGTCCAAGTTGGGGTCCAAAATTAAACTTTGTTTGATTTTCAACAAAAATTGAATATATGGGGTTCTTTGATATGCTGAATCTAACCATGTATTTTGATTTTGGACATTGGACCATAATAGGTAAATTAAAAAAATTCAAATTCTTAGACCAAATTCTTTCTGTGTCAAAAACCTATGCTGTGTCAAATATTTAATCACAATCCAAATTCAGAGCTGTATCAAGCTTGAATGTTGTGTCCATACTTGCCCCAACTGTTTAGGGTTCGACCTCTGCGGTCGTATCAAGCTGCGCCCAGCCAAGCATTTTATTAAAAAGAGTTGTCCATAAACTCGTTTTTAAGTTAAATCAGTATGGGATAAAAATCAGTCGAAAATGCATCTTTTCCCGTGTTTGACATCGTGAAAAATAACATTTTACGTAAGCAACGTCATTATCGCCCCTGTATCATATGCCCTTAAGGTCCATGAAGTTTAAGTAACAACAGCTTTAAACTTAGTACTCTTGTTCATTGTGAGGTGAATATCTTTTAAAAGACATGAAGAATTACAATGCTAATCCAAATTTCATAGTTCACTGAACATGCACATAGAATAGCCTGTTGCTCAGTATGAAATACTTCACCTGTTGTTCAGTATGAAATACTTCACCTGTTGCTCAGTATGAAATACTTCACCTGTTACTCAGTATGAAATACTTCACCTGGTGCTCAGTATGAAATACTTCACCTGTTGCTCAGTATGAAATACTTCACCTGGTGCTCAGATATTAAATACTAAATCACCTATTGCTCAGTATTAAATACTTCACTTGGTGCTCAGTGTGAAATACTTCAATCACCTGTTGCTCAGTATGAAATACTTCACCTGGTGCTCAGTATGAAATACTTCACCTGTTGCTCAGTATGAAATACTTAACCTGTTACTCAGTATGAAATACTTCCCCTGTTGCTCAGTATGAAATACTTCACTTGGTGCTCAGTATGAAATACTTAACCTGTTACTCAGTATGAAATACTTCACCTGTTGCTCAGTATGAAATACTTCACCTGTTACTCAGTATGAAATACTTAACCTGTTACTCAGTATGAAATACTTCACCTGTTGCTCAGTATGAAATACTTCACCTGGTGTTCAGTATGAAATACTTCACCTGTTGCTCAGTATGAAATACTTCACCTGTTACTCAGTATGAAATACTTCACCTGGTGCTCAGTATGAAATACTTCACCTGTTGCTCAGTATGAAATACTTCACCTGGTGCTCAGATATTAAATACTAAATCACCTATTGCTCAGTATTAAATACTTCACTTGGTGCTCAGTGTGAAATACTTCAATCACCTGTTGCTCAGTATGAAATACTTCACCTGGTGCTCAGTATGAAATACTTTACCTGTTGCTCAGTATGAAATACTTAACCTGTTACTCAGTATGAAATACTTCACCTGTTGCTCAGTATGAAATACTTCACTTGGTGCTCAGTATGAAATACTTAACCTGTTACTCAGTATGAAATACTTCACCTGTTGCTCAGTATGAAATACTTCACCTGTTACTCAGTATGAAATACTTAACCTGTTACTCAGTATGAAATACTTCACCTGTTGATCAGTATGAAATACTTCACCTGTTACTCAGTATGAAATACTTAACCTGTTACTCAGTATGAAATACTTCACCTGTTGCTCAGTATGAATAATGAATTTATTGAATTATATTTAGTTTGATTATGTAAGTTCTGTACATTTTGTTGTGTGGGTGGTTACATAGAAGATTTACAGTTTGAAAATCCTTCTTTACAAATAACTTTATTTTAATTGCATTCTTAAGAAAATGATAGATTTGATTATCTTTCAGATATACCTTCATATGAATTTGAAATTACCATAAAATTTGACATTCCTTGGGAGGCAGAGTATACTGATAAAACCAGTGTACAATATCAGAACTTAACAAGAGAAATTCTAAAACAGGTATTTTGATTTATAGTTAGTTGTCCATATCTAATAGTTATTTATTGAATCCAAATTCATAAAGATACCTTATTCTGTATGTAATCCTTTACGAAATTTGTATATTAGTATTATTATTGGGGACAAAAACTGTAAAAGAAGGTATTGTAGAGATTGTTGATTTCATTGCCAAGTTTATAGCTTGTCAAGATCATTCCTTTTCAGGCCTCAACTGTTTCCTATAATTTTCTTCATCAATTTTGAATATGTTGATGCTAATGTGGTGTAAAGCAATCATCAATCAATCAATCAATTGAATATGTTGAATTAGGAGTGAAATTGAAATTTAATAAAGAAATATTTTCTATTAGAATGTGAAATGACATAAAAAGCTTCTGGAAACATTCTGGAATTTCATATAGGATGCTATTGAGTCAAGAATATAGCTAAATATAGAAATGACGGTTTCAATTTATTTGTTTAAATGTTTTTTCTTTTCAATTATTAATAAAATTTGTTTTGAATCTTGAAAAATATAATGAGAACTGCAGAAAAAAAGGTCAAATCTGTTTTACTGAGTACAAATACAAACATATAATAAACAATTTCATTTTAAAAGTTAAAAAAAACATGTAATTAAAAAACTAAAGCAAAGTGCATTTAAACTTCTGATTTTATTTTTCGTTACGACTACATAATCAGAATAACTATACATTGTCTCAAAACAAAAGATCTATTAGAAGGAGGCTTATAAACAGGTAGAATGTGAGGCTTTGCATTTTTATCCAGTTTCCAACAAAGTGCAAATAAAATTTATATTTTGAGACAATGTATGGTTATTCTATTCATACTGCAGCCCTTAAGACTGTTGCAAATGAAATTTTAGGGTAAAACTCAATTATTGATTTGAAGCCGAGGAAGTAAAAATCAGCCAGTCTTCACCTTCATTCTTTCAGGATGTCATAGATAAACTCTACAAAAATATAATAGCAATGTTACAAACAAGGCTTAACAGTCAGTGACTATAAGTTCATACTGTCAATGCATTTTTACTGTGCAAATGGAACAGTTGTAGTATAATTAACAACATTAATTGGGTTTGCTATGATGATTTATTCTTTAGACATTTTGTTCAAACGATAGTGCAGGTTATTTTAAAAGAAGTAACTAACAGTGAATCAGCTTATTTTTTTTAACTTAATGAAAACATTGTTTTTGTTTCATTACAGATGACAATAGCATTAGGAGATTTTAGCTCATCCATTGACTTTATGAAGATTAAAGAACTTAGGTTGGTTTATCAAATTTGTTTTTTACTGTATCTATTAACTTATTGGCTGTTAACTTAATCCTTGAAGCTTAAGCATAGTATAATAACCAATCACTGTTCAGTAAAATTTCTTTTCTGGATTACTTTGTCAACCAAGACTTCAGTCTCTGCTGTAATCTTAATATCACATAATGTCAAACTTTAAATCACTGAGGACAAATAAAACAAAAATATTTTTCCAGTTGTAGCTTTAGAAATAATCATTATCACAATAGAATAAGAACAATCTAAATTAATCATTTATGATAGGCTTTTCAAGGAGAAATTTGAAGGTCCCATCGAATAAACTGAACATAAACTTGCAAAAAATTAAATAGCCTGACAAAGAGGAACTGATTCTGGGAAAATGTTTCATTTCTTTTGCAATAAGAGTTTCAGATTTCTGATTGTAGATGCCTGAATATGCTATGATTTATCTATAAGAAGGCAGAAACATTTTGTCTGAAAATAAGTACAATCTGATTATTTATTTCAGACAAGGCAGTGTGTATGTAGTGTTTGAAGTGAAGTATTATATTCAGTTAACTGCAAGTGATATAAGATCAGGAACATTAGGGTTTGTTAATGCAGCAAGGATGGACCCTAAATCTGAGCTGGATCTGATTAAAGCTATAGATACTGACCATATCTATGTCAAAACGATAACAGGTAACTAGATACTGACCATATCTATGTCAAAATAATAACAGGTAACTAGATACTGACCATATCTATGTCAAAATAATAACAGGTAATAAGATACTGACCATATCTATGTCAAAACGATAACAGGTAACTAGATACTGACCATATCTATGTCAAAATAATAACAGGTAACTAGATACTGACCATATCTATGTCAAAATAATAACAGGTAATAAGATACTGACCATATCTATGTCAAAATAATAACGGGTAATAAGGTACTGACCATATCTATGTCAAAACGATAACAGGTAACTAGATACTGACCATATCTATGTCAAAATAATAACAGGTAACTAAATACTGACCATATCAATGTCAAAATAATAACAGGTAACTAGATACTGACCATATCTATGTCAAAATAATAACAGGTAATAAGATACTGACCATATCTATGTCAAAACGATAACAGGTAACTAGATACTGACCATATCTATGTCAAAACAATAACAGGTAACTAGATACTGACCATATCTATGTCAAAATAATAACAGGTAACTAGATACTGACCATATCTATGTCAAAATAATAACAGGTAACTAGATACTGACCATATCTATGTCAAAATAATAACTGGTAAGTAACTAGATACTGACCATATCTTTGTCAAAATAATAACAGGTAACTAGATACTGACCATAGCTATGTCAAAATAATAACAGGTAAGTAACTAGATACTGACCATATCTATGTCAAAATAATAACAGGTAACTAGATACTGACCATATCTATGTCAAAATAATAACTGGTAAGTAACTAGATACTGACCATATCTATGTCAAAATAATAACACGTAACTAGATACTGACCATATCTATGTCAAAATAATAACTGGTAAGTAACTAGATACTGACCATATCTTTGTCAAAATAATAACAGGTAACTAGATACTGACCATAGCTATGTCAAAATAATAACAGGTAATAAGATACTGACCATATCTATGTCAAAATAATAACAGGTAACTAGATACTGACTATAGCTATGTCAAAATAATAACAGGTAATAAGATACTGACCATATCTATGTCAAAATAATAACAGGTAACTAGATACTGACCATATCTATGTAAAAATAATAACAGGTAACTAGATACTGACCATATCTATGTTTTATAATAACTGGTAAGTAACTAGATACTGACCATATCTATGTCAAAATAATAACTGGTAAGTAACTAGATACTGACTATATCTTTGTCAAAATAATAACAGGTAACTAGATACTGACCATATTTATGTCAAAATGATAACAGGTATTTAAAGGTCAAAGTTACAACATCCTCAACATGCATGTTCAATTTTACTGACATTTTGCTTACAATTTCTGTAGGAAGAGTGAAAATATTTTGCTAAAGGTCAATATAAATAATTTCTCCAGTTACTGTAATCATCTGATATATTAATGTGACCAAACAGCAAAAATGATTATCAAGACAAGATCTGCAAATAAGTCAGACGGCAGAAATTGTCAACTCTTTTAGGAGCTATTGCTCTTCAATAACATATTTTACCCTTTTTTGCAAATTTATTAAATAGAGAAATACTAAATAGCAAAAATTAGTATCTGAAAAAGATCTATGATTACGTAAGATATAAATCAAGATTTGTTTGAGCTATACTCCTGTGGTAGGTTTGACTCTTAGACATTCAAGTGGATGAGGGATGGATGAACTAGAGTCAACATATCTGGTATATACTGGGAAATCAAATTGTTTGTTTTGTCTATGAATTTTTCAAAGATATTGTCTGGAAAACTATTACAGTATTTGTTTGATTTCTTTACTAGTTTCAGTCTGCAATTGTTGATATTACACTAACTCTGTAGTCTTCAATGCAGATATGTTGCCTTGTTGACATACAGCAAAGCAGAGCTTTTGATGATTTTGTCCTTAGATTTCTTCATTGATGTTTTGATTAGCTTAATTGTCCTTATTCATGTAAATGTAGTACTGTTTTATTTTGATGTAGGTAACTCTGAAGTAAATAAACCAGGTAACTGTCCAACATTGATGGGAGTTGGTATTTGTCTACAAAACTGTTCCTCAGACTCACATTGTACAGGGGACAAGAAATGCTGTTCTAATGGCTGTGGTCATGTCTGTATGGATCCTGCCCCTGGTTTGTATGAAATAATTAATGAAAAGCATCTTTTCCCTTATTGGCTCAAATTTTGTATGTACATATATAGTTAATTTCACTTAATTATTAAATCAATGAAAAGACATAAAAAAGATTTTAACATTAGTTTTGGCCAATTGAACAAAAAAACAAAAAAAAATCACTTCTCCAGTATTTAGATTATTAACTCATTTCTGTCTCATTCTTCTCAACAATAAATCATAGCTTCTTGGCATATATTACCAAGCTACATCGAGTTATGCCAAACTGTCTGACACATTTTCAGTTACTTTGTATTGATGGGTTGATGACTTGTACTGCACAACTCCTTTCTTTCATTGACATCAGTAAAAAGCTAAAACAAATATAATTATCAGACTGCCTATGTACTGTTAAAATGTACTTTCTGCATTTTACCTTAGAATAATGAAACTTTTAGTTATTTAAGACATCATACCTGACAAAATTATCCAAGGTGTGAAGGTATGCCGATAAGTCATATTTTCCTAAATGTTAATACTTTTAATAACATAAGCTGTTCTGTCACCTATAGTTGCTTACCTCAACTTGATTTGGAATTTGGTGGATTGTTTTCTCATATGCATTCATACCACATCATTCTACTTATTTTCATAAAGTAAAAAAAAGGGGTTTTATATCTTTACAGAAGAAAAGTCTGGAAAGTTTAACATTACCATAAGATTTGACTTAGACTGGATGCCAGAATATAGAGAGGAAAACAGTACTTTTAGAACTACACTTGACAGTGAGGTAAGATGGGAATACTTTGTTTTTATTTAGATAATTCTATATGTAAATGTTAATCCATATTTTTTCTCTATTTTTTGTATATTCATTTTATTTTGTATATCTCATTTTGTGAGTTCTCTTTATTTTGAAAAAGAATCATTCAACAGATTATTGTATCAAGAATGTATTTGCTGAAAATAGTAATATAAAAATGATTTAAACATCAGTTCAGATTTTGACTGCCACAGGAATTATACATGGGAGAAATTAAACCTGGGCATTGGCGACTCATTTGACTATACTTAAAGGGTCTTTTTGTGCTGGGAGCATAGCAATCTCCCAAAACAATGAAAGAACTATTACATTTGTATAAAGTACATTTTGCTTTTCAGCTAAATAAAATAATAGCCAGCAGTGAGTTAAAGACCTACTTGAAATATATCAGAGTTGTAATGCTGAGGTATGTAACAACAATAACATTAAATTGATAGTTTATAGTGTAAACAAATCATGTCTTTACCAAATCATTGACCAAATGATGAATGATGAAACAAAAATAGGGCAGTTCTTTTTGTTCCTTTTTCCCTTCACTTGGTGTCTGTCGTCATCATAAACTTTTCAGAGATCTTCTGCTCTGAAACTATTTAACCGATTTCAACCAAACTTGGGGTGAATGGTCCTTATGGCATTTAGTATAGAGTTTGTGTTCTTTTATTCCGGTGAGTCAACAAACATGGCCCCCATGGCTCAAATAGAATTAGAGGTAAAATTGCAGTTTTTGGCTTACATCTCAAAAATAAAACAGTTTGAGCAAAACTGACAGGGATAAAAACGATCAAATCAGACAACTCAAATTGGAGTTATTGCCCCAAAAAAAAAATATTTGTGAAATTTCTCAGTTTTTGGTTTTTATCTTGAAAACTATTATAGATAGAGAGAAATTTTAAACAGCAAAAATGTTAAGCAAATTTAGATCTACCAAATAGTCTTAAGATTGAATTTGTCTATATATACCTATAGGAGTTATTGCCCTTGAAAGACTGTTTTGATTATATATTTCAGGTTTTTGTTCATAAACTTCAAACTGTAAAAATGTTTAGCAAAGTAGGAGCTGAAATAAGTCAATATGACCGAAATTTTCAATTGATCCCTTATTTGAGTTATTGCCTAGCCAGAAACTACAAACAGCAAAAATATTCAGCAAAAAAAGACCTACAAATAAGTCAACTTTACTGAACTTTTTCAATTGATCTTATATAGGAGTTATTGCCCTTGAAAGATCATTTTTGTCCCCCGCGTAACATGTTGCAGGGGACATGGAAATACTGGGCGTCTGTGTGTGTGTCTGCCCGGTCTTGTTACCGCTCTCATAGGTTCAATTCTTGCCAGATTTTTATAAAACTTATACTATAGGTTAATATCAGCAATATCTCGAACAAATTTTATAATAGTGGCCAATCTACTTTTTTTTAAAAGAGTTATGTCCCTTGGAAATATTAAATTTATGGAAAATGGCCTCGTTCATGCTACAAAAAAAAAGTTTTATTTATTTATTGCCTTTGTACCTTGGATAGATAAAATATGTGCAATGCGGGGGACATTGGAACTCTGTTCTTTTATTTTTATGCCCCCGCCCCGCCGGAGCAGTGGGGGCATTAAGTTTTACCCTTGTCCGTCCGTACGTACGTACGTCCCAAAATTGGTTTCCGTTCTCAAACTTGAGTTTGCCTCAACCAAATTTTATGAAACTTATACACAGATCAAGTTTGAATTTTGGTGGTGTCACTTTAACCGTTCTAGAGTTATGCCCCTTTATAAATGGGAAAATTGCAAAATATTTAGTTTCGGTTCTCTAACTTAAGTTTGCCTCAACCAAATGTTATAAAACTTATACACAATGCTTATTACCACAAAACACAGATCAAGTTTGAATTTTGGTGGCGTCACTTTAACTGTTCTAGAGTTATGCCCCTTTATAAATGGAAAAATTGCAAAAAAGTAATTTTTAAAATTGGAGTTATCTTCCTTTGTTCATGATTATAGTTGAATCAACTACAATCAATGCTTTATACAATGCAATGTTTAATTTTGACTTCCACTGATAAAATACAGATCAAGTTGAATTTGGGCAGTGTCACTTTAACCATTATTGAGTTATGCCCCTTTATAAATCGAAAGATTGCAAAATTTTTAGTTTCCATTCTGTAACTTAAGTTTGCCCCCAACCAAACATAATGAAACCTATACACAATATTCATTACCACAAAACTAAGATCAAGTACAAATTTTTTGTTTCCGTTTTCTAACTTTAGTTTGCCTCAACCAAATGTTATGAAACTTATATACAATGCTTATTACTACATAATACAGATTAAGTGCGAAATTTGGTGGAGACACTTTTACCATTCTTGAGTTATGTCCCTTTATAAATATAAAAATTGCAAAATTTTTCGTTACCGTTCTCTAACTTTAGTTTGTCTCAACCAAATGTTATAAAACTTATACAAAACCGTTCTAGAGTTATGCGTGTTTACAAATAGAAAAATTGCTGAATTTTTAGTTTCTGTTCTCTGCTTAACCCTTTCACTGATAGCCGGCCTGACAGAAGCTACTCTGAGACGATGGCTTCCCTGGCTATTATGACACAAGTGGGAGATCTTCATATTAAATATCAATAAAAACTTGTCTGTAGTTATTTATGTCTTTATATTATTCACTTACACCATGGACACAGTTTTGTTAATGTTTTGATCATTTTTTCTTCATAAAAAATCAAAATTTGCAAATTTTCAGCATTAGAGAGATGAAATTCTAGAAATTCGACTTTTTGACCCAAAATCGTAGTCTTTTAACCCAAAACGGCAAAGGTTTGAAAAATTCAACAAGGTTGTACAAATTCCTTACACTGAATGATGTCCATTCCAAGTGTTTTTGTACATAAAACAGCATTTTATGTAAAAAAAGTACACTAGTCTGGCTTCAATTCTTCCATATTCTTTCAAAAAAAATGTTTCCTTATTTCAAATTCTAGTAAAATCCGTAAATTTCATCTGATTTTGACACGGTTTTCAACAAACTGAAGCGCCATGTTTACACTTTCATCCGGGTATTCAACAAAGAAAGATAACTTGTGTTTTCAATGTTTTTAGCAGGAAATGTAAAAGAGGTATTCCGATCCCAGTAAACCGGGACTCATCGTCAACTGTCTGAAGCGTGAATCCCAATAAACGGGCATTCGTCGGCGAAAGGGTTAAGTTAGCCTCAACCAAATGTTATGAGACTTACACACAATGCTTATTACCAAAAAACTCAGATCAAGTTCAAATTTGGGTAGCGTCACTTTTACTGTTCTTCAGTTATGTCCCTTTATGACTATATTATATGCAAGCGGGGGCATCATCTGTGTCCACATGTGGACACTATCCACATTTATTTTTATTTTTTCGCAGGAACTATGAAAGATAGAGAAAAACTTCAAACAGACAAAATATTAGGCAAAGTAAGACCTTCAAATAAGTCGACTTGACCAAAAATGTCAATTGATTCCTTATAGGAGTTATTTCCCTTGAAAGATCACTTTTACCATTTTTTTTAGTTTTTCGCAGAAACTATGATAGGTAGAGAGAATCTTTTACAGCCATGTTTAAACATGCATTAATATACATTTAATTGGAAAATAATCATTGATGCTAGATCTACACACAAAATTCCAGGTGGGCAATTTATGCTCTTAGGAGACTCTTGGGGTTTTTTTTTTTACCCCCCCCCCCCCTTTTTTTTAATCAAGCAGTATGGGAGTGTCCATCTATCCTTTTGTCCTTCTTTCTCAATTTTGTATCAGCTAACTGCTGCTGAACCACTGAATTTTCTGAAACTTTTTTATGTAATAAAATTAAAATTGAGAATGGAAATGGGGAATGTGTCAAAGAGACAACAACCCGACCATAGAACAGACAACAGCAGAAGGTCACCAACAGGTCTTCAATGCAGCGAAAAATTCCCGCACCCGGAGGCGTCCTTCAGCTGGCCCCTAAACAAATATATATACTAGTTCTGTGATGATGAACGCCATACTAAACTCCAAATTGTACACAAGAAACTAAAATTAAAAATAATACAAGACTAACAAAGGCTAGAGGCTCCTGACTTGGGACAGGCGCAAAAATGCGACGGGGTTAAACATGTTTATGAGATCTCAACCCTCCCCCTATACCTCTAGCCAATGTAGAAAAGTAAACGCATAACAATACGCACATTAAAATTCAGTTCAAGAGAAGTCCGAGTCTGATGTCAGAAGATGTAACCAAAGAAAATAAACAAAATGACAATAATACATAAATAACAACAGACTACTAGCAGTTAACTGACATGCCAGCTCCAGACTTCAATTAAACTGATTGAAAGATTATGTCTTCATCATATGTATATTTAAATCTCTCATTTCATTTTCATCTGAATAACTTTTTGGGTTTACTTTCACTGGCATGACTAAAACTTTGTATTATCTGTACAGTACAGTACACATTTGGATCCGCTAAACCCCTAATCAGAATTTAATAAAACTTTATCAGAATCTTCAACATAGTAAGCCATTACTAATACAATTCCCTAGCTAATCATGGACTTTGCAAAGTGCAAAGGTATAATTTTGTGAGCTTTTCTTGCAGTACTTCTAGACTTTTAATTTTTTTTTATAGGTTTTTGTTTTATTAGGTAAAGCTTTGGTACCAGAATTTAAATAAAATTTATAATTATTAATGTTATATAGAAAATGGTAAAAAAAATGAATATCTTACTTTCTTGCAGATTCAGATATAAGAAGATGTGGTATGAGTGCCAATGAGACAACTCTCCATCCAAGTCAAAATTTATAAAAGTAAACCAATATAGGTCAAAGTACGGTCTTCAACACGGAGCCTTGGCTCACACCGAACAGCAAGCTATAATGGGCCCCAAAAATTACTAGTGTAAAACCATTCAAACGGGAAAACCAACGGTCTAATCTATATAAAAAACTTGTATGCTTTGAAAATTTCTAACAAATTGCAAATTAACTTTGTTAATGATTACTTTTATAGATTTAGTATTCATCAACAACTTGGTTAATGTTTGTGAAGGAAACGCTTCTACACATATATTGTGCCAAATTATTTAAGAGAAACTACATTGTGTGTCCACATTTGTTTATGTATTCATTGTTTTAACTTTGTATCAAACTAAATCTGGAATTAAAAAAAATACCATCTTAACTGTGAAAGTGAAGAAAGATTGTAATCTAACAACAAACAAGTATAACACAGGATACTTCATCAAAATCTATAATTTTGCAGACCCGGCAGTATCATAGCTGGGTGTGAGGCTGAGTTCAATATGAACATAACAGATCTAAAACTTGAGATGACCTTGAAGACAAGAATAGAAGAAATCCAAGGTGACCCAGAATACACCATCTTACAGAAATGGTCAGATCTGTCTGTTGAAACATTCCCAGGTAAAGAACACAATTTCTTATGCAGCAGCCCTTCTGCCTATTAAGGTATACCTTAAAGCAAATTGTCAAGAAATGAGTTTCACAGATGATTGAAAATAAATAGTTTGTTTAAACTGGGACTTTTATTCTAATGAAAAGATATAATTGCTATTAAAATTGATCTGTACTTGGTTTGGAATGACAATATGTAAAATCTGTTTTGTTTTAATAATTAAAATTGTTCAAATGCATTTGAATGCTTTTTAGCTCATCAAAATAAAAAAAATTGTAAATTCCAGAGGGAGGTATACAGTAATTTATAGTAGACATTTGTATAATCCAATTGTTTACTTTACAAACCTTGTTCATATTGTAGTACATTTTTACACAATGTACTGTACAATGATTTCAGTAAATTTGTTCTTAAATGTTCCTAATTTATAAGGAAGTTGATTTTATGTTGATAAAACAGTTTTGATTACTTGCAGTTGTGTTTTATCCTCACATCAGTTTCACAAGTCCAGATAAAGATGATAATGAATTACATCAAATGTTGAAGTGATAGAGGTCACTAAAATTCTCTCTCATCTCATAGTTGAGAATAGGTGTATTATAACAGTATCATTGTGTATATAATAAAAAGTACACTTTATAAATGTAGTGCATTAAATTTCAGAATTAGAAGATGTGTGTACAGATGTGACTAAGATAGCCAGAGAATTACAGGTGTGTTCTTCATACCTGAACTATACTCAACATAAAGACAATGGAACTAACTGTGGGTATGTAAAAGTTTATAATCTTCTAAAACATCTCACAGGGTCGGGGGGGGGGGGGGGCATTGGACTTGGATTTCTTGTTTATGACTTTGAGAGTTTTCTTATATCTCTCAAGACTTTAGAAATGGTTTAAACTAATCTTAGTTTTGACTTAATTTGTTTTTTTTGAAATTATTTGATTTTTTTTAGAAATCTAAATCAGATCTTTGACTCATGTGAACTTAGCTATTATATCTGACACAGCTTAGACTGATACTATTTTTTTCTCCACTTTTATCTTTTAATTCTTAAATTGTTAAAACCAGTTTTTTTTGTGGTCAACTGTTAATAGATTTTCCATTTTTAGGGTATATATATTTCCTAAACTGTAATCTAAAAAGTGTTTGTTTCAAATCACATGTACAATATTAGTTGTAGATGAATTGTCTTTTTAAGACAAAAAATTTCCTTTGATAAACATAATATTTTTCATTATTTTAGGTTGTACAACTATTTCCTGAACTGTGTTATAAGCAGTGTAACAGCTAATAGACAAAGGTGTACAAGAGACTCTTTAGAAGGAATCATGCAAACAGTTTTTGAGTCTATTGGTCGCTCAGATTTACAGGCTTTAGTCAGTTGTCCAGGTGAGTTTTGAGTCTATTGGTCACTTAAAGGCTTTACTCAGTTGTCCAGGTGAGTTTTGAGTCTATTGGTCACTAAAAGGCTTTACTCAGTTGTCCAGGTGAGTTTTGAGTCTATTGGTCACTCAAAGGCTTTACTCAACTGTTCAGGTGAGTTTTGAGTCTATTGGTCACTCAAGGCTTTACTAAGTTGGCCAGGTGAGTTTTGAGTCTATTGGTCACTTTAAGGCTTTACACAGTTGGCCAGGTGAGTTTTGAGTCTATTGGTCACTTAAAGGCTTTAGTCAGTTGTCCAGGTGAGTTTTGAGTCTATTGGTCACTCAAGGCTTTACTCTGTTGTCCAGGTGCGTTTTGAGTCTATTGGTCACTTAAAGGCTTTACTGAGTTGGCCAGGTGAGTTTTGAGTCTATTGGTCACTGAAAGGCTTTACTCAGTTGGCCAGGTGAGTTTTGAGTCTATTGGTCACTGAAAGGCTTTACTCAGTTGGCCAGGTGAGTTTTGAGTCTATTGGTCACTCAAATGCTTTACTCAGTTGGCCAGGTGAGTTTTGAGTCTATTGGTCACTTAAAGGCTTTAGTCAGTTGTCCAGGTGAGTTTTTAGTCTATTGGTCACTTAAAGGCTTTACTCAGTTGTCCAGGTGAGTTTTGAGTCTATTGGTTGCTCAAAGGATTTACTCAGTTGACCAGGTGAGTTTTTATACAACCGCAAAAAAATTTTTTGCGTTGTATAATGCTATGATGTCGTCGTCGTCCGAAGACATATTTGGTTTCAGGACAATAACTTTAGTTTAAGTGAATGGATCTCTATGAATTTTTACCAGAAGGTTCAATACCACAAAAGGAAGGTTGGGATTGATTTTGGGGGTGATGGTACCAACAGTTTAGGAATGAGTGGCCAAAAACAAGCATTTTTCTAGTTTCGGGACAATAATTTGTGTGTAAGTGTATGGATCTCTCTGAAATTGTACCACAAGGTTCCATATCACAAAGGGAAGGCTGTGATTGAGTGTGGGGTTAATTGCCCCAAATGTTCAGGAATTAGGGCCAAAAAAGGGGCCAAAAACAAGCATTTTTCTAGTTTCCAGGCAATAACTTGTGTTTAAGTGTATGGGTCTCTCTAAAATTGTACTACAAGATTCCATACCTTAAAGGGAAGGCTTGGATTGAGTTTGGGGGTAATTACTCAAAAAGGGAGGGTGGGGGGGTTCAAAAAGTTGGGGGGATTTTTTTTTCCAATTTTTTTGGGGGGGATTCTTTTTTTTTCTTCAAAATTTTTGAAATTTCAAATTTTTGAAATCTTTAACTGCACAGTATTGCGCAATAGCAAGAAATCTTCAACTGCACAGTATTGATCAATAGCAAGAAATTTTCAATTGTATAGTATTGCGCAATAGCAAAAAATCTTCAATTGCACAGTATTGTGCAATAGCAAGAAATCTTCAATCGCACAGTATTGCACAATAGCAAGAAATCTTCAATTGCACAGTATTGCACAAAAGCAAGAAATCTTCAATTGAAAACAAATACAAATGTTTTAACCAATTTCGATGGGATTAATTAAGTCTTTAATTTTTGGGGGTTCTAACCTTGTATAATTTTTTGGATATTGGGCCCCATTTTTAAATTGGTCTACATTGAGGTCAAAAGGGTCCAAAATTAAACTTTGTTTGATTTCATCAAAAACTGAATTATTGCGGCTGTATGATTGGCTGAATCTTATTGTGCATTTAGATTTTTATTTTGGGCCCTGTTTTCAAATTAGATATAGGAAATTGTGGTATGAGTGCCAATGAGACAACTCTCCATCCAAGTAACAATTTATAAAAGTAAACCATTATAGGTCAAGGTACGGCCTTCAACACAGAGCATTGGCTCACACCAAACAGCAAGCTATAAAGGGCCCCAAAAATTACTAGTGTAAAACCATTCAAACGGGAAAACCAACGGTCTAATCTATATAAAAACGAGAAACACGTATGAACTACATAAACAGACGACAACTACTGTACATCAGATTCCTGACTTAGGACAGGTGCAAACATTTGCATTGGGATTAAATGTTTTAATGGTACCAAACCTTCACCCTTATCTGAAACAATAGTGTAACATCACAACATAGAAAGACACACTATAAAATATCAATAAGCTTGGACAGAAGCTTCTTTACTCAGTTGTCCAGGTGAGTTTTGAGTCTATTGGTTGCTCAAAGGCTTTACTCAGTTATCCAGGTGAGTTTTGAGTCTACTGGTCGCTCAGATTTACAGGCTTTCCAGTTTAGTTTAGATTTTGATTAAGAAGGATGAATCAAATATTGCTAAAACATTTTCATGGAAGAGTATTGCACAAACAATTTTTAGGCATTTTTGCAACAATACACAGTTTTATGCTGCATAAGTCCACATAAGATCCAATTGCTATCAAATTATTGCATAACAATTTTAGTAGAAGGCTTGGGGGTTGATAATACATCTGCTATGAAATATGTCACGTGATGTTCTTTTTATCATATAATTCAACTTGGGAAAACATCATTGTATTAAAAATATCAATCTTAACTACACAATGTATACTGCAAGTCAACAACAAAGGCAGTTGAATATATTTGATTTTTAAAAATCTAAGAAATATTTAATCATAGAACACTCAAAGGTACTGTCACACTGATGTTTTTGTACTGACATAAATGTTTACAAACGAAAGTGAACCAACGCCTGGTGAGTCTGTAGTGAGTTAGAGTCCCTGAAGTGGATACCTCGGGTATGCAGGGTCGTTATGATGAAACACAATAATGTAGAAAGTCTTATAACAACAACACTGGAGGGACTGCTGCAGAAAATTTATTGATCGACATGTTTCGGTGCCTAGGGCACCGTCATCAGGATACAAATAATACATTGAACATACTTAAGTGTACAATCGGGTTGTCTTGTGACAACGTCATAGTATAGTAGTTGTTATGAAAGGGAAGTAATAGTGAAAGTATAAATAGAAAATGTATATAAATAGATTGTCAACATGAAAATGAAAGTAAATTAAAATTGTTTGTATATCAACTCTGTGTTATTATTGTCTCAGCTAAAAATGTTATAAATAGAATGTACAAACACATGTCTGTCCCATAGTTCTTCCGGTAGCTCATCTAAACATATGGTTTCATCACTGCTGCTTGTTGTCAGGTCTATGTAGTCTTCCTGAGTAAGGTCCATGACATAACCGTAATCGTTTGTTATGTATTGCGGAGTGTTATTTAAAGAAGAGTCGGAATCCGACAGGTACAGGTATTGTTCCAAATCACTTGTTGAGGGTTTTTTCGGTTTTGAGGTGGATGATTGGTGATACTCATACGGTGATTTAGCTGGTATTGTCCTGAATGTAGGTGTTTTCCCGTTCCATTCTTTTTTCTGTACGGCTTCAAATGGTGGTCTCCATTTTTCTATTGCTTTGGCCATTTCACGAGGATTTTGTTGGAAGCTATTATAATCTTCTCTGGCTTTATCTGGGTGTTTTGATTTAAGGTGTGTTACGGCATTTGATTTTCTAGTGAAGGTTGCAACACAATGTTTGCATTCAAACATTGTTGCGACTGGTTCGTGGCGTTCCTTATGGTGTCTTCGTAAAGTAGAAATACTGCAGAAAGTTTTCGGGCATTTTTTGCAATTAAATCGTCTTGTGAAAGTTCCTGTAGTTTCTTTTCTTTTGGTAATCTTCGTATTAGCCATATCGTCTGTTAAGGCCCCAGGGTTCGGTGCTTCCAAATTTATGTATAAGAGCTTCTTCCGTTCTTAGTCTGACGTTTATGTTTTGTTCTGTGGTTGTTATGCCTGTTATGGTGACGTCGTGTTTATTGTGACCATTTGAGGTGAAGTGTTTCGAGACTGGTTTTGTATTATTCTCAGTGTTGATGTCCTGTAGATGTCCCCTGAATCTTTCTTTTAGGCTATTTCCCGTTTGACCAATGTATTGTTTTTTGCATTGTTTGCATTCTATTAAATACACCACACTTTCTGTGTTGCATGTAATTTCGTGTTTAATATCTATTTGGTAACTGTTTACGGTACTTTTTGCACTTTCTGCGGTTTTCATTAATCTACAGAGATAGCAATTCTTTCCGCAAGGGTGGCTACCCTTACGGGTTTGTTTGCGTACAATTTCGGTTTTTACTAGTATTTGTTTGATTGATAAGGCTCGTCTATATGAAACAATGAGTTTTTGTTTCGCGAGGGTTTGAGTTTCAGGAGTTCTTTTGAGGATATCTTTCCTCTGGTTGATGGTTCCGTTAAGATTTTTTATTTTTGGATGGTAGTTGATTACTAATGGAATCATATCTGGCTTCACGGGTTGACATAAATGTGTTAAAGTATTTTAGACAGACCTTACTTGATGAATAAGTTTGGACTTTGCATGCACTTTCATTTCATACCAAAGTATTAAAATTTCCTATTGTTGATATTTGTCTTTCATCTTCCTATGCTTATTTGTTTTTGAAGTTTGATTTCACAGATGCATATGCTTATAAATAACATGAATATTAAATTTACAATGTTCATATTGCACATAACTTTTTATCTATTCGAATTTCAGGACAGGGGCCTGTGTATTTTAGAGCTGATTTAGAATATATGAAAATAGTTATCAGAACTCACTTTTCTGATACACGACACCATGCCCCAGAACATAGTGCCTACAAACAAACTGCTAAGCAATTCATCTTTGATGAATTCCAGAGATTTGGGTTAGACACTGAGTACCATACCTTTAACGACACAGCAGTTTCATCTTCAGTAAGTAGTAGCTGATAACGACACAGCAGTGTCATCTTCAGTGGTCAAATATGTTACACTTATTAAATATGTATTACAATGTATAATTTGAATTTGTCAGGATATGTTTGCAAAAAGGATCAGCAATAATGTCAATATGACTGAGACAATTTATCGACTTCTCACAGGAGTTATTGCCCTTAATAAACAATATTTTCACTCAAATGGGTATTAAATCTATGGCATAGTCATATTTCTCAAACTTGTGATATCACTACTACCATACCATTTCTATTAGGCATTACTACTGACTCAACTCTCATATTCAACAGTCAAACAAATCAAAAACCTTTGACAAGTTTTCATGAACACAGAATCAGTTAAATATAGGGTAAGGTCTAAATTTGAACCAAATATTAGGCGTAGGAAAATAAGTCATAATTCCGTAGCCAAGTCATTATCACAGTTATCATATCAGCTGATAGAGTTCTAACTTTGAAAGAATGTTGCTATTGTGGAAATTGTCAGTAAATGCCAATAACCAAGGAATGATTTTGTTGCCAAATTTATTATAACACCTATAGGTGTAATACCACCATTGTTTTTCCCCTATTAGTCTTTGTTAAATTTGCACTTTTTTCAAAAAATTGTGCAGAATTTATCTTTGTTTCAAATAAAGAAATACTTGGCATGAGTAAAGTTTTATCCTGTCCAGTACTACAGACAAATTTTCACATAACATTTCATTGCATATAAGAAAATAACCATCACTGGAAGTTAACCAATCAAATTTTCACCCCTTTGTTTCCTGTGTGCAAGCTTTAGTAACCATGAAACCTCAAGTTTCCAAAATATTCTATAGAAACACCAAATAAAAAAAGAATGGTGCTTTGAAACACCCAAGATATATGTTTATGACTCAGAAATTTTTTACTGCAATGAAATGTAGGATTAATTTCCTACAACTGTCAAATTCAAGGGAATATTTTTTTTCGACCCTTTTTTGTATGCAACCGAACGTGTCGTACTATGATTTGGTGGTATTACACCTAAAGAAGACTTTTTTGTTGAATAAACTTAATGTAATTTTTTTCCTTTGTAATACTGGTTATTTCAAGCATAACTGTTAAGTTTTGCCATAATCAGTTCAATAGTTTGAGAAAAATGTAGTATAATGTAAGACGACATCTACAGCGATTCGAGCAAAATTTCTTCAAAAACCCATATCAAGCAGCAGTATGATAGAATATAGTGTGGACCAATTAATGATCAAATATGTATCTCATCTGCCTACAAACAGTTGAATATGACACAAAAGATAACTCTATGATGATAAATACCTCTTATAGACCTCTTTGTCTTCATCATAAGGTCCCATTTGGTCCATTCATACCCCTCATTTCCTCAAAATTTTACTTTTTAGGCCAATAAATCAAAATTTTGGGGTAACTTTCACACATTTATGCAAGAAATGTGATAAGGAATTAGTAATTGAAGTATTCAAGCTGAATGAACTATCAAGATAAAAGTTTACTGACTCCATGGAGGTTTCAATAAGTACTTACGTAAAACTTAAATTTACGCCGCACATCAGAGAGGAACATAAAAAGCTTCCCTTTAAGTGAATAATTTGTTGTTACTGCTTCAAAAATAATTTCATTTACTTATAACTGTATATTTACTAAAGTATTACTTGGGAAAAAGTTTTCTTTTATAGCAAAATATAAGAAATAAGGAGAAAAAGTCAGAAAAAGCTCAACAAAACTCTAAGTATGGCTTGCTCTGTCTACTAATATCCATGGTAGAGTCCTATTTCAAGGCTATTTTCTCTAAAAATGTGTTTTTGAGACTCAATCCACTCAGAATATTTCATTTTTGTAATATTTCACTTTAATAGCATGAAGTTTTAACAAATAAGAGTACATACAAGGTCAAAGGTGCATGTGCAGCTTTCCATATTAGGTGTAATACCACCATTGTTTTTCCCCTATTAGTCTTTGTTAAATTTGCACTTTTCAAAAAACTGTGCAGAATTGATCTTTGCTTCAAATAAAGAAATACTTGGCATGAGTAAAGTTTTATTCTGTCCAGTACTACAGATAAAATTTCACATAACATTTCATTGCATATAAGAAAATATCCATCACTGGAAGTTAACCAATCAAATTTTCACCCCTTTTTTTCCTGTGTGCAAGCTTTAGTAACCATGAAACCTCAAGCTTCCAAAATATTCTATAGAAACACCAAATAAAAAAAGAATGGTGCTTTGAAACACCCAAGATATATGTTTATGACTCAGAAATTTTTTACTGCAATGAAATGTAGGATTAATTTCCTACAACTGTCAAATTCAAGGGAATGTTTTTTTTTCCACCCTTTTTCTTATGCAACCAAATGTGACGTACTATGATTTGGTGGTATTACACCTATGTAATGGAAATAAGAAATTAGGCATGGTAGATGTTACGTAGAAATGTACACTTTTTTTGCTCTTCAATGTAAAAGAGTACCACAAAGTGGCAATAAATTCAAAATTGAAAACTGTATTTCATGTGTACAACTATCCTATGCGATATTTTTATCTTTCTCCTTAAAACTAGCAACAATCAATATTTCTATCAAATGTGATTAATTTTCTTTTACTGTATATTCAGAAATTTTTGCATGCATTTTTGTGATTGTCGAACAATGTAATAAAAATATCCTGTCGCAATATTGAAAACATTGCAAGCATTTCTGAATAGCAGTATTAAGTATATTGTGTATCAATTGATAATTGAAGATGATCACTAGTGATGATCTTTATAACGTTTAATTATGTTTGTAATTTTAGGTGGAAAGTTAGAATATGTACATTTATTTACTACAGACATGAAATTTTGACTGTTTTTATATTATCATTGTATAGATTAGATAAATAAGGTATGAATGAAACATATGCTGAAGTGAAATTCACCAAAAAATTATTATCGAAAAGAACATAGAAAGTATTTATATTTTTACAGGCAACTTTTCAATCTGTGATTGGGGTACTCAAAGGTACAAGATTTGGAACAGCTGATGATTTGATTACAGGTCTTGGTGCACATTATGACACAGTATTGACATCGAAGGGTAAAGATTGTCTATAGATACAAGTTTCCTAAATACAGCAGCGTTAAATTAAATAAATGTGTCTCATCGTAGTGATAATATTTTGCACATAGATTAAGTGCTTTCTATTAAATGAAATTTAGATGTGAAATTAATTTATAGTGTACACTCAATGTTGAAATAAGTAAAGAGAGGAAATAATCCCCAATTTCATACGGTACACGAAAAGTCATAAATGAAAATAAAGAATTTAAACCGAATATTGAAATATTCTGATGTAATGGCAATGAAATGAAAGAAAATATACAAATGTATACCGGTAGTTAAACACACATGGCATATGTTTCAATGATTATCAAATAATGCCAGTGCTTTTCTTAAAATGTTTATATCAAATAAATAAAAAAGGATGATTTATGATGCAAATTTTCTCACTGAAAATTGATAATAATTTACAGAGTAAATTTAAACATTTTTGTTTAATCTATACAGGAGTGGATGATAATGGATCAGGTGTGGCAGCCATGTTGGAAGTCGTCCGACAACTCACTAATATAAATAATTCAGGATACAAGAGAAAAAACACAATTATATTTGTCTCGTTTGATTTAGAAGAATATGGAGGTAACGTTATAAACATTTAACATGAAATAATGAATCAAATAAATTTTATTAGTTTAATAGTCTTAAGAAAATTATTTAGATTTAAATGAGGTTAAGGATTAGAGAGATAGAACAGACACTATCTGCAGTTCAATCATGTGGAGAAAACATCAATATTATCTTTTTATCCTTTTACTGTGATCATTTTTGACATTTTATCTTTAGCAAACAGAAAAATGAAGTAGACCTTTTAATTGACATTTTAGTATTACCGATTGTTTTGAATATTATTCCTATTATAAATTGTTTTCTTAACCCTTAAGATTAACTATTGGCAATTTTTTGTTACCTAGGGTTGTCCGGAAGTCGGAACTTTCTACAGGACTGGCTCACTCCATGGTTGATTAAAAATTATGGCTTGACCCCACCAACAAGAATACATGGTGTTATTGTCCTTGACACAGTAATGGAGTATAACACTTCTAGCCAATCACAAGTCATTCCGCTAGATGCTTTGGACCAGGTAAGGTCAAATCAAGATCAGTTTATAGTTATTTTGGGGGTGAAAAATATTGGTTTTTTTTTCATATTTGGAATCATTCCTAAGATAGGTTTCCCAAGAAAAGATTGTATAGATATAAGGACATATTTTATGGTGGATCTTTGATAGTTTTTCTTTAATTTATTCACATTCTTTTTTTTCTAATTTGGATGATTAAGAGCTTCACATATTGTATATACATCTGTCTCTTGTTGAAGACAGTGTATTGACTTTTGGATGTCTTTTGTCATTGGGTTGCTGTATCCCACCTCTCTGTTTATCCATATATAGATATATAGACTCTCTGAACTTTCTGAAGTGATAACCATATATCAGAAACATTATTTTAAGCATGGATAAAATCTATGTTACAATTTTATATCAGTTTCAGCAATTTTTCCCAAGTGCTATTGAAAGTATAGCATCAGATAATTTTAGAGGAGACTTCATCACTTTAATTTACCGTCAACCTACCGATGATAGAGTTCTGGCAGAGACATTTAACTCGTCCTGGGCAGCTGCAGGAAGGGCTGAGTTTGAGATTGAATCATTCCCATTGCCATTTGCAGACTTACAGAGTGTTCCACAAGAACAACTAGCACTAATGTATCAATTCCTGAGAAGTGACCATTACAATTTCTGGGGAGCTAATTTACCTGCCATATTTCTCACTGATTCAGGTAACGTTTGAATATTTTATTTTAATTTTATACATAGAAATGTTTAAAGACTGGTCCAGCTTCAAATTAATTGAAATTATTTGTTAATTTAAATACTGTAAATTCAGAAATAAATCTGTACATATAGTATAGAAAATAACTGATTAATGGTAAAAAAGTGAGATCTAGTTCATACAATTGCAGACATTTTGTGAAAGAAAATCACTACTGAAATTATGAATGAGAGTTTTTATTATTACAGTATTCAAGTTTGTAAATACATGTTTAACTGACTTGATAGATAGGTACAGACAAGTTAAAGTTATCCATTAATGATAGAAAAATATGCATACTAAAACTGAAGTGTTAAAACTCGTAGGCTAACTATTCCTTCGTTAAAATTTTAGCTAATTTCCGTGGTGATATGATACAATGTTACCACAATCCTTGTGATGACCTTGACACAATGCTTACGGATGACAATGTCAATTTCCTGGGTAAAACAGCAGATACAGTCACAGCTACCATTCATAGACTTTCAGAACCTTTCAAAACAGGTTGGTAATTTACTATAGTACTAAGTATTCATTGTTTTCAAACTTGGAAAGATTGTCTGCAGTTATCTTGGCTGTGAAGTTAAACTTGCCTGGTCACATTTAATATTTATGTTATATTTTAAGAAGTGAATCCAGTAATGGGTAATATGGACTGGACCCATTGGTCACCATAGCATTTTCTTCTTCAATAAAATATCTCGTCAGTGGTCTTGTGGAAGCATGCTTGCCTAGCGTACATTGTGGATCCAATCTAAGGATTGATCAATTCAAAGACTTTTGAACTGGTATTGCTGCTTCTCTGCTAAGTACATGGCATTTTGGAGTTATAGCAAAGACTGGTCAGTTGAGAGTTTGAATGATATATCCAAATAAGATTAAATTCTTCCAGCAGACTGTAACCTAATGAGCTAGTATTTAATAAAGTCACCACATCAACATGTTATCATAATGAATATGCATGTAATATTTGTGCTGGTCTTTAAGCATCCATCAATCAAAATTTCAACTGAAGGAAAGTGTATGTTTCTTAGACCGTGACATATCTCTAAACAATGTAAATATATATGAATTGCCCAACATTTCATCTTAATTTTAATGTACACTGTTTTTGGATTGGAATCTTATTTTTAATGTACACTGTTTTTGGATTGAAATCTTATTTTTAATGACACTGTTTTTTTTAAGTGTAATCTGTATAGTACAGGTAATTGTTTTCATTAATCTATTAAGTACTGGTAATTTCTTTCATTAAGCTATTTAATGTTCATATGACAGTATGTCCAGTCTGTATATAATTCACAAATGAAAAAAATAACCTTTTTGATAATCATTAAAAATCTGTTGTTCAGGTAGCAATGCATTCATCACATTGGCCTTTGGCTTTTGGTTACTGAAGGTCATGGCGTTGAAAGTATATCCAATGATTATTAACATATGAAAAATGTAAGTATGGCTCTTATCTTTATCCAGGACCCAAGTTTCAAGGTCATATTGATATTGGCTGAGAAATATCTACTGTAGCAGAACACATAGCTGTCTTTATGATCTTCTGTAAAGTGTGTCTGCTTAAAATCATAGGGGTATTTGACAGGGGGGAGGGGCAGTCTCAACATTCAAATTTGGATACAGGTGTCCGGCTGGGGTTTGAAAAACACTCCCCATTCACCTATTGATTTTCGCGTATATACATGACCCATACCAGCATCACGTCTGTTTATACCTTTATATAGGAAAGACACCCCCTTGGAATTTGAACACCTTTATGTATTGTCTTATGATATTTTAGTACACATTAAATAGTAAAATCTTAATGTTGACAGATTATGTGGGTGATATATGTGAGGACAGCATGGTGATGGAGTTAATAGTCAATCAGTCATGTACTTCATATTTACAAGGATTTCAGAGCCAACCACTTTGTCAGTGAGTATAAATATTATACATATTGTTTTTATAAATTGGTCATAGGGTAAATGTCAATGAAAAGCAACCCAACTACTCATAATCTCAAAAAAAAACCACTAGATGTGACTATTTAGGCCAACAAAAGACAGCACCTGTCAGTGTTCAGACTTTAGAATTTGAAATAAATGTACCATAATGATACTGATGCAATCATTATGGTATAACTTTAAATCATCATAATAGTCATTAAAAATCTATTTGTTTATTAGCAAAGCATTCATTATAGTAACCTTAAACTTAACAATGATATGCATGTCATGGCTAAAAGGTAAGGGAAGTAATACTTCAATGCTTTGATTTTAACCAGTATTTCAATAGCCATACTAGCTGCGGAACCGTAGCTATAATGGTCCTTATGATATTTTTTGACAATTTGTGGACATTGTCAAAAAATATCTTAAGGACGATAAGAGCTACGGTTCCACAGCTATAGCCTTACCTATTACTAAGTGAAATATTACAAAATCATATAAATTTACATTGAAATACTTAAGAATTATAGATTTACTGAACTATTAATATTCATTTGGCAAATATTTTTGAGTCTTTCATTCTAACTTTGATTATTTTAACCTCATTTAAAAGCATTATATTGATAAATCATGCTGCAAGTGTGAGACCTTTGATTAATCTTGTTGCAAGTGTGAGACCTTTGATTAATCTTGTTGCAAGTGTGAGACCATTGATTAATCATTATACAAGTGTGAGACCATTTTTTGTCTCGCCTTGACGGAGGCAAAAAGCGAGACATAGGTATGCTGTTCCCGGCCACGGCAGCGGCATCAACAATGTATTAGTTTGTGATTAGGTCTAGTTTATGGTGAACCACAAGTGGAAGGTCAATCATATTTGGTATGCAGTTGTATTAGCATTGGCAAATCTCATTTCCATGAAGATTATTTGGCCCTGCCCCCTCAGTCATGGTCTATTGACTTTGAAACTTTTGCTAAGTTTACATTTATTAGTTTGTGATTAGGTCAGCTCAAAGGGAACCACAAGTGGTAGGTCAATCATATTTGGTATGCAGTTGTATTAGCATTGGCACATCTCATTTCCATGGAGATTTTTTTGCCCTGCCCCTCAGTCATGGTCTATTGACTTTGAAACTTTTGCTTAGTTTACATGTATTAGTTTGTGATTAGGTCTAGTTTATGTTGAACCACAAGTGGAAAGTCAATCATATTTTGTATGCAGTTGTATTAGCATTGGCACATCTCATTTCCATGGAGATTTTTTGGCCCTGCCCCTCAGTCATGGTCTATTGACTTTGAAACTTTTGCTTAGTTTACATGTATTAGTTTGTGATTAGGTCTAGTTTATGGTGAACCACAAGTGGAAGGTCAATCATATTTGGTATGCATTTGTATTAGTATTGGCACATCTCATTTCCATGGAGAATATTTGGCCCTGCCCCCTCAGTCATGGTCTATTGACTTTGAAACTTTTGTTTAGTTTAAATGTATTAGTTTGTGATTAGATCAGTATAAGATGAACTGCTAATGTTAAGTCAATGATATTTGGTATGCAAATTTATTGGCATTTGCAAGTATAGTTTCCATGGAGATTATATAGCCCCACCCCCTCTTCATGGCTCATTGACTTTGAAACTTTTACATAGTGTACAAGTTAATGTTTGTGTTTAGGTTTGTTTAAAGGGAACGACTTATAATAAGTCAATGGTATTTGGTATGTAGTTGTATTAGCATTGGCACATCTCATTTCCATGGAGATTGTTTAGCCATGTACCTCAGTCATGTTTCATTGACTTTGAATATTTGCATAACTTACATGTTAAAGAATTGCTATTTTAATTTCAACATTTGCATAATCAAAATTACAAAAAGGCGAGACACATCTCTGTGATAACAGTTTATGTTGAGCCTGCGACTTCTGTCGCAGAAAGCGAGACATAGGGATAGTGATTCGGTGGTGGCCACATCGGCGTTAACAAGCTTCTTAAAACCTTAATATTTCAGAAGGTAGAAGATTTAGATCCTTCATACTTTGTATATAGATGCCTTATGTTATGAAGTTTGCATCTGTCATATGTACATTGTCTTTGACTTCATTTTCAAAATTCAGTAACTACCGTCTTTTGGTGTGTATAGTGCGCATTTGTGTATTGTGCGCACCCCCTTTATGGTCCAAGAAACTTGAGAAAAAAAGTTTCTTGTTCATATAATACTCATAGATATTTTCGGAAAAGTCACAGCTCCAAAATCGGCAAACAGGAAGTCTACCGGTAAACTGGAAGTTTTTTAAATGGACACCGATGTCAGAGAATTCCGTACAGAATACGTTATTAATACGAAATTGCAAATATTCTGACAAATGAATAAGAATTTTATTTTAAAATGTAAGTAGATTGAGATAAATCTTCATTTAAGTTTGTTTTTTAAAACCAAATTTAATAAATTGTTTGAGTATCAAAGACAAGATTAAATATCCTAATTAATGTTCTGATTGAAGCAATAACATAATTACGAATCAGTCAAATAATTATCATTAACATCTATTTCTTAATCTTTAATGATTAATAAACACATGTAAGCTGAAATAAATTGTTAAAATCTCATTATTTTTATTTTTTGTTTGTTGATTCTAGCTGTTAATCCGGATTATCACACCTCAATCAATGGGTCTAATTGATGTCAAAACAAATCAATGACAGGTTCACCTTGTTCCTAATTAAATTCGTTCAGGTTACAATTATGGGATTATCATGTTTTCAATCATAATTTCTTGAAAGGTTTTAAACAGTTGTTTAAAAGTTACAAAGTAGAAACGTATTTATAAAAAAAAACTTCTCATAGACTAAATCATCACTTTACAATATTAAGTCACATGACTGGCAATCACCTGATACATTAGAAAAAATGGCGGTTTATCTTTTCAAAAAGATCGTGGTTTATTCAATTTTCATAAACTTATCTTCTACTCTCCATGATGAACACATACAAAAACAGCAAGTTATGACAACAAGAAACACAGAGGCTAATTTAACCGACAACAAAAGCTTTATTGTGTCTTTATTAAGACATGGCAAACTTCCGGATTGCAAACAGATGGACAAATTTACTAGAGACTAAAGAGATATAAAATGTATTTTATTGGAATAAAACATGACATATCAAGTACCATAAGATACATATTACAAATATAACATGTAAAACATAATAACAATCGAGGTTATAGCAAAAAATTCCGTACTCTTCACTTCACCTGGTATTTTCTTTGGTCGGAGTTTGGACCTGAAAAAAGACTAAGAAAATGTTTGTAGGCATGTATAATGCGCAACCCTCTTACAAGAAACACGACCCAGGGTATAAATGTGCGCACTATACACACCGCATGACGGTACTTGAAAAAAAAGTTAAGATTTTTAGTATTCTTAATTTCTCTCTTATTGAGAGTAATAGGATAACTATATTTGGTATGTGCGTACCTTGCAAGGTCCTCATGCCTGTCAGACAGTTTTCACTTGACCTCAACCTCATTTCATGTATCAGTGAACAAGGTTAAGTTTTCATGGTCAAGTCCATATCTCAGATACTATAAGCAATAGGTCTACTATATTTGGTGTATGGAATGATTGTAAGGTGTTCATGTCCAACTGGCAGGTGTCATGTGACCTTGACCTCATTTTCATGGTTCAGTGGTTAAAGTTAAGTTTTTGTGTTTTGGTCTGTTTTTCTAATACTGTATGCAATAGGTCAACTGTATTTGGGGTATGAAAATATTTTACGATGTACATGTCAGTCTGGCAGGTTTTATTTGACCTTGACCTCATTTTTACTGTTCATTGCTCAATGTTAAGTTTTTGTGTTTTGGTCTGTTTTACTTAAACTATGAGCAATAGCTCAACTATATTTGGTGTATGGGATGATTGTAAGATGTATATGTCTGTCTGGCAGTTATCATCTGACCTTGACCTCCTGTTCATGGTTCATTGGTCAATGTTAAGTTTTCCTGGTTAAGTTTTTTTTTAGAAACTATATGCAATAGGTCAACTATATTAAAAGCATGTAATGATTGAAAGGTGTCCATGTCTGTCTGGCAGGGTTCATCTGACCTTGACCTCATTTTCATGGTTTATTTATCAATGTTTAAGTTTTCCTGGTTAAGTTTGTTTCTTAGATACTATGTGGAATAGGTCAACTATATTTAAAGCATAGAATGATTGTAAGGGGTACATGTCTGTCTGGCAGAGTTCATTTGACCTTGACCTCATTTTCATGATTCTTTGCTCAATACATGTATAAAGTTTTCATGGTTTGGTCTCTTTCTTGTATACTATAAGCAATAGGTCAACTGTATTTGGTGTATGGAATGATTTTAAGGTGTACATGTATTTCTGGCTTGGTTTATCTGACCTTGACCTCATTTTAAATGATCATGTTAAGTTTATGTGACACTTGTAGTAAAACTTTATATTTAGGACTATCAGCATAAAATCAATGGTCAGTAAAGCAGGCGAGACATTTCAGCATGTGCACTCTTGTTTAATCATGTTGCAAGTGTGAGACCATTGTTTAGTCATTGTGCAATGTGAGACCATTGATTAATCGTGTTGCAAGGGTGAGACCATTGATCAATCATGTTGCAAGTTTGAGACCATTGATTAATCATGTTGCAAGTGTTAGACAATAGGTTTATCATGTTGCAAGTGTTAGACCATTGATAAATCATGTTTCAAGTGTGAAACCATTGTTAAATCATTTTATGAGTGTGTGATTATTGTTTCATCATGTTGCGAGAATGAGACCATTAGTTCATCATGAGACCATTGTTTTATCCTGTTACCATTATAAAACTATTTTACTTATTTGATAATTCAATCAAAGGAGATGTATGGTAAATTCAGAACCAACTCACAACCACAAAAAAACAAAAGATATTTAGAGCTTGGCATATGGTCTTCGATAATAGACTTTATTTTATATCATGCTCTAAATTGTCCAACATTAAGAGAAGTTGTGAAGTTTAACAGACACTACCAATGACTTGCCGTCAACATCATTAGGTTACTTGGTAGTATTGTTGACAGCTATTGTTAATGCTATTTTAAAGAACTTGGTAGCATTGTTGATAGATGTTTTACTGCTACTTTAGAGTACTTGGTAGCATTGTTGATTTCTATTTAATTACAATTTTAGAGTTCTTGGTAGCATTGTTGATATCTATTTTTACTGCTATTTTAGAGTTCTTGGTAGCATTGTAGATATCTATTGTTACTTCTATTTTAGAGTTCTTGGTAGCATTGTAGATATCTATTGTTACTGTTATTTTAGAGTTCATGGTAGCATTGTTAATATCTATTGTTACTGCTATTTTAGAGTTCTTGGTAGCATTGTTGATATCTATTTTTACTGCTATTTTAGAGTTCTTGGTAGCATTGTTAATATCTATTGTGGTAGCATTGTTGATATCTATTTTTACTGCTATTTTAGAGTTCTTGGTAGCATTGTTAATATCTATTGTTACTACAATTTTAGAGTTCTTGGTAACATTGTTAATATCTGTTGTTACTGCTATAAATTTCAATCCTGGTATCTATGATTAGTTTATTTAGAGTACTTGGTACTATTGTTGATATCTATTGTTACTGCTATTTTAGAGTATTGGGTAGCATTGTTAATATCTGTTGTTACTGCTATTTTAGAGTACTTGATACCATTGTTGATATCTATTTTTACTGCTATTTTAGAGTCGTGGTAGCATTGTTGATATCTATTGTTAATGATATTTTAGAGTCGTGGTAGCATTGTAGATATCTATTTTTACTGCAATTGTAGAGTTCTTGGTAGCATTGTTGATATCTATTGTTAATGCTATTTTAGTGTACATGGTACCAATGTTGATATTTATTTTCTACAATTTTAGAGTACTTGGTAGCATTGTTGATATCTATTGTTACTGTTATTGTAGAGTACTTGATAGCATTGTTGATAGATGTTTTACTGTTATTGTAGAGTACTTGATAGCATTGTTGATAGATGTTTAAGTCCACTAATGCCAGGAGAAACATGTAACAGGAACAGAATGTTGTCAGATGTTGTCACCATGGTGATGGTTGCTAAGATGTTACCAGTTGGATTTGATGCCTCAACTTGTGGTAAGCAGAACTTGTTCCGGAAGTTTGGTTGGTTTATTTAAGAATTATATTTTTTTCTCAAACTTGAAATGGAAATATAAGCTTACAACCAGTTAACAATAGGTGTAGAATCAAATTTCCAGTGCATATAAATTAAATTTTGTATTATTTCATTTTATGAGCTAATTCCTTTAAATCAAAAGCCTCTGAAATCAGAATTTTACCAGAACTTTCTTGTTAATTTTACACCTTCATCAGCAATTTCACAAATTTTCTACAATATAAACCAGGGGAAAGATGATAATCTCATGTTGAATCTATAAATATGTAAGTGTTGTGGTAGTTAATAACTGGATTATGTGTTCTGAGTTTTCCAAAATAGAAATAAATTGACATCAATGATACAAATTTGGACTGTGCTAAGTAAAGAGACATTGACTTTCATAACATGTAAACCAACTTATTTTATATAAACGTCGAGATAGAAATGATGGATTGATAATTCAAACATTTATACTCACTGACATATATCTTTTGGTCATAATTTTTTCCTTGTGAATATATATACTTATGCCAAAAATCCAAATGTGTTTTCTTGTGTTTTATTTTATTTATATTTTTTTTTCCTTTCTTCTTTCTCCAAAATATAGGCCGTACTTTATTGAACGATACTATGGAAACAATGCATATATAATGATATAGTAAATGTATATTTCAAATTATAGATTACCAACAAGTACTTACTTGTCCTATGTAATTATATACTACATAGTTTAACAAGGCCAGGATAAGATACTGGTATATTATGTGTATCAACTGAACAACGTTCAAATTTTCAATAAAGGTTTTCTTTTTTTTTTTAAATTTATATTTATCTTTTTTTCCCACTTGAGCATTTTTTTACTCATAGCCTTATGGAAAGAACCATCATTTTTACTCTGATTAATATTTCAAATGTTTGTTTTTTAGGTGCTGCCAATCACTCAGATAATGGTGATCAGTCCATATCAGATATGTGTTTAGGACAATGGGGAAGCTGTGCATCTCAACAAGATTGTCATATGGCCACATGGTCATATAACCCCAATACACAGATGATTTCATTTAATATAACAGCAGCTGTAGATAGTAGTAAATGGCTGGGTATTGGATTTAATGGACAGAAAGCAATGGTAAGTTGCTAGTTAGTGTTAGTTTTGGATTTAATGGTCAGAGATAGCTATGTAAGAAACATTGATATAGTATTATTTTTTAGCTGCTCTTGACTAAGTTTTATGCCTCACCTATGATAGTTTTCTGGTCTGTCCTTCTATCCCTCCCTAATCAGTTTAAATTTTGGTCTTAATGTTGTTTGTCGTCTTGATACTAAGTACACATGTGCATTATGACTTAAATGCCAAATTAGGGTTTTGACTTAGATTTCATAGTTCACTGAACATGGAAATGTCATATGTCAAAGATTTGGTTTAAGGTAGTTTGTGGCCACATCAACTTGAAACCTAGTACACATGTTCCTTTTGAAGTTAACTTTATCTTAATACATATGTAAAATTAGGATTTTGACCCAAATTTCATGGTTCATTAAACATGGAAATGCAATGGTGTGATCGGGCAGGGTGTCCTATGGACACATATTTTAGTTAAAAGAGGAATTTTGATTGTATTTTTTCAGGCTGGTTCAGATGCTTTAGTTGGATGGATAACACCCCAAGAAACAGTTACAGTTACTGACAGGTAAATATAAATATATCTTATATTGTAATGAATTTGATTAACCGTATATGGATATGATTTAATTTTGGATGTAACACGTCTTCTGATTGGCTGAAAGTTTTTTGTCTATCAGCTCATAGACTTAATTTTGTCATGTGACCGTGACTTCATCAACGTTTTTCATGATTTCTCATTAAAAATGGAATTTAGAATTAAATTATAAGGAATGACTGTAATATATTTTGTGTCTATTCGAAATAACCTCAAAAATGTTGTGCACACTCGTCACTGAATTACCCGCATAGTGGGTTATTTAAAAGTGTGCACCACATTTTTTTTGTTATTTCTTCATAGACAGAAAAAATATTACAGTCATTCCTTAAATAATCACTTTGCATGCTTTATGCCCTGACTCACTTAGTTTGTGGCAATCACCTTATTCATTTGTCTGTTCTTTTGTTCATTACTATTGTTGAATTTTTCCTCAGATTCTATATTAAGGATGTACTTAGGTGAAATTAAAAAAATCTAGAATTTAAAATTGATACTATAAGTCAGAAGAGCATTAGTTAAGGAACAAAATAAGCTAAAAATATTGATAGCTAGGTTATACAGCTCCTTTTCGAGATATTTAATTTTAAAAAAATGGCGGGAAAAGGCTGACTCAGACTTTTACCTTATATTTGCATTGGTATTATTTGGGTCTCAAATCGAAAGAAAAGAAATCTAGAATCTGCTTAAATTTTGGTAAATGACCTTTAAGGAGCTATTGAAGTCTTATATGAAAAGAAAAATTGGTGTTATGGGGCAAAATATTTTACCCTGTATTGTAGGGAAAAAACCAAGGAGTCCAAACACCTGACAAAAATTCCTAAACCTGACCTAAGTACATCCTTAAGGTGTGATTTGGTATTGGAACTGGAACTTTTTCATGATTTATACTGTTTAAGCAATTTTCAGACCTGCTTAGCAGTCACTTCTTGTTTAATGATACATGTAACCTTAATTTTTTGAGAAAAGAAGACTTTCAAGTCTTCTTTTAAGACCTATACTAGCAAGCCAAAGGTTCCTAAATATGGAAGTTCCAAGAGTAACTTTTTATGTGCTTTATAACTTCAATATTGTAAACCTCATTTTGACACAGATCTTCGTATGTACACATAATTTGTTGTGTTTTTGTTTTAAAAAATCTTTGCATTATTTCACGAAACAACAGATAGGAAAGATATGCAGATAAGGTTTAAACTACAATCCCTTATGTAAATTTTCTCATGTTTTAATGTTTCCCTTTTTGTTTGCATTAATTTTTTACATTTTCATCATTGGTATGTAATACAAAATGTCTCAAATTTTACCATACAGCCTTCAACAATGAGCAAAACCCATACCATATAGTAAGCTACAAAAGGCCCTGGCATGACAAAATTGAAAACAATTCAAAAGAGAAAATAAACAGCCTGATTTATGCTAAACACAATAAATGAAAACAAATATGGACTGTTAAAACATAAAGACTATTAATCACCAAAGCAATATAGAATTGAGAACATTTGAATTTCAGATGTAACTTCATCATATAAATAGTGTTTGCCAAGGTGACTGTTTTTTGCTTTTCTTTCTGTCTATGGCAAAAAGTACTAAATTTATATAGAAAGAAGAACATTTGAAGTATTGGGATATCCAATTAACACCTGTGGATTTGTAGCACTTTGCAAGATACATACCTGCCAACCTTTCAAAATCTCCATGGGGACCTAATGCTCCTCTTATATTGTGATAAGTGTTTTAAATTTACTACTGTATTGTTTGAAAGAGTATGTTTGTGCTTAGATACCCTTTTATCTCATTTGAATGCCTGTTTTGAAGTGTTCAATTTGTACAATTAAGAATTTCAAAATTCAGGTCAACACCTCTCATGGGGTAAATCCCCCATAAATCGTGAAGGTTGGCAGGTCTGATTAGATATGTGAATGTACTAAAATCAAAATCGATCAAGAACATTGTAACATTTCATAATCATTATAATACCAGTACTAAGATTTTTGTCGAGCCTGCGACTTTTGTCGCAGAAAGCTCGACATAGGGATAGTGATCCGGCGGCGGCGTTAGCTAACTTCTTAAAAGCTTTATATTTTCCAAGGTGGAAGACCTGGATGCTTCATACTTTGTATATAGATGCCTTATGTTATGAAATTTCCGTCTGTCATATGTCCATTGTCCTTGACCTCATTTTCATGGTTCAGTGACTACTTGAAAAAAAAGTTAACATTTTTTGTAATGTTAATTTCTCTCTTATTATGAGTAATAGGATAACTATATTTAATATGTGTGTACCTTGCAAGGTCCTTATGCCCGTCAGACAGTTTTCATCTGACCTCGACCTCATTTCATGGATCAGTGAACAAGGTTAAGTTTTCGTGGTCAAGTCCATATATCAGATACCATAAGCAATAGGTCTTCTATATTTGGTGTATGGAATGATTGTAAGGTGTACATGTCCAACTGGCAGGTGTCATGTGACCTTGGCCTCATTTTCATGGTTCAGTGGTTAAAGTTACGTTTTTGTGTTTTGGTCTTTTTTTCTAATACTATATGCAAACGGTCAACTATATTTGGTGTATGGAAATATTTTACAATGTACATGTCAGTCTGGCAGGTTTTATTTGACCTTGACCTCATGTTCACGGTTCATTGCTCAGTGTTTAGTTTTTATGAAATGGTCTGTTTTTCTTAAACTATGACCAATAGGTCAACTAAATTTGTTGTATGGAATGATTGTAAGGTGTATATGTCTGTCTGGCAGGTATCATCTGACCTTGACCTCATTTTCATGGTTCATTGGTCAATGTTAAGATTTCCTGGTTAAGTTTGTTTCTTAGATACTATAAGCAATAGGTCAACTATATTTGGTGTATCGAATGATTGTAAGGTGTACATGTATTTCCGGTTTGGTTTATCTGACCTTGACCTCATTTTCTTGGATCATGTTAAGTTTATGTGATACTTTTAGTAAAGCTTTATATTTAGGACTATCAACATAAAATCAATGGTCAGTAAAGAAGGCGAGGCGTGTGCACTCTTGTGCCTTATGCTATAGTTCAAAAATATCCTATATCTTTATCTGCAATTAAGAATGATTGAAGATCACTATATATTTTAATAAATGCATATGGCCCAGGGGATTGAACATATATAGAGGTTTTGTCCAAACAATCAGACGTCAAAGTGTCACACATTCATTTTTTGTCTCTAAAGACTTTGGTTAATTTTACCTTTTTGAAAATGTACAATTTTTCACATATCGCACTCTTCCTCAAGTACACCTTGAACAATTATCTTCCAACCTAACATTGGTGGTCCCAAATTCACTTCAAAGTTTATCAAATTTTTAAGAATTGTTGTCTGGGAGTAGGTATACATTTTAACCATTTTCACCTTCATCAGACTTTAAATTTGAAAAACAAGCCATTTTTTGCTGAAATTATATTTTTTTTAGATATGGTAGTCTTTGGGTCTGAATAGTTTTGAACTATGTTCATTTTATTTGTTATTAAGGAATTAATGAATTTTGAATGTGAAAATTAGGCAATACATGTATTTCATATGTCTAAAAATAACTCAAGTATGATTGAATGAATCCTTTAACTTTCATTGACTGTACATGTTTTGTTCATTCAATATCCCTGCACTCTTTGATTTGTTGACTGACATAAAGAGGCTCCTGATGCAACTGTTTATTTGCAGCTTAAAAATCGAATCTAATTTCAGGAAATTAATTTAAAATTTGGGGAACATGTGCAGTTTAATTATTTTTGGAACAGAAAATTTACCTCAAAAGAACAGTAATCTGGGTTGGTGTGGTACTGTCTAATATTTTTGGTTATTCAAATTATTCTTTTTATGTATTTTCTTTTCACCCTTAGAGCTATTTTGATAGCTCTTTGATTAAAATTTTGATAGCTCTTTGATTAAAATACCCTTTGAGCATAACTTTTTTCCATCATTATCTCAACTCATAAATATATTTTTAGTGGTAATATATGTGATGGTTTGATTTGTATTTTTCAGAAATAATCCATCTTATGCTGGTTCATTCGTAGACTCAACAGAAAATGTTGAAAATGTACATGGCGACAGAATCAATGGAATAACATCAATATCATTTCAACGTCATAGGGATACCAAGGATACTTCTGACTTAATATTCTCTGAAGATAATTGTGCTTACTTCATTTATCCAATGGGAGGCAGTTATAATGAGAATGATAAAAGTATTTTTAGACATAGCAAGACACCTACAATTTCATTTAAACAATTCTGTTTCCCTTGTGCAGGTAGGTAAAATAGAAATGTAGAAATAATAGGTGAAACATCTTCAGAAGTGTAGTGATATAAAAGGAGGTGCACATGGACAGTGTTCTACTCCCACACACATAGAAAATGTTCTTCTCCCACACACAATGAAAACTACCTACTTACAGATCTTGAAATTAGATCAATTTGAAAAACTAAACAATGTAAATTCAGAAACTTTTTTTTAGGAGCTTAAGAACCTTATTTTGACACAAAATTGGCTCTTAATTTCACCTTTATTACATTTTGTTTTCTTTTTACCAGGTGGTGCACAACGGGTGTCCCCTTCCCCCCTGTTTGAATCTGCGCCCGTATTTCTTCTACGGTTTCTTCTTTATAAAAAATTCAGACAGGAAGGATATGTGTTGGAGACAACAATCTAATCAATATCAAATGAACAATGTGTTATTGCTGTTCTTCATCTCATCGGTTGCTAGAAGATATAAAAAGATAACTTAGATCTCAGTTCACATGTAACAGGATGATTTGATATGTCGCCCTTTGCATTTACTTTAGTGTTACATATTTGATATTCATTGTAAAGTCCAATATAAATCTAAGTAGGAACATTTCAGCAATTGAAACTATGAATTTTGAAGATTCAAGAAATTCAATAAAAATAATGGATAAACCTTTTTTAAAAAGATTTTGTTTGTTATTTGAAATTAAGTCTAATTCTGTATTAAAGCTCAATTGTGCAGTCCTGTTATTTAAAGGGAAAAGATTGGTGGATTTTGTATAGACTAATAGAAACAGTGATTTCATTGGAAGTTAAACGTGTGTACCAATAACTCATCAACAATGTGTTAAATTGTAAATGCAATTTTTCCTCCATTTCAGATGTTTGTACATCTGAAGAACTATTTAGAAAGATGGGTAGCACTGAGTGTAAATCCCAGGTTGATAGCTTTAATGAAAGTGATGATATTCCTACTTTTTGTGGGTAAGTTAGTCTGAGGGTAATAGCTTTAAGGAAAGTTATGATATTCCTACTTTTTGTGGGTAAGTTCGTCTGAGGGTGATAGCATTATTAAAGGAAAGTGATGATATTCCTACTTTTTGGGCAAGTTAGTCTGAGGGTAATAGCTTTAAGGAAAGGGATGATGTTCCTTTTTTATTTAGGTAAGTTAGTCTGAGGGTAATAGTGAAAATGAAATTGATGATATTCCTTCTTTTTGTGGATAAGTTAGTCTGATGGTGATAGCTTTAAACAATTTGATAACATCCTTACTTTCTATATAAAAAAATAAGAGATGTGGTAGGATTGCCAATGAGACAACAATCCACCAAAGTTAAAATGAAGTGGATGAAAGCAATTATAGGCAACCATACAGCCTTCAAAAATGAGAAAAACCCATATCATATAGTCGGCTATAAAAGGCCCTGATTTGAAAAATGTGAAACAATTCAATAGAGAAAAATAACGGCCTAATTCATAACACAACAGTTTACAAAAAACAAATATGACAGACATAAACCAACGATAACCACTGAACTACAGGCACACAAAGAATGTGGCAAGGTTAAACATGTTAGCTTCCACCAAACTCTCACCCTAAACAGGGACAGTGGTGTTACAGTACAACATAAGAAATAAACTGCTTCGCTGATACACCCGCAGAGGTCCAACCCTGAACAGTTGGGGCAAAAATGGACACAATATTCAAGCTTGATACAGGTCTGAATTTGGATTGTAATTAAATATTTGACATATTATAGGTTTCTAAATAAATGTAGTCAAAGAACTTGAAATTGGTTATAAGAATTGAATTTATATTCAATTAAAGATTTCTTGCTGTTGTGCAATACACTGTGCTGTTGCGCAATACTTAGTAAATCTATTGTCAGACTATAAACAAATAAAGTTCAATTAATTCTCAATGTCATTTTAGAAATTTATGAAAATGTAAAGGGAGCTTACATCAATAGATATAAACAATTCACCAAAATTTCATGGAAATTGCTGACAGCATTTTTGAGTTATTGTCCGAAAACTGGAAAATCCCTCCTTCTTTAATGATTGATGATTGATTGATTGTTGGTTTGCTTAAAGTCCAGTGGCAAATATTTCATGCATATTCAGGAAGAGAACAAATTAACAATAAATACAATAGGTAGGTTCTGTAATAGGGGCGTCCGGGATTAAGGTAGGAGAAATTTAGACTGCCACGGGAAATGAGGGAATATTGGAGAGGGACAGAAATTTAGCCTTGCAACAGGTCACCTACGGACCCCTCAAAGAGTTGTTGCAAAGGTTCTTAACATGCAAAGAGCGTGGCACTCTCTTTACACGAGGCATCCGATTTAACGTCCCCATTCTGACCGGACGTGGCTGCAAATTCTGTACATCCCGCACAGCCAAACGGACGCCCCACTTTAGCAAGGGTTTTACTGCCGGTCGGAGGAAGACCAATGGTGACCATACTTCTATTCCCCAGTCACCCTTGGGAGCCTTTTTTAATGAATAAAACCCCATAACTCAGAATTGTAAATTGTAAAATTTATAAAATTCTAAAAGGAGCTTACATCAATAGATATAAACAATTCACCAAAGTTTCATAAGAACTGTTGAAAGTATTTTTGATTTTTTGTCTGAAAACTTGAAAATCCCCCTTTTTTTATGAATAAAACCCTGTAACTCGGAAACGTAAAATCTAAAATATATAAAAATCTAAAAGCAGCTCATGTCAATAGATATAAACAATTCACCACAATTTCTTGCAAGTTGGTGAAAGCATTCTTGAGTTATTGTCCGAAAACTGGAAAATCCCCCTTTTTTTAATGAATAAAAGCCCATAACTCGGAAATGTAAAATCTAAAATTTATAAAAAACGAAAGGGAGCTCACGTCAATAGATATAAACAATTCACCAAAGTTTTATGCAAATTGGTTAAAGCGTTTTTGAGTTAATGTCCGACATGTTGACGATGGATGGACAGAGGTATACCATAATACGTCCCGTAAACGGGCGTATAAAAACTATAAAAATCAGATGAAAAGGGCTATAGGTAATTTGAATGGAGATGCAAAGCTTAAAGGCAATGATTTTTATCCAGGGTGGATAGCTTTATGGAAGTTGATAGTTGCCTTATTTTCTTATACTGAGACTGATCTGTAATGGTGAAAACATCTGCAGTTCAAATTTCATACCTGTCAACTTTCTCCATTATGGGGGATTTCCCCCATGAAAGATGTTGAACTGACACTTGAAATCCTTCACTATATAAACTAAAAAGGTATTCAGAGAAGTTGATATACATTAGTGTCATCACTTTTGATTACATGTGTGCAAAAATTAAAATGTTTTTCCTTCAATCCAGACAATTTGTAAGCATAGACGAATCAGCTTATTTCCAAAAGCAATTATTTTATTAAAAATTTGATGAATGTTGTCAGTATTTAAAGAGGAACAAGTAAGTAAATATGAGCACCTTATTTTGTAGCCTCCCACAAATCATTATAAAACAACATATGATTTTTCTGAAAAAAAAAAAATCATTTGTGATGGCTTCAAACTCATCACTTGATTATTTTCTTCAGAAAACTAAATCCACGAATTTAAGTACCCATGAACATGTAACTTTATGCTCAAACCACGAAAATTGATACCCACGACTAAAAGTACTTTCACAGTACTAGTTCAGCGAAAATGGACATCACACTAAGCTAATATGTTCAGTCTTTGGTTAAAGTTTCTAAAACACCAGTAAACTTTTTCAAACCTTCATAAGGTTCTTCATAATCAAGAGTTAGCATCTAGAGTAAATTTATGACTTTTTTTCCCATTTTTACCATATTTTACTAAAGAATGGACTTAATAGTTTTATTCAGTCAACAGTTAAGTACAGCATGTGGTTTAAGATTTTAAAACTTTAATAATTTTGTCAAACTTTTATGAAATTTTACAAAATTTGAACAGAGGCTTCTTCATAATCAAGAGAGCGCACACAATCACGATTTAGATCTTTTTCTCTTTTTCATTTTGCTAAATTTTACTTATAAATAAACTTAGTTATTTAGCAGATACATTACACTTTTACACTGACAGCAGCAGTCACAGGCCAGACATAGGGATCTGCTGAACTTTTCACGAATTTGTAAAGGTCTATATTATCGATGAAGAAGATATTAGTGTAGAAAAGAACAATTTATTTCTGGATCTATCAATAGTTTCTAGATGGTTGATCAAAACCTAACATGTAATTACCAAAACAACACATTTTAATAAGATGGATAAAACAATTTGTAAATACCGTTAGATAACCAAACAATGACTATTAGAGACCATAGAAAAATTTCTTTACACTAAAAACTGTATATACAGGTCCTCCTCTGGACAAGAAAACTGACCTTATAAGAGAAGTGACCTTTGAACTGAGGTTCAAAATGCATATAGGTATAACTACAGCGGTACACAAAGAGGGTGACATGACATGACAGGTTTACGCTTATGTGACCTAATTAAGCAGGTTTGACAGTACCGGTATTTGATATTCCTAATTCCTACAAAAACATATCATGTCTTGTTTTTTTGCAGGAAATTACAAAGAATTACAGAGTGCCTTCAGACGAATCTGGCAACACATGGATGTTCTAGTACAATCAAAGACTCAACATACCCAGTGTTACTCAACCTGCTCAGTGAACTTGTTAGATTTGATGCATTGTCAAAAGCTTCAAGCTGTCAGTAGCAGCGTAACAAATGATCGCTATCAGGAAAGAACAAAATATTTACAATAGTGATACAATATACAAACAAACTTATTGTTAAAAAGTATTTATAATGCTGATGTAATACACCAACTAAACATACACAAAATATTAAGAATGCTGGAGAAACATTCGCAGGATAAACAAGATATGTATAATGCTGATGAACATAATATTTATAATGCTGATGTAATAGTCCCAAAAAATAATTGGATGAACGAAATATTTATAATGCTGATGTAATAGTCCCACAAATACAGTGATAAACAGGTTTGGTGCTGTGATGACTGTAACCAATATATAAATTACTTGTGAAAGATGTTCAAGTTTTGTGATGTATTGTGATGTACAAGTCTAAAAATAGATAGAATTATGGTATATTTTATAGAGATCTTTAATTGCATGTTGGTTATTGTTTGTTTTGTACTTAATAAAATAGCGTCAAAACTAAGTCCTGAATATCCTCTAAATGCTTTAATAATTTTGTTTACAACATCTTCATTTTTTATCCTATGATAAGTAGTTGATTCGTTGGCAATTATACCACATATCCTTATTTTTATATTTAATCTGATTTTTCAAACAAACAAGGCCAGCATCAGACTTCTGTTTACACATATGTCTTATACATATTATGTTCTTGAAATCCATTTGATGCTTGTAAACTATAAAACCAGGTTTTAAGCACCAAAAATTTAAGTTTATTTTAACCACTTGAAATCCATTAAAACCAGGTTGGTTTTAAGCATCTAATATCCAGTTTGATTTTCAACATTAGAAATCCATTTGTTTCTTGTAAACTTAGCTAGAAAACCAGGTTGGTATTAAGCACCTAATATCCAGCTTGGTTTTAAACACTTGAAATCCATTTTATTCTTGTAAACTATAAATCTAGTTTAGCTTTAAACACCTGAAATTTATTATGTTGTACATTCAGAAACTATTGCATTCATTTATTATGGATGATGGAAATTTTGGACCAAAATGCAAGATTAATGTATGCAATTAGGGCAAAAACTGTTTTTAAAATATAGTTGTCAAATTACAAAATGGGAGATCTTATTATTGAGATACTTATCATGTTACAGTATTCACAATAATAAAGATATTGCAATAATTTCTGAACTTATAGTAATCTCATATAACAGTGGTTTATTGCTGTTGTTAGGTTATTTTATATTTTGATATTTAGAAAGCTATTAATATGACATCTATATCTTACAAATATATTTATTATATCCTCTATACAATAATATATTTGCAATATTTAATACAAAAATATGAAATTCTTTTTGTTTTTGGGTGGCTGGCCATCCTTTTTTTTACAAAAAAAAAAATGATTAAACGAATTTTATATTTTTTCAATTCATTTATATTATGTTTTGTATATGGTGTCCTCATAACACTTTAATATTCATGAAATTTTTGTATAGAACCAAATATACATGTATTTTATATGGCATTACTTCAGAATTATATACATATCACATTTTTATAAAAATCATTTCATACAAATGCTCCAAGAGTATTTTCACAAAGATCAGTGCTGTCTGTTATATTGCTTGTCTTTAGACAAAGATAATTTAGATAGCTAATTGCCCAGGAAATTTGTCCTGTTTTCAGTAAAAAAAAAAGACATAAAAAAAGTATTTTTAAATATGAATAATCATCTAAAAAATGTTACTTAAACAAAAATGACGATAGCTTGATTTATGATAGAATTGCAGTGTAATGAACAGCATTGTACTTATTATTTACTTTGAAAGTACTTTTATCAGTAAATTGGAATTATTTGACTTGTGAGAAATTAGTTGGTTTGTGAGTAGATAATAAGTGATAATCAGTCATGCATTTGGCATTTATATTTTTATTTTTGATTAAACACAAATCTACAAAAAATTTAATCCCATGAATAAATGTACTTTCTCAGTATTATTATGTAATTTTATCAACCATCATAGATTCACAATAACTCAAATGTTAAACTTATTCCTTAAATCATTATTTTGTAGAGAAATTAGTATTGAATCTTTCATATTTTGAATATACTGTACTAAGAAATCTGTCACCTGTGCTATCTGTAACCATGGAAATGGAAATTTTTAAAGTCCAAAAATCTTTTTTGCCTGTAACAACACACAGGAGCTAGCAATTTTATCAATAAACATGAGAAATGAGGTCAGAATAAAGAAAATTCAAGCCACTACATGTGCCTTTCGGTATCCATGACAACATTCCAACAAATGATTTGTGATTTCACTCATTGTTTTTATTTTGTTTACACATATCATTTCTATATATATTATACTACTTACTTTATATATTTTTATCATTTTTTTAATAAAGATATACTGATTTATTATTGTAATTTTAGTGATTGTGTCCTATTCCCGATTGTGACATTTTAACTGAGTGTGGATTAGCATCGGGGATGTTGCATTCATAGCAGGAAACATTTACCCTGGTGAAGCACCAGGTTTCTCCCTTTTTGGAGTTAATGCGATTCCCTCAGTATTTTGTTTTCATTCTTGATTTGTCTCTTCTTACATGATTTACCAGATTTTAACATCAGAAAATTATTGTCACCTTTGTTTAGATGAGGCATTGTTTTATGATAGCTTCTTTTCAAGGACTTCAAGGTGGATAGTTTTGGAATGAGTTTTCATTTTTAGGTAGTCATGCCAATGCTGCTATATGGAAAATAATAGATTATAATTAAACACACCTGAAGATTGACCCTAGCACCAGGTTATTTATATCTATAGTCGCTGTTAGGCCGGCAATGCAGAGTAAAAGATCTAACCTCACCTAAAGATTGACCCTTGTACCAGGTTATTTATATCTAGAATCAATGTGAGGCTGGCAATGCAGAGTAAAAGCTCTCTCCTAACACCAAGATTGACCCTTGCACCAGGTTATACCAAGTAACTCTTGGGTCATCAATGCAGAGTAAAGGCTCACACCTCACCTCAAGATTGACCCTTGCACCAGGTTATACTTGGGTATATCGCAAAGTAAACTTTTAGGTCATCAATGCAGAGTAAAAGCTCACACCTCACCTCAAGATTGACCCTTGCACCAGGTTATACCGAGGTATCTCAAAGTAACTTTTAGGTCATCAATGCAGAATAAAAGCTCACACCTCACCTCAAGATTGACCCTTGCACCAGGTTATACTTGGGTATATCTCATAGTAACTTTTAGGTCATCAATGCAGAGTAAAAGCTCACACCTCACCTCAAGATTGACTCTTGCACCAGGTTATACTTGGGTATATCTCAAAGTAACTTTTAGGTCATCAATGCAGAGTAAAAGCTCACACCTCACCTCACAGATTGACCCCTGCACCAGGTTATACTTGGATATATCTCAAAGTAACTTTTAGGTCATCAATGCAGAGTAAGGGAGCTACCATTTGATTTTTATGGGGGGGCTAGGATGAAATTTGAAAAAAAAGGCAGGACAGAAGTTTTGAGTTAAAAAAAAGGCAGGACAGAATAAAGTGAAAAATAAAAAGGCAGGACCGAGATTACAACTAAAAAAAAATGCAGGACACAATTTTTCATCCTAGCCCCCTCCCCCCCCCCCCCCCCCCCCCCCCCATAAAAATCAAATGGTACTTCCCTAAAAGCTCACACCTCACCTCAAAATTGACCATGCACCAGGTTATACCAAGGTATCTCAAAGTAACTTTTAGGTCATCAATGCAGAGTAAAAGCTCACACCTCACCTCAAGATTGACCCTTGCACCAGGTTATACTTGGGTAGGTATATCTCAAAGTAACTTTTAGGTCATCAATGCAGAGTAAAAGGCAGCTATCCCTAGCACCAGGTTGCATATATTAAGTCACTGTGAGGTCGTCAATGCAGAGTAAAAACTATCCCTAGCACTAGGTTATATATATTTAAAGCCACTGTGAGGCTGTCAATGCAGAGTAAAAACTCTCCTCACCTCAAGACTGATCCTTGCACCAGGTTATACCGAGGTATCTCAAAGTAACTTTTAAGTCAATGCAGAGTTAAAGCTCACACCTCACCTCAAAATTGACCCTTGCACCAGGTTATACTTGGGTAGGTATATCTCAAAGTAACTTTTAGGTCATCAATGCAGAGTAAAAGGCAGCTATTCCTAGCACCAGGTTGCATATATCAAAAGTCACAGTGAGGCCATCAATGCAGAATAAAAGCTATCCCAAGCATCAAAATCCAATGTGAGGCCGTCAGTGCAGAGTAAAAACTCTAATCTCACCTCAAGATGGTCCCTTGCATCAGATTAAGCGGGATTTTTTTATCATTTTCTGTGCAATGAAGAACGCAACCGAAGGGTAATCTCAACAAATAACAGACAAAAAAATAACTAGGAAATGAAACAGATAATTCTCTCTACAATCTCATAGTAAAATACAGAAATATCAAAATATTCAGAGGCTTATCAAAACATTTGTTAGACAATTTGGCAGAAAATAATGTATGCATAGCTGGCAAATAGTTCAGATGGACAACAATTTTGATAAACATACAGCTCTAGAGATATAGAGAAAATAAACATACAGACTGAAAGAGAAAACAAACATACAGAACGAAAGAGAAAATGTAGAGGAGTACACATATACAATGCAACAAGTTACCTCAAGAATAAAAACTCCTTTAGATATATAAGAGAATACACCTCAAGATTGGACAAGTTTGTAAGCATTAGGGTGTCTTCCTCTCATATCTCTATCCTCATAAAACTTGGTACAATTGCTGTGCTTGAAGGAATTAAGGATGAATCTTATTTAATATAAAAATAGATCCAAGGTTGTAAATATCTAATCAACAGCACTATAGGTTTGTTTAAAATACCACATTTTGATTAAAACAATAATCTAGTGATAGCACAATGCTTGCTGCTATTTTAATGAGTGCACCCAATGAAATGTTGCCTGCTTTACTTATTGATTGAATTTATGTTAAAATTCTTGTAATATGAAGATTTTTCTACAAGTATCACATAAACTTAACATATCAATGATCCAATAAGTTAAACTGAGGTCAGGTCAGATGAATCATGCCAGACAAACATGTACACCTTACAATCATTCCATACACCAAATATGTTTGACCTATTGCTTAAAGTATCTGATAAACTGACAAAACCATGAAAAATTAACATTGAACAATGAACCATGAAAATGAGACCAAGGTCATATGAAACCTGCCTGACAGACATGTACACTTTACAATCATTCCATTAATGGCCCTATTGCTTAAAGTATCTGAGAAATAGACCAAACCACAAAAACTAATATATTCCAATGAACCATGAAAACAAGGTCAAGTTCAGATGAAATCTGACTGTTGGACATATACACCTTACAATCATTCCATTCACCAAAGGCCCTATTGCTTATAGTATGTGAAATAGACAAAACCCACAAAAAACTTAACATTGTCCACTGAACCAAGAAAATAGGTCTAGGTCAAATGAAACCTGCCAATCAGACATGTACACCTTACAATCATTCCACACACCAAATATAGTAGACCTATTGCTTATAGTATCCCAGATACGGACTTGACCATGCAAACCTTGATCACTGATCCATAAAATGAGGTGAAGGTCAGGTGAACCCGCTCTGGTAGACATGTAGTCATATACCAAAGATACTAGACATATGACAGACAGAAACTTGGTAACATAAGATTTCTGCATACAGGTAATAAAGCATCCAGGTCATCTACCTTCAGAAATATAAAGCTTTATACAAATAGTTTACGCTGTCGCCACTATATTGTTATCCCTATGTCTCGCATTCTGTGACAAGTCGCAGGTGTGACAAAAGTGATGAATCAAATATGAGCCAGTCTATGCAAAAAGGTACAAACACCAAAAATTTCGAATTTCTAAAAAGTGTGCATAATTATTAGTAGCAAACTTGTGATCTATAACACACCGTTACTTTTCCCGTTAGCTATACACACCTTTCAGAGCTAACTCATCACTCAAGTTGATCAAGAATGATCTGAGAAGCACCATGAAGGATGATGCTTTTTCTTCATGTTCACAGAGACATTAAACTCGATTATAAAATAGTTGACGATTACTCCATGAGAAATCCGCATAAAATGGCTCTAATGAATCCACTCTAGTCTAACCATTCATTGAAAATGAGAGTCCGTCAGTATTTCTGTGTTTAGGTTTTGCGTTGAGGTACAATTTATACTAGTAACATGTAACATGTATATTTGGTATAGCATTTTTACTTCCCATCTGGATAGCTTTTGGTAGTATCATATTGTTTCACTATCCATTAGTGA